TGTCATAGTATAGTAAGGCATAAAGTGTCATATTATAATAAGGCATAAAAATGTCAAAAAAACGTCAAAGTATTGTAAGGCATAAAAATGTCAAAAAAGGTCATAGTATAGGAAGGCAAAAAAATGAAAAAAAATTATAGTATATTAAGGCATACAAATGCCAAAAATGTCATAGTATAGTAAGGCATAAAGTGTCATATTATAATAAGGCATAAAAATGTCAAAAAAACGTCAAAGTATTGTAAGGCATAAAAATGTCAAAAAAGGTCATAGTATAGGAAGGCAAAAAAATGAAAAAAAATTATAGTATATTAAGGCATACAAATGCCAAAAATGTCATAGTATAGTAAGGCATAAAGTGTCATATTATAATAAGGCATAAAAATGTCAAAAAAACGTCAAAGTATTGTAAGGCATAAAAATGCCAAAAAACGTCATAGTATAGTAAGGCATAAAGTGTCATATTATAATAAGGCATAAAAATGTCAAAAAAACGTCAAAGTATTGTAAGGCATAAAAATGCCAAAAAACGTCATAGTATAGTAAGGCATAAAGTGTCCTAATAAGGCATAAAAATGTGAAAAAACGTCAGATTAAAGTAACGCATAAAAATTTCAAAAAAACGTCATAGTATAGGAAAGCATAAAGTGTTATAGTAAGCCATAAAAACATGAAAAAACATCAAAGTATTGTAAGGCATTAAAATGTCAAAAAAAACGTCATAGTACAGTAAGGTATAAAAAAGTTTGAAAAATGTCATAGTATAGTGGGGCATAAAAAAGTGAAAAAAATTTCATAGAAAAAAAAATTATAAATTGTCATGATATGCATATCACAGGGTGAACATACAACACCAGAGAGAAATAGCCATGACTGGGATTCGAACCAGGATTCCGCCTTGTGTAAAGCAACAGCTCTAACCATTGTACTATATTGCCAACTAACTACTACTGAGCTACCCCATGACAAAGTCATACTATAGCAAAGACATAAGAACATCATGGTATGACAAAGCTAAAGAAGTCAATGTATAGTAAGGCACAAACACATAAAAAAACGTCACAGTATAGTAAGTCATAAAATGGCATAATATGCATATCAAAGGGTGAACATGCAAACTCCACACAGACACAGCCTTGACTTGGATTCGAACCAGGATCCGTTCCCATGTAAAGCAACAGTCAAAACCATTGTACTATATTACCAACAAACTATTACTGAGCTACCCCACGATAAAGTCATAATATATCAAAGGCATAAGAACATCACGGTACGTCAAAGCTAAAGAAGTCATTGTATGATAATGCATAAAAACTTGAAAAAATTACATAGTATGCTGAGGCACAAAATGGAAAAGTATGGTAAGGCACAAAAATGTGAAAAAACGTCATAGTATATTAAGGCATAAAATAGTCGAAAAAGGTCATAGTATAGTAAGGGATAAAGTATCATATTATAGTAAGGCATAAAAATGTCAAAAAAACGTCAAAGTATTGTAAGGCATAAAAATGTCAAAAAAGGTCATAGTATAGTAAGGCAAAAAAATGTCAAAAAAAGGTCATCGTATATTAGGGCATAAAAATGCCAAAAAATGTCATAGTATAGTAAGGCATAAAGTGTCATAGTATAGTAAGGCATAAAAATGTCAAAAAAAAACATCAAAGTATTGTAAGGCATAAAAATGTCAAAAAATGTCATAGTATAGTAAGGCAAAAAGTGTCATATTATAGTAAGGCATAAAAATGTCAAAAAAGGTCATAGTATAGTAAGGCAAAAAAAGTGAAAAAAATTTCATAGTATATTAAGGCATAAAAATGCCAAAAAATGTCATAGTATAGTAAGGCATAAAGTGTCATATTATAGTAAGGCATAAAAATGTCAAAAAAACGTCAAAGTATTGCAAGGCATAAAAATGTCAAAAAAGGTCATAGTATAGTAAGGCAAAAAAAAGGGAAAAAAATTTCATAGTATATTAAGGCATAAATATGCCAAAAAATGTCATAGTATAGTAAAGCATAAAGTGTCATATTATAGTAAGGCATAAAAATGTAAAAAAAAACGTCATAGTACAGTAAGGTATAAAAAAGTTTGAAAAATGTCACAGTATAGTAAGGCAAAAAAAGTGAAAAAAAATTATAGTATATCAAGGCATTAAAATGCCAAAAAATGTCATAGTATAGTAAGGCATAAAGTGTCATATTATAGTAAGGCATAAAAATGTCAAAAAAACGTCAAAGTATTGCAAGGCATAAAAATGTCAAAAAAGGTCATAGTATAGTAAGGGATAAAGTGTCATACTATAGTAAGGCATAAAAATGTCAAAAAACGTCATAGTATAGTAAGGCATAAAGTGTCATATTATAGTAAGGCATAAAAACGTGAAAAAAAAGGTCATAGTATTGTAAGGCATAAAAATGTCAAGGTATGGTATGGCATAAAGTGTCATATTATAGTAAGGCATAAAAACCTGAAAAAAACGTCAGAGTAAAGTAATGCATAAAAATGTGAGAAAGGATCACAATATAGTAAGGCATAAAAAAGTGAAAATGTCGAATTGACATACCGTGACTTGCAACATTAAGGCATATAAATGTCAAAAAACGTCATAATATAGTAAGGCATAAAGTGTCACATTATAGTAAGGCATTAAAACATGAAAAAACGTCAAAGTAAAGTAACGCATTAAAAATGTCAAAAAACATCATAGTATAATAAGGCATAAAGGGTCATTTTATAGTAAGGCATAAAAACGTGAAAAAACGTCAAAGTAAAGTAACGCATAAAAATGTAAAAAAAAAAAACACATAGTATAGTAAGGCATAAAGTGTCATATTATAGTAAGGCATAAAAATGTGAAAAAACATAAAAGTAAAGTAAGGCATAAAAAATGTCAAAAAAGTCCATAGTATAGTGAGGCATAAAAAAGTGTAAAAAATGCCGCAGTATATTAAGGCATAAAAATGTAAAAAAAAAAAAAAAGTCATAATGTAGTAATTCATAAAAACTTTTTAAAAAATGTCATAGTATAGTAAGATGTAAAAACGTCATAGTATAGTAAGCCATTAAAACATGAAAAACGTCATGTTATAATAAGGCATAAAAACTTCAAAATACATCATACTATAGTAAGGCATGACTATGTGAAAAAATGTATATAAAATATAAAAAGGTCAAAAAACATCACAGTATAGTAAGGCATAAAAAATGAAAAAATGTCATCATATATTAAGGCATAAAAATGTCCAAATATGTCATGGTACAATAAGGCATAAGAATTTCATAGTATACCAATGCATAAAAACATCTGAGGCATAAATGTCATATTGTCCATATCACAGGGTGAACATGCAAACTCCACATAGACAGGCCCCAAGCAAGGATTTAAACCAGAAACCTTCTTAGTGTAAAGCTACAGTGCTAACCATTGTACTACATTGCCAACAGATTGTTAGTGTGCTAGCCTATCACAAAGTCATAATGTAGCAAGCCATTAAAAACATCACAGCATGGCAAAGCCAAAGAAGTCATAGTATAGTAAGGCATAAAAACTTGAAAAAACCATCATAGTATATTAGGAAAAAAATGCCCTAGTATAGTAAGTCATAAAAACGTCATGGTATGGTAAGGCATAAAAATGTCAAAAAAACATTATAATATAGTAAGGCATAAAAACATCACAGCACACTAAGGAATAAAAAGTTGAAAAATGTCATAGTATACTAAGGCATTAAAAGCTCAAAAACATCATATTATAGTTAAGCATAAAAACATCATAAAACATCATGTTATAGTAAGGCACAAATTGTCTCAGTATAGTAAGGCACAAAGTAAGGCATCATGGTAACGCTAAAGAAGTCATAGTATAGTATATAACTGTATATAGAATATATAATATACAGAAATCATAGGCATAAAAACATCAAAAAACGTCATAGTATAGTGAGGCATTAGAGTTGCCAATAATGTTTTTGGACTGCAGGAGTACTCGGAGAGGGCCCACACAGGCACATGGAGAACATGCAAACTCTGCACAGAAAGGCCTCAGGCGCGTGGTTTGAACCAAGAATCCTCTCATTGTGAGGCCACAGTTCTAACCACTGCAGCACAGTGCCTCCCACTGTGATATTCTCACATGACGTGAGCCTTCAGATAGCCCCTGCCCTTTCATTCTATCAAATGCTAGCATGCCTAAATTGGTTGTCTTGGAGACATAGCCTCTTGGAGGGCACATTGGAATTATCTAACATGACTTCACTCCAAACATAGTGCGAAGAAATTCACCAATTCTGTCCTCCCAAAATATTAAGGGACATGTTCCTACCATCTATATGCAAACCTACGCCCTTGATTCAACATGTTGTTCAACATACTTAGCTCACTGTTTCCCCTGTTTCCAGTCTTTGTGCTAAGCTATGCTAACCTAACCATCTGACATCAGAGTGGTATCAATCTACTTATCTAACTCTTGGCAAGAAAGCAAAGTAGTATATTTTCCAAACTGCCACACTATCCTTTTAAGTGCAAAACTTTAATTTCGTTCCACTTGCAGAGTAACAGGTGTTTCTCCCACCAGACATGTTGGCTAGTAATAGCAGGAAAAGAACAGGAGTTAGTAATACCATTAAATATTACTGCATTTCATTTAAGTGAGCTAGTTCCAGGATCCTGGTACTGAGCATGCTGGCTCCCTGTCAAGAACACACCTCATGGACCTGAGCCATCATTCACAAAATTTGTTTCACTGCTGCTTTTTTCTTTTTAATTGACTTGTTGCCATCATTATAAAAAAGGAAGTCTGTCAAAAAACTAATTTAAGAACAAACCACAGCAGAGTAAACAACTTCCTCAAGTGGAAGGGTGTTAAAGGGTTAAGAACTCATTTGTAAATGGTATTTGAAATCACAATATGAAATGTATTGCACAAATACAACATGCGATGGTTGGCATAAGCAGAACCTTCATGGTAACTGCATTGCAGCAGATATTGGAACATAGTGCACCTCGCTCTGCAGGATCATAACAGCATGGTTGAAGTGGTGGTGCTCCAGCGTAGCAGAGGTCCCATAAAGCAGAGCGAGGGCTGAGCCCGTCCTGACACACACACACACACACACACACACACACACACACACACACACACACAAGGATGAAGAAGAGGGATAACATAATCAGCATTAAGCACAAACTGAGAAACAAAGTCTGCTGTTGAGTGTGTTGTAATTCCCTCACCAATTCACTCTGCACACTGTCGCCAACTTATGGCTCAATAATAAAAGAAGCTGGAGAGTCATAACCTAAACTGCAGAGGAAATTCAACTGTTCAACATTGAGTATGATCGTCATTCAACGTGGAGAAAAAATACTCACGAGAGCCGCGGCTTGTGTTCTGAGGGTAAGGGATGTGGGCCAGGGTTTTAAAGTTTGAGATATTCCATTAGCTTTTGGAATATTTTAGCGCTGCCTTTATTTTGGTTAATTGTAAGTGTAGTTAATTTTATTTCTATTTGTCATTTCCACAGTAAACATACAGTTATAATGAACATATGTAGTAGTCCTAGCGTAGTGTGCTAATTTGTTTTTCAAATGTTCAGTTTTTTTTATCTAGTTTCTGTTCTAGTTTAAGTATTACAGTGACCATGATCATGCAGCATTAGGGCAGTAATATGTTTTTCATTGTGTTAGCTCTGTATGCCAACAAAAATGAAAAAATGACAATTAGATAAAAGTGCTGGCTTTTAGTTTAAATTGTGTTCACATCACATCTTGGGTGAGCCGTATAGGACTCGTTGTCTTTTTCATAAATACATACATTTTTTTGTAGAATGAATCTTAAACCTACTGTAGAAATTTCTTTTTTGGGGGGCCAAACAGTGAAATATTATTCATTGTCCAACTCAGTCAGCTGACTTCAGTTCAACTGAACATGTTGTTTTACTTGCTGAAGACCAAAAAAAGGCAAATAACCCCTGAAAACATCACGAGGTAAAGATGGCTGTAGTACAGGTCTGACAGAATATTAGCAGGGAACAAACATCGCAAATAATATGACCACAAATATAAAATATGATTTAATCTAAGCTTATGTTAACTTGTCCAATTATTTTCTTGTACCTAAAACTGGGGGACATGTACAAAAAAAGGATATAATTCCTATAATTTTCATATGCAATGGGGGTAAACTGGACTTAAATCTCATGGTCATTGAAATTTCTATTTGAAGTCTAATATGCTGGAGTACAGAACCAAATAAAAAATGTTTATTTTTCCCAATACATCCTCAATTACAGTTACAGTACACCCACTGATGAAGACGATATACATCTCTATAGACAATAAACTGAAGGCTCTGAAATTCTGTTTCAGAGAAGATGTGTTCATTGTGAAAATTGGCCACAAGAGCTTTATTACCTCCTTTGTCTTTTGTCCGCCTAAACTAATTTTTCTAGCCGCATCAACAGTCATCTAAATTCAGACCATTTAGCTCAACATAACAAACAAAAACTCAACCGACAGCCGAAGTGATGAAACAACATTTCAAGAGCTAAATGGATGCTCATTGGGGGCTAAAAACAAATCAGCCAGTTGGAGAGAACCATCTCATCTCAGGATGTACTTTGGTTGAACAAAGACTCATTCAAGCTCGCAGATGAAAATACGAAAATGTTTCTAATTGAAATTTTGAATTCAGCTAATGGTCATGTCCGTCTTCCACCTGGTTTTCAATCTTGGTTCCAGATTCAGTTTATTATAATACCTTAACCAGAGAACGCTAAATTTAAGCAACTGAATAACAATTTTACCTGCTGATCTAAATGTGCTCAGAGTCAGCAGTGTTTACAGTCTCTTCGTTAAGCAGACCCTTATATAAGCCTTATACAACTTGCCGCTTGACTTGCTGATCTGGGCTGCTACTGCAGACAGCTGCGGGTGGGAAAACACACTATAAACAGTGTGTAGGAGGGAGCATGTTTATGTCAGGGAGGGAGAGAGAAAGAGAGCGGGAACACTTATCTAGCCACAGTGTAAAAGTGAGGGATTAGTTCCTAATAAAGTTAGGTGAAAATAATTCAGTAAATCAATTAAACTAAAAGTAATTTAGTTAAAATAGTTAACTGAGAGATTAAGATAATTTAGTAATAAATAAGGTAGGTGATGTAAATAGTTGAATGAGTAAATTCAGATTTTTCATATTTTTTAGGTCTATAATAGATTTGCTAATTTTGGTAATGTTCATTTTGTTGAATATTATTTTGAAAGTTTTTATATATCATTTTCAAGGGGTTTTGTTTTATTTTAACTTAATAGGTGAATACTCTCCAATATACTCCAAAAATCAGACAGTAAACTTTTGTTCCTTTTCATTCATAAGAGTTGTCTGGGGTCAATTATTTATAATATAGTATAGTTGATGTGAATAAATGCTAAGTTTGACAGTTTCTCTAGGTCTTAATAGAGCATTATACGTTTCATTCAAAAATGTAAGCATGATATAGAGTGTTGGGGTGCTGCACTTACTTGGCCTGAAAAGCATTGTTGGTGCCCCTGTGGTCCAAGTCATGGCACACACAACCTACAATAAGTGCTAAGATCTCCACCTCTGTCAGAGTCTCCTGGAAGCCCGCCGTCTGATTGGCACAGAGGAGAGGAGGCCGATGAGAAAACAAGCAAAACACACAGTCTGCGCCCCCACCGCTGCATCTCTTCTTCTCTTATTCCATGACGCTGTGAGGGCTACGTTGAATAAAAATGGAAAACACTCCAACAGCAGCAGCATCCTAAAAAACAGTATCTCCCTATAATGCCAGTGGGACTGCAGTAACACAATCACACAGGGAGATTTATGGCTTGGATGAATGGGTTCTGGAGGCCATGTCCTGAATGAGTCACTATGGGTCATTGTGGGGATAGCGGCAAAGATAGCACGGGCCTCTCATTAAAACACATGGCAGGAGAGTGGAGGGGCCCAGAACAGCTTACACACTATTATTTCATTTCCCTCTGCCAATAATCAATTCAGATGGGACACCATGCACTAATGCTGTGCTTGATTAAATGAACTACACTGTGCTGTTTGTGTAAGAGCTTGTGTGTGTCTGTGTATGTGTTAAGTGTGTGTGAGTGTGTTGCCCCAAGGACCCGATAAAATGAAGGCATACTGGAACTATATGAAGTAACTCTCTTGGGGTCTCTATTTAAACAAACATCTCTGGTTCTGGTACAGAATAGGCTGTTTGTATAGATAGAAATGCAATGAGTCGTCATTTAACTCTCTGTAATCTGAACACAGGAATGCATCATGAACTATCTAACTTTGACAATATCAGGGCATCAATAAGCACTGAAGTTGTGCATCCTAACCTGACACCTGACACTTCTCACTTTTACTTTGATGAAACTCCAGTTGCTGCAGCTCCCTCTACCACCCCAATCTGCAGTGATATAACAGGTATGAAGCTCTTTTATTTGAATAAAAGGACCAACTAGAATGGCACTCTGCAGAGTGCATATCTCCGCCAAGGCCAAACAATCTTTGATTGTACATCTCAACACCATATACATGTCTGATTTTTTACATGAAGATAGATACATTATTTCCTGAGAAATTGCCTGTGCTGAAAAGTGTTGAAACATGCCCTCTGTTGCAATGTTAAGGAAAGCGATAAAAAAGAATTCCTGGATCTGCCCCTTTAACTAGATCTGCCCCAAACTTTATTTGGTTCTCCCGTGGTCCATGCTCCATCCTTAACAAAGTTTGGTGCAAATTGGTTCCATACTTTTTGTCTAATCCTGCTGACAAATTGACAAAAAACAAACAAACCAACAAACAGACATGGGTGAAAACATAACCTGCTTGGCAGAGGCGAGTACATCTGGTACAGCTTTTTAAAGCTGGTTGAAGCGGAACTAGTTTTAACTCCTTTATATACCAGGGGGTCCTGAGATAATGTGAGGAGAAAAGAAAAAACAAAATTCTGATACACAGATTTGTTCATTTTTCAGACTTTTATGAACTATTTGCAAAGTATGGGATAGTTTCACCTGAGGGATTGAGTCTCAAACTGTTATTTCATTGAAACAATCTGAGACGTTTAGAGTGGACACCTCTTGTTGAATGTTAAGTGGCCACAATAGACACTGCTTTTTTGTAAGGGTTGGGAACCACTGGTTTGATCCATAACTATGAATTGTATTATTCAGTGTGTTTTTTTTATGTAAAATCTTAATCTGGAAGGTAACTAGTAAGTATTGCTGTCAGGTGTTAAGTAAATGTAGTGTAAAAGTACAATATTCCACCTGAAATTTAGTAGCATAGAAATATATTGTAGCATAAGAAAAAGCACTCAGGTAAAGCACAAGTACCTCTAAATTGTACTTAAGGACATAAGTACATGCTTGTTACTTCCCACAGTTGTTGAACTCCTCCTTACATGGCAGACTTTTGGTAATGCTGATTTAACGCTAGGATTTATTCATTAAGGCGAGAAGAATCCTTGGAAATTGTTTGAGAGCTCCATCAAGAGCAAATGGAAGTGTATGAACCTTTGCTACAAATTGTCAGTTCTGTGACGCAAGTGTCTCTGACTCAAAACTTAATGATCTACAGTTAGCATGATCTTTACCGTTAGCATGGCAAACATGCACTGGCAGACGTTGAACGCATGTCTCCAGTTGTGGTAGAGGACCATTCTGTAGTTTTTTCTGACAGTCAGCAGCCATCTGCACAGTGTCTGGAGGGGAAGATGGAAGAGAGAGAGAGAGAGAGAGAGAGAGAGAGAGAGATGAGCACATGGGTTGGCAGTTGTCGTGAGGATATCAAAGGAGCAGGGTTCTGGGTAAATTCAGTCAAGTATTCAAAAGGAAATAGACAAAGAAAGTCAGCGGTCTAACCTCATAGTCGATCTTGAATTTCTGCACCATTCCCAACTCCATAAACATTCTCAAAGCAGCCGTTATCATGGCGTCAACATCCAGAGAGAAATCATCAAAGGACAGCTTATCGATGCCCAGCTCACAAACCAAGGGAATGTTAGCAGCCTTTTTCGTCATGGTCGGATAGAAACATCGAGGGTGAAAGAGAAATTGAGAATATGAGTTCAGAGAGCAGAGGAGGATGGAGAGGTCAGAGGATGCTCTGCCATTTTCAGATGATACATGGAAATATGGAGACATGCTAATTAAGACTCTGAGGACTCATTCGGAGACGGCTAAGATTAATGAGGGCGAATTTCACTGTTATTTACTTTCAGAGCTCATTGACAAACATAGTTGTACAGCGGTGATCATCAACAGCTTTTCCTTCCATTATTAAACAAACAAAAACACATAACACGTGTGATTCCAATTAACCATATTCATACTGAAGCATCCATGTCTTCTGTCTTCAGTGTGGTCTAATGAGCACAATGAGCAGATATGTCCTTTCTGGCTCTAGTCAGCATTGTTAACGTGACCGTTTCATGCAGTGTAACCTGCATCTCCTTCCAATGAGTCGAAGCTCTCTTACAAACTGTGTTACAGTTTCAGTACAATGCTGTCTGTCTTCCTCTCCTGTCTGACAGCCACCAGAGACCAGTGTTTCCCTCACAAATGTTTGCCTGTCAGGTTGGCAGGTATTCTCCTCTCTCTTAATTCACAGCCCCGGGTAACTAAATGTCAACCAGGTTTGTTTGCCACTGTTACGGCTCCATATGTAGAGCAGTTATGAAAGAAAGTGGGGGAAAGGCAGGGAGCAGAGCACGATGCTGGATGAGGGGGCTGAAAGATCACACAAGCACACTGGAAAGCAGGGTTCCTACTTCACGGTAATGGCCACAGGGGAAAATCCTACACATGAAAGTGCAGGAAAGTAGGTCATATCTATATTTCAGACATGTCATGCCAATTAAAAATGTAGATATTTTCATTTTTTCATCTTTATAAATAATGCATTGAGAATGATTGCCTATTGATTGAAGTAATCCATTTCAAATACCACAATTAGTTTATTTTCATTGGGGAATTCTCGGCCCATATTTATGCATCCACGTTTCTGTGGAGGAACTAGAGAATGGAGACTAGAAGACAGACTACCAATAACTCCTCTGTTGCCATAGATTTTTTTTTTTTCCCATTAAAATGAATGAGATATTGTTATTTAATTTAATTAAATAATTAAATAATAATAAAATAATTACTTAATTAAACAGCCCATGAACAAAACAAACACTCACACACAAATTTCAAAGATTTTACCTTGGTCTACACCACAGTTATTTTAGGCATCAGAGCACTGTTGTCTTGCTTTTATGAAGTGGAGGTTTAATAGAATCATAATGCACCTTTAATACTGTTATTTTCTCATGTCTTAATTGAACTGAATATCAGGCCAAGATGTTAAGGAGCATATCTACTGAAGTAGGAGAACAATACAATTATATTAAGGCAATTATCTGCACCACCAGAGCAAACCTGATAATCACAAATTGTAATACACAGTGCGCATACACACTGCAAACTACAGGAGACACCATCCTCACCGGACCAGAAAATAATCACATGGTTCCTTTTGGAAGGCAGTGACAAACGGTCTATTTTGCCATATGAGGACTTGTTGAAATATTCCACTAGGGTGTAAGAAAAGGCTCCATATCATCCATCATCCTCTACTTTGTGGAAAAAGTATCTTCGAACACAGTTATTCAGAGCTGCGATGAGCCTTTTTAGCGACATTTGTCTGTTATTAAAGGCAAAGCATACTTCATGGCAGAAACAACATGTGCTCCTATGAGGTTTACAGGTGTAGGTGTACCTATTCATTCCTACTTAAAGTGATGGCTCAGGTTGTTTGACATGGGAGTTGTATGAGGAGCTTATCCATAGTCAGTGTATTACCTGCAGTAGACTTGAGTTAGAGCGCTCCCAGTTTAGAGAAACAGCCACTGTAAACAGCCCTTTCCTTTGACACTGCATTTTCTCAACTGTTAAACTTCCATATTCCTACACATAAGTGCACTTACACCACGCACTGTATAGTGCCGCAGATCAGCTGTTGAGTCATAAAGGGTTCTTTGACTGCAACATAAAGCAGTGAAAATATTAAAGATAATTACTTTATTAAACTGTTTTTTAGGTGGCTAAAACAAGTTTTTTTTCTGCTGTCCCCGTCCACAGCGGTAGATTGCTCAGTTTTTTTGCCGGTACTCCTGCCTGCTTCTCCAAACTGGGAGCACTCCAACCCAGACCTACTACAGGTAGTACACTGATAATGGATATGTACCTCATACAACCCCACATCAAATTATCACTTTAAGCTACTTTGGGTAATTTTTATAAAAAACTTCTTCTTCCCTCCCTTTGTGTTCACATTGTCATATTTGTTGTCAATAGTCGATCAGTGTTACTTTGTGGATTGGTTTTACACTATTTTGTCGATTGACAAAACAGATACCTTTAATACACATTTGGTGCTCTAATGAGTTCCTCCTGTATTTATGTGGAATTCATGATAATGAAGGAACACGTCAACCAGTGGCTCAGTTATGTGTTTTTAAAAATGTAGGTCTATGGCACAGAGGATATAAGATATAGCAGGTTTTGACTACACAGGCAATGTTACTGCTGTTAAAGGATAAGGCTTTAAGAACAAGCAATGTCTTGAGTTGTGACTTTAATATCTGTGTTGAGCTCAGAGTTAAAAAACTGAATCCCCGAGACTACTGTAACTGTTGAGAGAAACAAATGGGTTCACTGAGACAAATGTAATGAAGGCGACTGTGAATATCTGTTACCTTGAATTTGTCAACTTCAGTCTTGGAGCAAGTGGCATGGTAAGACAGAACCTGCAAAATAATGACATCGTGTCACTCAAGGTATTTTTCAACTCATTAAAATAACCAGTAAGAGCTCCAAGAGAAGCACAACTGTGGTTACGGCTGAAAATACTGCACATTTGTATCGCTGCATTTCAGTGGATCTTCCAGATGAGGAAGTTCACACTCACTTCTGGAACAGTCTACAAGAGCATAAATGTCAGCCCTGATTCCATCGCCATGTTCCCTTCATTTCCTGAGAGAAATACCTCGCACAGACCTGCAGTTGCTTATTTGATCATAAACGCTCATGTTTATTCAGTGCTGCCAGAAGCAATGCATCTACATATTAGTGCATTCTGTGTCTCTCCTTTAACTGCTCTATCTCTCTGTTCCCCACTTCTCCTATCTTGAAACACAGCTAACTACTATAATGCACCTGGAAGCTCCCTATTGTAATCTAAGGACATACTGTAAAGGCTGAGTAGTGCTGAATGGCTACATACTGCAGGGCAGATGAGGGATTGCTTTTCACTGCTTCTCATTAATTTTCAATAAAACCTTTGTGAGAAGGTTATCTACAAAGAGAGATCAGCACTTTTTTCATGCGTACATTTTTGTGGAAATATGAGTCTAAAAAAAAAAGGAGCCGAACACAAAGGCCCCTGAAAGCAAATAAGTCAGAAGAGGTTTTATGTTAGCCATGCAGAAGCCATTGTTTCCGGAGTTCTGGGGAAACGTTTCAGCATAAAGCATATGTTGACTGGAAAGGAAAATAAAGGTATGCCTAAGGAAACATAAACACAATAAAGATTGACAAAAGGAAACTGAAGTAGAAAGCATGGTCAGCGCAGAGTCAACTGAAGTCAATGCCCTCAAGCAGCATTACAGATTGCATAGTAATGTTTTTGCAAATTTAAGCAAATAAAAAGATTTCTTGTTCAAAACGTGGAAGAAATTGCATTTTCTTTTTTCTTTTTTTTTTCAAAATGTGATATGAGGCAGGTAATCGAATGAGACGTTGTGTTCTTACATCCAAAGCAACAGATTGCTTAGCCCAAGACTTCTTCACCTGGTCGTACATGATGGTGTTGTTGATGCCCAGTCCACAGAAGATCACAAACGCCTGAGAAATGAGCAAAATGCAAAAAACACTCAACTACAACAGTTTCCTATGCGCCAGCAGGATACTTTATGTAAAAAAGATATAGGTGCAAGTGTAATACCTCAAAGAGACGCTGGTCTGCGTCATCAAATGGTTTCCCGTCGAGCCTGTTGAGCACTTGAGCGACACCTGTTACACAAAGCCAGTTTATCCATACAACAGGAATTTATCAGTAAAGTTTTAAGCTTGATATTGGAGAGGCTCTAGTGCGTATAACCTGCCTCCAATTAAAAGAGGCTCAAACCCACACACAGCATGTCATTGACTAAAATGCATTATTAATGGAAATTAAGCAGAGACACAACATCCTATCACGTAAATAGCTGTATAAGTATATGCAGAAATTCTACAATAGTATGTGTTGTGTCAAACTATGTTAAAAATGTCAGTAGACACGATGAAAACACCATGCCACATATATTATACTGACACGTGGTTATACAAAATGACATATGTATTGTATATATACTGTATATATTGTCCACAATGCTGCAAAGCCTTTTTATGTGAGCAGTATTTTCTGTTCAGATGGCTTCTTTCATCATCTAATTAGAAACAGAAAAGGCGTTGTTGATAAGGCACAAATATTTAATTGATGACTTTTATTGTTACTGAGAAATTATGCTAAAAGGTAATCACACAAAACATCTCTGGGAGGTCAAACAAACCTGCCATACTGACATTTTAATTTCAGTGTGTACCTGGAAATCCACAGAGGCTAAGGGATTAGTGCTGTAGCTGAGAACAATTTTCACTGTGGTGTCATTAGATCTAAAAATCCAGGTCGTCTCAGATCTATTACTGCTCTCTCATGAGCATGTAGTTTGTGATGAGTTGTAGCTCAGGTGGCCCAAAGCATAAGCAAATGAAATGGCTGCTTAGAGCCCTGCGGCCATAACATAGTCTTTAACTACACCATATTCCCACTGTCACAAGTGTTATTTTCCATTATCATAACAATTACCAAAAACCAATATTTGACAACAATTTACAGCATTATCTTTTACATAGATGACCCCACCGTGTTGTGTGGCTTATTCACCGGGTGTCGAATTCTGCTTAGATGGTACATACTAAATTATACCAAACAGCCAGGCTCAGCTCAAAGTAATCTTCATAAAGTTGCTGTTTATCATAATGGGACAAGCAGTTAACAGGCTTTTTTATTTTTTGTAGAACAACAAATTGCTGTTAGCCAAAGTGCCTTTTGTCTCTCAGGAGCAATCTACTGATTTTGCACACAAAGCAGAACCTATGCAGGAATGGCTTAAAAAGCAATGTTAATGTCCTGGAGTGGCCAAGCCAGAGATAAGATGTCAATCCAACTGAGAATAGATTCTTTTTTTTCTTTTTCTTTTTTTTAAAAAAAAGCCATTCACTCACAAAAACCATGCAACCTGACAGAGCGTGAGCATTTTCCCAGAGAAGAAGGGAGGAAGTGTCACAGACTCAAACCTTTAATTGTTGCTCAGCTTCACATATCTAAAACCTCTTCTAAAAACCTTCTAAAACCTCTTTTTTTTTTTTACAAATGCTCACTGCGATCAGGTTTCTCTCTCTCACTCACTCACCATCCATCCATCCATCCATCTATCTAGCCATCCATCCATCCATCCATTCATCCATCCATCCATCATCCGTCATCTACACCCAGTCTTCCAGGTGCACCCCGAGTCTATCAAAGGGCTGTCAAAAAACGAACCAGCNGAAGAAGGGAGGAAGTGTCACAGACTCAAACCTTTAATTGTTGCTCAGCTTCACATATCTAAAACCTCTTCTAAAAACCTTCTAAAACCTCTTTTTTTTTTTTACAAATGCTCACTGCGATCAGGTTTCTCTCTCTCACTCACTCACCATCCATCCATCCATCCATCTATCTAGCCATCCATCCATCCATCCATTCATCCATCCATCCATCATCCGTCATCTACACCCAGTCTTCCAGGTGCACCCCGAGTCTATCAAAGGGCTGTCAAAAAACGAACCAGCTGAAACTAAATGTACAGATTCACATGTTTAATATGATCATAATGCTGGTCTGACACTGTCAGCAAGGGAGAGATCTGAATCCTGACCCCACACATTACACAACGGTGAGCAGATGTTTATCAAACTGTAGTTACAATCCTGCTATAGTGGAGTGTTTCTGACCTAAGGCAATTCAGTTAAATAATTAATTTACTTATTTCAAAGTTACCTAGTTGTGATGTGATGAAATTATGAATAAAAAATTTGGCAGTCTGGCTCTCTCTGAATCACCATCCACATCTCCAATTTTTTTCAGTAGTACAAACAGAATCAGAAACAAAATGGTAATTCAGTCTAATTATCAAACTGGCAAAACCAACACTTTTTATGATCGTTTTAGGTATCTGAACCATGAATCACCCCAAAAAAACACACAACACGAAGTGCCGGCTACGTTTATTACAGCGAATTTTCACTGCATATTGCAAAAGGAAGCGTTAGAGTTGATTTTACTCACGGTTAATATTTGACATTAAACCTCATCATTGTAGAATATATAGTCACAACAGTATTTCTTGTGGTTACATTCTGAAGGAGCTGGATGTAACCTTGGAAGATGACACAACGACATTTGTTTTTTAAGTGGATGTATCCTTGACTTGAGAATTTAATCTCCTGCTGCTTTGTTTGTATAATGGTTTTTCACTCCAGATCCTCAGGTGCCCCCCACACATACAAACACACACACACACACACTACATTTCTTTGCCCCTTCACTGTTTCTGTTCTTCCTCTTCTCTCTCTCCTCCCCGACAAATGCCCTTACACCTACGCAAAAAAAAATGTAAATGTGAGCACACACGGACATCACACTCACACATACACATGTACAGGTCTTAACCAACCATCTGCAGCAAATATGCTGACCACTTTGCACTCAAGTAAAACTAATGACTTCCTGCGTGAAATCTCAATGGACCAAGTGGAGTTGCTGTCATTGCTCCTCCTTGCAATATCCAGCACCAAAACCAGGCGAGAGATCAATGATTTTTTTTTTTTTTTGAGTGTCGGTGTGGTGTCGGCCTGGGCCTGATTCACAAACACAAAGCACACAGCCAGAAGAAGGGAACCTCCAAGTGCAGAGTGGTGCTGCAGCACGGATCGAATCACACACATGCAGCCACAGCTGAACGTACGCTCAAGCTTCCCTATTGTCTACTATGCAGCATAAATGGAAGAAAAAAAATCAGAAACCTACGTTATGAGTGCATGTGAGTGCTGTATGATGTTAGTGCTGAATATATTCTGTACACCTGCATTATACGTACAACATGTAGCCAAAAGTATGTGGACGGCTCTCTCTTTTGGTTTGTGGCTGTTTTTCATGATTTGATCCCAGTTTGAGGAGGGTCCTTCACTGTTTCAACATGCCTGTGCCCATGTGAAGAGAGAAGTGGTTGTCCCAGTTTGGTGTGGAAGAACTGGATCGGCCTGCGCAGAGCCCTGACCTCAGCTACATCCAACACCTTTGATGAGAGCTGAAATGCTGACTGCGAGCCAGTCCTTATCACCCAACGTCAGTCACAGCATCACTAATGGAAAATCCCTGCAGCTGCATACTTGTCCTCGTACTTTTGGCCATATAGTATATTGCATCTCTCTAAATTCAAATGTTCCATATTTTACACTTTTACAGTGTTTTTATTTTTTAAGTTTTTGATATCCATAAAATCTTTGTGGTTTTAAGTAGTAAAACGATCTCAGTGTAGTTTTAAATCTTCTCTCTCAGGCTTCTTTCTGGAGCTCTAGCAACAACAGGTTGGTGAGCCAATCAGAAGAGAGGCTCTGAGCCTCTGAGACTCTGAGTGATTGAATAAAAATGTAGCAGATTACAGGTAAACACTCATAAAAAACAAAACCTGCAAGATTGGATGGTGGGTCCAGGTGGGCTGGGCTTGGGGCATGACTGAGAGCAGTGACTGCTTTGTTGTGACATCACAAAGTTACAGAAGTCCTGACGGCTCATTTTAAAGCTCAGTTTCTGAATACAGGTCTGTGTGCATTTCTCTGTGGACTGAGCACTTTGATACTTTCACATTATTAATATAGAACCTAGACCTGCTTTATAATCAGAAAAGACATGGAAATCTCATTTCATACAATATGGAAAAATTTATCTCCTTTTTAACATGTGCAAATTTCATAAATGATTAATGTTACATTTATATATCAAGTAAGTTCAGGGGCAAAGGAAACACTGTTAACTTACCAATGATTTGGTGGTTGCTGTTCCATATAGGAACACAAAGCACAGAGCGGATGTGGAAGTCCGAGAACTGGTCTGCCTAAAAAGAGTGAGGGTGTTAATACAGTATGATATGACACCATCCATCCTCATAAAAAAAACACATTCCCATGCACTGTGCTCAGCATTATACTCTGGTTTTAGCTTTAAGTATAAGTGAGAACCTCAACAGAAATGTTCACACATCACAAACAAGCAATTTGAAAACATCGGCAGCTGGTTGCCTTTCTGCCCAGCCAGGGGCTAATGGTAGTGCCATAAATGAGTACACATTGTCTGCGTTTCTGCCATTGCTACTTAAGGTTGACCATGTCAAACTTTTGCTGCTTGCAGCTGGATGCAGAGCAGACTGCTGTGCTAGCCGCTGTTCTGTTTAGATCTATGCAGCATCAGCACCGTTCACTGTGGTCGCTTCATCCTATGGAGATCAGTTAACAGCTGACAAAATGCAAAACTGGGTAGTATATCATTTCTCACCATGTAATGCCAGTAAGACATGATTTAATGCTTTTTTTTCAAAAATCAAAAGGCAACTAAGAATTTATGTTTGGTCGAAGACATTTCCAAGAGGCTTCATCCGTTCTACTGACTGGTGGCCATTTTAACATGTTTGAGCTCTCCATAAGATCACATGTGGATCATTAAAACCAGACGAGACATCATGTGAGAGTCCAATTAATAAAGGCGCAAATTGTTATGAAACCACCTTGAATGTAATGTCAAGACAGCAACATAAACTGATAAACAGCTCAGGGACGGATGTTAACAGTTTGACATTGATGTTCCTCAGTTTTAAACCATCTGTCCCCCCAGTGAAATGTACACTTACAATGGCATTCTGACGTTGCTTTTCACAGTAATTAATAAATCCCCTGTCTGACCTCACTCACTTGCATGTGACGTAAATGTGTGAACATCCCACAGTGGTTGAAAGTGCCGCAGCAGCCTGTGGAACTGAAGCAGCCTCTTAAAATGTCTTCAACACCAAGCACTAAGTCTTGTGTTGACATCGTACTTGTAGATATAAATGATACCTGGATGACATCATTTTACTCAAATCACATCCCTGTGACGTCAAATCTGAAAGGACCATTACTGTGTGTTTACCTCAGCATCAAAGCGAGGATCCTGATAGGCGTCGCTAATGTTCACGGGCAGTCCTGTGGATGCCACCAGCTCTGCGATACTGTTGTTGATGAGCCAGTCTGAGTAAGATGATTTCTCCATACTGTCTTTGAAACTAGGGTCAGAAAATAAGAGGGAAAGATGACGAAAAAAAAAGAATAGGAGAAACAGTGTGGAACCAACACACACTTTAGCTGATAACTTTGTTATCATATCACAAAAAAATACCCTTTTATTGTATTCAAGAAAAAAAATGTTTTATTTTCTTTCACACCTGAACTGCAAGCTTGCAAAAGGCCACTCTTATTTCTCCGTGTGGAGCCTCTTTTGACTTGCATTTAATGAACTTCTCATACAGTAGATATCGGTAAGCTTCTCCTGCAGCTTATGAAGTACTGGAAAGTTAATTGTGTGATTGTCTTGCTCATTGCCAGTCGCTCCCACACACTGCCACAGAAGCACTTGCAGCCCTGCTCAGGCTTCCCATTCACATTTATTGCAGTGGGCTGTTGCTGACTTTTTACCTTTAAACACAACCAGGTAAATGTTCAGCATCGCTCATTTTGTCTTTCAACACTATACTAAAGATGGAGAGACACTGATGTCAGATCTTTTGAATCCCTTTGATCTAGTGATAACGGCTGTGTGTGGATGTGAAACCCACAGTGAGGCATGGAATAAACCTCATAAGTGAGATGGCAAGATACCTCACCTCCTTTTTCTTTCTTTCTTTCTCTCTTCATCCCCTCTGTCTCTTTTGTGTGTCGTGTCTGTCATTTAGCTGCCACAGACACACTAGCTCAACATTAGCCTCCCCATGGGGGCGGCAGGGGATTGTAAGTCACATTATAAAACCTACAGTACGCCTCGCCTTTTGACACCAAATTTAGTCACCTAATTACACACATAAATCTTGCACAGCAGCTTTTCTTATTCAGATGTGAACCTATAGGAAGACTAGGGTCATCATGGAGATACTGTACTTTGTGTGGCTTTTTATAGAATTTGTGACACCAGAACCACAGATCAGAAGGGAGCGTGTTTAGTCAGAAACTCTTGGCCAGTCAAGTAAACTTACATTCCCTTGATTACTACTCAACTCTCACTATTGGTATTTCTTGTGTTAGGATTATTGTTGCAGCTATCACTACTGACTTGAAGTGACCGCATCAGTTATGGCAAGTGTAGGACTCTGGGGATAATTTGTCTTCCTTTCAGGGTTGGTTTCCATCCATAAACATCCCACACAATATTAAGCCTCTCTTTCGCCACTCAGCCATGCCTAGCAGTGGTGAAAAGCTGCAAAACCCAATTAATTAGGGCCTACAGTATGCCTTCTATTCAGATTCAACATATTACTCCCACAGCACTACAGAATATTCAATTTTTATACTTCTTCTTTTATACTATACTTTCTTTTTTTTTGTCCTTGATGGAAGCTTTACAGATTCAAGAAGGTTATGTGCAGTATTTACAGGTGGCGTCGTGCCAGAGGCAATCAAAGGTGGAGATGTGGTTATTTAGTGAAAAGGTTACTGGTGTGAGAAGATAGAAAACTGAAAGAAAAGATATGTTTGTTTTTGTTGAGGAGCAGAGTGGATTTTAACACTAAAACAACATACATACCTGTTTTCAGTGTCTGCACTACACTTAGGGGACAGAAGCTCAAACGACTTGGTGAACTTCACCACCTGAGAGATTTGACACAGAAGAAATTAAAAAAGCTGTTGGAGTGTTTACTGGTAAAAGCTAAGACATACAGAAAGAACAGACATACACCTGCACACATGTACAGACTGATAGACACACACACTGCCAGACAGCAGAGAGAAAATCAGTACCGGTGACTCAATGTCCTCCAGCAATTGTACAGAGCAGCGCTCGCACTTCAGCAACGTCTGGGCACGGTGCATGATCTTCCTGACAATCTTCTCCAGGTCAGTCTGTTCTTCAAATAGGTCATTGACTACCTCCAAGAGTGCCTGAACACCAACAACAGAAAAAGATACCACTGGCATTATTCTCAACAATCTGAACCACACACTGTTGTTAAAACCAAAGAATAAGAAATCATGTCAGCAAGTAGTAATGTGGACCCTTTAAATAAAGTTCTGCCTCTCTCAGCTGTTATAGCATGATTATTATTATGATCCTTAAACCATAAACCAAGAGGATGATATAACATGATTATTCCCCCAATAAAAGTAAATTAGGCCCTTTATCTAAGGCAGTGCTGATCCAATTTTAAACACGAGCACATCAAAAACATTTGGTATAAAGGGTGCTCCCCTCATTTCTCTTCTCTGTTCACTGAGTTGTGTTCTCATTATGTTCTCTTCCATCACAGATCAATGTGTGACATGAATTAGTGCATCTCTTAACATCCCCTAGGAGATTTAGATCATGGAACAGGCCCTCATCTGGATACAGGCCCATCCCCCTCTACAATTTCAGAGAAAATGTCCATGCAGGGCTGCATGCTGCTCCGTGATCCCCACTGCAGCGGCAGCAAGTGCTGATCAATACTCAGCCACAATGTCAGCATCAGGGGGGAGGAAGTAATGCTGATCCCAGGGATGAGGAGCTGGGGGGTTAGGGGGGCTATTATCCTGGTTAGGTCTGTGGCCCTTACCCGACTCCTGTCATACTCCTTCCTTGAGGCAGCAAAGAGCTGGGCATTGGAGATCGCAATACCACAGAATGGCAGGTACATCTGCAGCACCTGTGGACATATTGAACACTGTCAGTATTGAGTTACATACAGAAAAAACAGGGTTATTTACACAGTTCTGACAATGGTGTCACACTATTCCACTCATCTACAGATAGCAGCAATGCACAAAGAAGCATGGCAATGAGCCAACAAAGGCAATGAAGAAGACTACTAGCTGTTAAACAAGAATATAAACAATGTAGGATTTTAAAAAATGGGCTTTTTGCAAATATTTCATGAAGATGTTTTATAAGAAACACTGAATGTAAACATAACTTTTGTTCACAAGAATACTCCACAGGGCACCTCTAAAGAAGCTATTTGTGCAAGCTTTTTTGTCTGCTGCTGCTGAATGTGGTTTCTTACCGAGAGCAGGTGGTGGTGATTGTATAATACAAGATGTTATAATATGCTACAGTGAGTCGCTATCAGAAAGTGACAAGACGGGCTGGAACGGGTTAGCAGGCTAGCTGGTTAGCATGCTAAGGTCAGTAGAAGAAAAGAAATGATAGAAACAAGAGATAACATTGGCATTGCTTTCCACTATTGGGGGCAACTCTTGGCGAGTAAAGGAATGAAGTTTGTTGCTGAACTCGCATCATTTCTCATCTTCAAACTGCTTAGAACTGGCTATATAATTATAGCTATTTGGAGAAAAAAAAAACAACAACAAAAAGTGAGTGAGTAATACTTTCATCCAAGAAAAACTTAGCTTTTGAACTGGAACAAATAAGAAATTGCCTTTCATTGGCATCATTACTTTCTAGGACAAATAAATCAATTCAACTGACATTTTACCATTTGACTGAATAGTCAGACTTACTTGTGCCGTGGGCTGATAATATAAATTCCATATAAATTCACTCATATTTTCTTCACATAAATAATGTAATTACTTGATGTGGCCTAATGACTATAGTTAATATGTATCCTGAAATCGAATCAACATCTCACTTGTTTGGAATTGAACTACATTTTTTTTTTTCTCGCCACTCTTGATTCATAATGAACAGCAATATGCAAGCAACCTCAACACAGAATGTAGGCTGAACTGTATTTGACTAAAGAGAGCCAGGGCATTAACACACAGGTTGAATTCTATACAACTACAATTACTCTACAGTTTGGCCTTATCTGAGAGACACTCAGCGCCCATACCATGGAATCAAGTAGAATTTAGGTTGTGTGCTTCCTTACTCTGTCTCTTTGTTTAGTTATCTATCTTTAGCATCTGGCTGCTGTGTAAACAATACAATCAGTACAACAAACCCACTAATATTTACCAGCCTCCAGTGCGACCTGAGGGTAGGGACACTACAACAATACATGAATGGGAAGTTACTCAGCTGTGGCTGCTGATACAGGGATATCTCTCTCACCTTTCAGAGAAGATAATATATCAGTTACTCATCAGCCACAAATAAACATGTAAGGAACACAGTCCTATAGCACTGTGTTGAAAATGTGACGCTTGTACCACTGACCTGCTCAAAAAATATTCACAGCCTTGACTTAGCCCCATGAGGAGTGATGTCATGTACAGTTGCAATTACAGGAAAATAATTGACTAATATTGGCTATTTTTATTTGTTTGATATGCTTGAGAAGAAAATACACAATGTGTGTTTAAAATATATTAATATTTAAGTATGATACATTTGGAGCTTACTCCACTCTTACAATTGAGTAATGCATTCACATGGCAACCTGACAAATCTAATTGCTGGGTTCACGATCATTATAGACCTAAAATGACATCACAGACTGGGAGAAGCTGAGAAACCCTGCTCTAATTGTTACAGTTTCTCTTTACAATCCAACAGATCTTCTGGGTTAGCTTAATTTAATGTATCACTCTGTATTTCAATGGTAGTATAGGGCTATCTGAATTTAAATAGCATGTTGGCTCCAGCAAGAATGCATTGTTTATACTAAAGAAAGACTCCAGTGAGTTTTACTTTGAAGGACCGCATTGGAATAAGCCATTTGGCTTTATTGTGTTTTTATCCTCAATGATTGTAACTACTGATAAACAAGATATGGTATCGTACTTATATATTAGTGCATTCTTAAACATCAAATAAATTCAATCAATCAACAACATCAAAAATAGAATTATTCTGCTCTGGCATGTCACACTGATGTGCATATTGTGATACTGTTCAGAATTATGCTCAGTGCAAATTAAATCACTAAACTAAAATAATTTCTAATCATAACATGATATAAAATATTACTCTGTCATGCTAATGAGTAAATTAACTTAATGCACTTCATTCAGTCATTGTACATAATCAAGTGCCTTATGCAATTGTTTTCAGACACAGAAAACAGATGATGCTGAGCAATAAGCTCATACATAATGCTATTTCAGCTGTCCTTTGGAATTCTCTAATAATGATCTTCCAGAAAGGCAGTGGCCATCAATAGCCCCAGCAGGAGCAGATTCATTAGCGAGCTGGACTTTGGGGATCTGGCTATGGATCTGCCTGTGGAACTAACAGGCAAACCCAAGAAAAGCACTGCTTTCTCTAATTACATTCTGTCAGGCAGGCCATTATACAACATTGCATTACAAACAAGACGTTTTTGCCTGTGGACTGATCAGTAAAGAGTGGTTTAATAACGAAACTAACTGGCCAAGGCCTCAGGGACAGTCAGTTCCTCTAACCTCAGTGACTTCCTTTCACACAACTGGAATTTCATATTAGGCAAACCAAGATAAATTACATAGCCAACACTTTCCTTCTCCACTTACCCCATAAATAACAACTACTAGTTGATTTAAAAAAAAAACTGTGCACACTTTGCACGAGTGGTAAGCTGAAGCCATTGCTGTTTTGCCAAAAATCGCTCTCAGGAAAAAAAAAATAGAAGCTCTCCATTTTCTCCAATCTTATATGGGTCTCCCCAGCTTGTGTCAGCAAAGTGCATAGCAGTTTTACAAATACACTTAGCAATGATTGCTTCTTTTGAAGGTGACATCAAATATCTATGCAACAGTAATCTACACCCCTACAAATTTCAAAAGTATGCCATTGTTATGTATTCAGAACATGAATTTGTACATAAATAGCAACATGAATAATGTGTAATAAAATATACTTCAAATGAGGTGAAAATGAATGATCCCATTTCCCTCCTTTCTGAAGTATTATGATTTACAAATCATAATTTCATACAAACAAACTTAAGCATTTGACATAGACTGAATTGACTGGCTGTATTCTATGACTATTAATACAACACAGTTAATAAACACTGTACCACACCAGTAGTGGTGTTCAATAGCCATTATCCATAAATAATTAAATTGTTCTTCACATCGCAGGTACATGGAAAAAAGCCAGGCGCAAAAGAGAGGTCACAATAACTAAGCAGCAGGTGTTGCGTCAGTGCAGTAACATCAACACAGATCAAGTTTTGTAAACACTTACTGCTCCTCAAATGAATTTTCTTGTGGCCATTAAGAATTCTGTAAACTTTTCTACTGGATTTATGAAACCTTTCAAACTACAATGACTCTTTTGAGGTTTTCTTGTACTTTGTAAACAAAAGAAATATCTCCTTACTCTCAAAAGATAAACCGTGGTATGATTGGTGATTTGGGACACATAGAGCAGAGTTAAAAAAAAGAAATATATGTTTATATTACTTACTTACTTATGGAAATTACTGTGCAATCTAAGTAAAACTGCCCCTATCTTGTATTAAGACCGGACCAAACAGTTACAGTTGATTTAGTCACTGAATTTATTCACGAAGACATCAAGGGAACTGTATTGCCACCTCTTCTGGCAGTGGTACAAAGTTGTTTACACATGCTAAATTAATCTCTGAGAAACTTAGCATCATCAATTACTTCAATAATTCTGAATTACGTAATGAAGGAATTTACTAATTAACAGTAGAGTTTAGCTGCACAATGTATATTCTGTGTCTGTGTCAGATATAACCAAGATACAGATTGCTTTGAGATGCTCTCTGTGGCAATTGCTAAGAACAATGATTGTACAAAACTGTGACTATAGGAGGTATTTATTAAGGTATCATATATAGAAATGTACTAATCAATTAGCAGATCTACCAACAATGTAATATTTAATCTCATCTTTTTGACTATTGAGCTATTTTGACTTGGAAGAACTGCAACTAACAATTTATAGTATTTCATTTTTTCACATTAAAATGTCTAAAAATGACTAGACCTGTGTAATATATATTATTTGAGTTGTATACTTACATTATCCCGAATGTTTCTAGCGATTCTCAAACCTAGAGAAATAAGTGATTTTAATCTGTAATAGTACAATTTGGTCGCATGTCAATGGCATCATATCCATGAGCATGGGTTGGAGTTGTGGTTGCCTGCCAGAAGTTCAAAATTGACTTTTATCTAGTTTTAAGCCACATGCACTTTTTACACCTTGGTCGTTTTCAACTTTACATTTTAACCAGATGAAGGATTTTAGTATGGCTTTTAAGTTATCAGAGAAAAAAGCCAGACAAATGTTTGGCAGCTCAGCTCCCAGCTGCTGAGACCTGGAGATGAGCGCTGGCGAATTTCTGATTTGAGTGGAAAGTGAAACTGCTTCATTTGTTTACCAGTTTTAATCCCCTGGTCTGTTTGTTGTGGATAACTCCGCTGTCGGAAAAAACGTGCTAAATGTCTGGTTCATAACTTATTAAAGACACAAAGGTAAGCAATCTCGGTTTCCAGCTACTCCAATACGTCATGTGTCCGCTGAAAAGCGTCGCTGCTGGCCTATGCAGTCAGCTAGTCAGAAGGTTTATGGGGGATGTCTTTCAGACACTCAAACCAGATAATTGAGACTCACATGACCCCTGACCTTGCGTTCTACTATATTTTCATACGGCCATCTGAGGAGTTCACCATGTATTTAAAAATGTTTAATTTTAATTTCATTCTTATTCCTATAAATGCCAGCCAATGGTGGCTTTTACAGCCATTAGCAACAGTAAAAAGCAAAAACAAAATAAAATAGTCTGATTCAAAGTATGGTGACAGCCAAAATGTTTTTAGAAATATATATCATAAATATATATTTTAAAAAAACACAAATAAAACATATTTCTGCAATTACTTTTTGCACAGTGAAGCTAATATGGACCAATAACATCAGTGAAAAAATGCATCGGCCAGGCTTTCGTCCAGAGACAAAGGCAAGGACTAAACTTAGTGCTTTCTCCACAAACAATGCCGCTATTCCACCCAGGGAGCTGCCCACTCAGATCTCATAATTTGTTGTAGTAGGGTTCGAAGTTCTACTCTGGCATCCCCCATGGCACATCTTAGGGTCCACCCATTTTTTCCTCTTTTGCTTATTTGCAAATGAAAAACAACTTTGCGTTCCACTGGGTTGCTAGGGCTATAATAAATACAAGATAACAGACAAGGAATCAAACTCGGTACCTACTTGGTCAGCATAGAGCTCAGCCCCTTAATCACCCGTATCACCTGCTCTATCTGTTCCACTTTGAGAGGCCAGACAGGTAGGCCTTTATTGTTTGGGACCCCCTCTGTACAATATCTCATCCACTTTGTTGTTGCCTCAAAGCTTTTCACACAGCAACACTTGATAGGTGCACTTCACCAACATGCATATACAACACATTCTCATGAACATCTACCGCATACTGGGCTCATATTGCAAACGTTCTATTTTTTCAAATCTCTCTATTTAAGTGGATTTTTGTGCCTTTTTGTGGTCATATAAAGAACTCTGCAATGAACCAGTTTGGTATATTACGCTGCATAAATTTGAGTTCTGATCTGATATCCTCCAGGAACGTATTAAAAACATGAAGATTCCAAGAAGAAATTGTCTTCTCTCTTCTTTAACTGTAGATTTACATTGGGAAATTGTGTAAAAGTGGCTATTACAGTATTGCTTCGAGCCAATTTGACAGGAAGTTTGGCAGCCAAAGGGGGCACAGCGGTGAGGGGAGAATGGTATTTGCCAATGAACTCACGCAGATGTTAAACTATTTTGGCAGATGGAACCTACATGGGGGAACTCACATCTTATTAAGAGAAAATTATGAAAATGCCTACCTGTGGATAATACATTTCATGTAAAATGTATTAAAGGGCATGCAAAGTGAAAGTAAAGCTAAATCAAGATAACAATGCAAGATGTAGAGATAGATGATGAGGTCAGCTTATACACTTAAATTAAGGCAATGGGTATATTCCTCTACAGATAATGAGAATGCAATTATACGTGGGTTAAACCATTATCCAAGGTCTCCAAAAGATTCCAGTCCTGCAGGGATCAACAGAACACAATTAAGGCAGCGTGGGATTTAAAACCAGCCATATAATGTGTTTAAATATCCTATAAGGTTTCAGTACGTAGCGAACAACATTTGTTTTAATAAAGGTACACTAAAGTCTCTGATAACATCTCCTACTGCAGTATCATTTAATGCTTTGAATACTGTCATATATTTTCTTATCACAAGGTCTTCCATAAAAGCAGAGCTGCAGCTGCGCTGTGCAGCAAGCTTACTGTGATGCTAGTATTGCATTTCATTACTAATTCAGCTGTAGCCATCCCAAGCATTTGTGTGATGTTAATGCAATGTGAAACGTGTACTCAAAACAAGGGAAAGGAAAAAGAATTCCTAATCTCCATCTGTTATATAGAATGGATCGACTCTAGAGATATAATTTTGACAGTAGAGATAGATAGAGTAGAGCTTCACTGGAGAAAAACATACTGTAAATAAAAAAACTACACCCATTTGCTACACTGAAACCTAACTCTACAGTAAACGCACAACTAGTTTTGTGCTTTCATGTTTTATCTTTTCTACCCTTCAGGGGCTAGTAGCTGTAATAAGAGAATAAGTCAGTGAGTGTGCTTGTCACTGCCTTTCTGCTACATCTATTCAAGTGTGCCGATGGACAAACACATGCTCCCCATGCCCCTCTGATGATGGTAATAAGGCAAATAAACAATCATTCAGAAACAGAGAACTATCTGGATCAGTGCAACATAACACCCCACCTACTGTTTTAACATACTACAATATATTTGTATAATCAACTTCATCCACTAACATCTGTGTCTTTCTGTTTAGAGGTCAAGTAAAACAGTACAACAGTAAATTGTAGTCATCCAAGAGCATCTGTTCACAAATGTGCAGCAACTTTTGTCCATTTTTGTCCCATGCAGGTACACACATTCACACCTGGAAGCTGCCTAGCACCAGTCTGATCTGTTGCCCGCCGAGCAGCTCCACTGGAATGGTTGGGGTACCCCACACTCCACCACAAGTCCTGCTGTGCCTGGGTTAATTCTTTTCACATAAATGATGAAATCTAAATGGCAACACTCAATTAAAGATGGACACTCACCACATAAGTAAAGCGCTAACCAATTAGAGATTCTGAACAGCATATATAAAGTTGTTATTCTTGGTGACATTACAAAGTCCTGGCCCTTTGGAAGATACTGTCTTGCAAAGGGCGATGTTCTGAGTACTGAAAATTGGATGATGCTGAGAGACAAGCTATGACCCAGCTAAAAACTGTGCACTGAGACATTGTCTAAGGGCAAGTGTGCTTCACGTCTGACAAGTCAGTTGGATGAATTCTTTAAATAATAAATATTAGTTACATTCAGACTGGAAAAAAGGAACAAACAGAGAGAGTGAGCAAACATTACCTGCTGTTTATCAGACACCATGTATGAAGTTAGTGTTGCTTGTGAAATAATGCAAGAGGAAAAAAATAGATGTGACAGTATAGCATGAGCTACATTTAAACTCGGAGGACAATATGTGATGTGGACAGCATCCCACATAAGAGTGCTTATCCATTCTAATGAAGGTATTGCTTTTTCAGTGTTGTCACAGAAAAATATTGTTTCTGACACAACACATTAAGTCTGATTTAAATATAAAATTAATAATTAACATTTCTTTTTTTTTATTCACTCTTCTACCACCACAATACAGTGCTGTCCTGCCAGTTCTAATTTTCATTGTACCTACATGAAAAATGATTTGAAAATACTGTATTGCTCTCTTATTGTGAAACTACACACATAACATAATTCATATTGATTTGAAATATTTTTTTTCGATTACTGTGAAAAAACAACAATGCAGTTTAGCAAACAGATATGGTAACACTTGTAAGAAGCTGTCATCAATCAGTCATAATTACCAGCAGTGAATGAATGTGCATGTTTGCAGGCCCCAATGCAAATCATAACATACAAAATGGACACAATATGAGAAAAATCCCCTTTTTACTTCAGAGAAGTCCATCTTTAATATATCTGCTATTGCAAATGTAAGAATATAACAACACTGACAGCAATGAGAAATGACTGTTCACATCACTACAGCCCCGCTTCAGTTGTGTACCACTAACAAGGCAAAAACAGCATTGGCCCTAAAAAAAAGAAAAAAAGAGTGCCATCTTTGAAATGCCACACATGAATCATGAAGACAATGAGCATTTACTTCAGGCCTACACTTTCCCCTGCACTTCATTTCCTTCTGCTGCAATAATAACAAGCCTACTGTAAGAGTCTAAGGCCACGCCAGCAGCTCAGTAAAGCTGTGTTTGGGCACCACTGTGGCTAAGTGCTAATGTCAGCATGACAACATGCTCACAATGGCATTGCTAACGTACTGATGGTTAGCAGGTAACATTTACCACTAACATTTGCTATTCATGCGGATGGGAATGTCATTATTTTTGCAGATATTTGCTCATAATCCAAAAAAGTGGACAACTTCAAATTTACCTGATGATTAGAGGAAAAGTCATCACCAAAGTTATTACATCTTATCTAGTAAGGAAAAATGAATGCCTGTGCCAAATGTAGTGGCAATTCCTCGAAGGGTTGTTGGAACATTTTACTAATTTAAAAAATGAAAATCAGGTGGTTCTAGATTCAAAGTCAGGGGATCACCAACATTGTTGTTTGTGCCAATTAACAAGGTAGATTTGGAGCTAGAGACATTTGTAGAGACATACAAGCTGAAAAACATCAACATCATGATGGAGCTATAGATGAAATGATATCAGTAGTCATTGTGATTCATCCTCTGGGGAGCCTGAATATATGTACAAAATCTCTTTGCCGTGTGGACCAAAGGGGTGGTCCAGACAACTGACATTGCTATCCCTAGTGCCCTGCCACAAGTGTGTCTAAAAATTGTGAGCAGACTACCATACTGCCATGGAAGTCTTCCAAATTTAACACACAGATAAGAGAGGAGAGGATAAAATACAGAGAAAATATCAAGAAAATCAAGAAAAACTAACACAATTTTCTTGATAAATTCTGCAGGCATCAGGATACTGTAGCATGTGATACTCACCCTGCATTTTTACTCACAACCATAATAATGAAATTACCTTTTCATCGTCTTCAGTGAAGAGTTCTCCACTCGAAGTCTTGTTGATGGCCTGAGCAACTCCAATGATCTCTCCGTCACTGTTGCGAATGGGCATGCACAAGAGAGACTTTGTCTTGTACCCTGTTAGCTTGTCAATTTCATCACTGAACCGACGATCCTGCAATATAGGGACAGTATTAAACAAAAGACACAATGTAAGCACTCACTGCAAAAATGCACTTTTCCCTTTTCTTTTCAGATGACAGTGCATTAGTCCACATCTTACTAACAAAACAAGTCTAAGATAAAGGCAGTATGACAAACATCAGCATGGTTTGAGGTTTTGCTCCATAAAAATGTTGCTGGACAAGTGTTGGACTTGAAGTGCTGCTGCTGTGATTGGACAGCAAAGCAATGTAACTCTTCAGTAAATGTTTGGTCAGGCAATAAGAGATCTGCTCAGATTTCTCTTTTGTTCTGAAAAGCAGCTGTTGACATCATTTGGTGTCTTTGCTTCTTTAATGTACACTAGTATTACCTTACTTTTTTAAACTCATTGTAAACTACAAAGAGAGAATAACACTTCTCCATTATGGTCCTTTTTGTATTAGTCAGTGATGTTTTGTGTGAACCTGTATCTTGGCACAAGCTGTGTCCAGCTGACTGTTGTTGGTGTTGATTACATACGCTCAGCTCTGCCACACAGTTTGATTGATGATCAATTAACTGGGACAGATAAAACGACAGACTGAAAGAAAATGATCTCTCTCTCTCTCTCTCTCTCTCTCTCTCTCTCTCTCTCTCTCTCTCTCTCTCTCTCTCTCTCCCTCTCTCTCCCTCTCTCCCTCCCATGCAAATACACGCACAAAGAGGAGCAAGCACCTGGTAGGCGTCCGGAATGTTCACTGTCTCTCCATGTTCAGCCACGTACCCGATGATCCCTTTCCCCCACGGAACTTGAACTTCATCTGAATTCATTGAGGGTAAAACTGTGGTTCCTGCATGCACGTCAAAGAATTTGGACACTAGTGTTTTCTTGTTTCCGGTTCCCTCCACTAAAAACAAGGAGCACCGGTCTGCATCCACCATAATGCAAACAAACACCAGGATTTTGTAGCTGAGACTCGTTAGATCCAAGTCGTTAGATATGTCTTTTACAAGCTCCAGGAAAAACTCTCTTTCGTTGTGTTCTTTGAGGTAATATTTAAAATCCACGGCTGTGGACGGGTACTGGGGGATGTTGACTCTGGACTCCAGCAGTGCGCTCAGTATGTGCGCAGTGGTCGGGGGCAGAGAGCTCGCTTTCCTCAGCAGAGCTCTCCTCCTCATGCTCGTCAGCGGCTCCTGGGCCCTTGAGTTAACATGCTCGTCGTATGTCCTGTTGACATTGATGGCCTTTGATCTGGCGAAAGTTTTGCGCAGCTCCTTCTGCGAGGCTCTCCGTTGCAGACCGTCACATTTGCTCGCCCAGCTGTCCTTGCAAGCGTTGCTCTTCTCTTCCCTCGGCTCGGCGGGAGCAGCAGCCGCCGGACTTTTGCTCGCCTGATGATTCTTGAGCCATTTCTCCACCATGCTATAATTCCCCTTTCTGCTCAGGTAGTCCTCGAATAACTCGGGATGCGAGTCCAGAAAACTTTCCACGTCAGAGAACACCATATTTGGCACTGCCATATCTGTTCTTCTGATGGTCCTCAGTGAACCAAATCCATGAAGTCGCGCAGAGAAATACCATCTATGAGGCTTTACTGAGGGTTAATGCAGAGAATCGTGTGAATACCATAACTTCCAAGATGCAGATGCTGGAAACACCCCTGAAGCTCTGGCTACATATCCAGTTCCCACTCTGTGGGGAGAAGGATGGAGACTCCCTTTGCGCACCAGTATAGCCCTCCACAGCATCTCCACACCGTTCACTTAATTTAAGATCATTAAAGCGGATCCAAGCAAAGCAACGTGGAAGCAAATTCAGGCTCAGGTGTAGACTTCCACAGGCATAGGGAATCTAAGAGAGAGCCACTATACGGAGGCATCACCGTCGTATGAGTCTTCTTGTGTGCAAATGACGCCGGCTGTGGTTGGCTCTGTCCCACTGACGCTCGCTTCGTCACACACACAGGAGCTCAGGGTTGCTTCAGCACCAAGCCCTCTAGCCATTTGAACCGTTTGCCCCCCTTTAGAGGCGCTCTGAGTATGATGAAGATGGTGATGAGGATGGTGAGAACTAGGGTAAATTCACCTATCATATGCTCAGCATGCACAATATCGGATATATGATGCAAAATATACAATATATAAAGATATTAAAACGGTGTAGTAGAATAGTGGATATTTGCCCATTTATGATCATTACACACAGCAATAAATCCCTGTTATTCTAAATGTATAAGGCTGTAAAAGGAAAACACCCTCGTGTGTGTGTGCATTATAATTTAATGTTATTATGGTTAAGTACCGTCAGACATAATGTTTTCCTATGCATTCCCTGAAAAAGCATCGGTGATGGTACTGCAAGGTTGACAAGTCATCAAAGTGAATGACGCCTGAAGAAACGTGTTTCATCGCATAAATAACATTTATTTCACATCCGCCAAACTTTTGCACATGTGGAATCTGCAACGGCCTATATCATTTATGTATGTGAGATTGACTTTTATTGGCAGAAGGGTGTCAGAAACATCAAATTCCTTTATACAATATTAGTAGTGAATCTGTTTGCAGTTGTGACATTTTAACGCTAGAGGGAGCAATACTCCACAACTTGAACTGGGAATACAGCTAGACATCCCAGCTCTGATGAATAAGGGCAGTCTTTGTTACCTTGTCCCAACACGGACTTCCCCTGTTATATGATCTGTTTAAAGTGAAACTGTAAGCCTTCAAGGTTGTACAGCTTTTGATATTTACAATGAGCTCATGACACCATAATGTTTTTTTTTTTACCAGCTTTTATCTTCGAGCAGTGATTCAATAAATGCATTCAGAACAGTCAACATGCAGAATTTTCTCTACCTTTAATGGAGGACAAACGCCCTTAAACCTATAACCAACATCCTCATAAATATGCAGCATTTACTACACTCATATCAGTCTCCAAATACAAACAGATTCTTAAATGATACAAATTTCAAGTTACTTCATTTAGAGGTGAAAGCTACTCTCTGGAAAAGAACCAAGTATACAGTATGCATGTCACATGACGCACATCAAACCAGCACCAAGTCACACCTGGCAGGATCCCAGTTTTGAGGCACTGATCTTATGAGTGAATTATAAAATGCAGGAGACAGATCAAATATTATTTATCCATCTTCCTGGTGGAGAAAATTGGAAAGCTGCACACTCTGGCATATATCAATAGTCTGATATTCTCATATATGCACTTTAATTTGATTCACAAATCTACTACCTTAGTCAAAACTGTTTAAACAAGAAAAAAAATGATAGCCTGCCTCATCAACCATGCCCTGTATTTAGTCTGACCACATATTCACTTATGGGAATACATATTCAGTCAAACAAATTTCAAAGATAATGTTTAGTGTCAGTTTTATTCAATTTGCAAATTCAAAAAAAAGGCACAATAAAAGACTGTTGAGGTATCGTCAAAATCAGAAGCAGAGAAGTATATTCATTCTTGGCATGGACAGTTACTAAGACAAATTAATTATATGAAATCATGGAGGAACAAAAATGGATGACAGTCAATTAGCAAACATAAAACACAGATTTCAAGTCCCTACATTCAGGATACACAGTATATGGTTAAATAATTTATGTTAGAAAAGGAACCCGTTAAAACCAGGGGGATATCATTTACTCCACTACAATGGAGGATCATGTCGGATACAGAGGTGCAGCTGCCGACACCACTCAGATTGCTTGCTGTTCTGCCTGATTTTGAAAGAATGACAAGTCCTGGCCTCTTGAGCAGTTTGTGAAGACACGGAAACTGGCAAAGATGCACACATGAAGAGTTCCTTATGAAGTTGCAGACTTAAGATATTCTATAAGGTCAGCACGTTCACCCTTCTTTTTGATGCCAGCGAAGATCATCTTTGTTCCGGGAATGTATTTCTTGGGGTTCTCCAAATAAATCATCAGGGTGTCCTCGTTCCAGACGATGCCTGGAATTAGAGTGAACAGACACGGTGCAGAATCATGTTTTAGCCAAACAGCGTGACACCCAGGACTGTTCAAAAACTCTTGACTACACACATACAAGCACTTACCTTTGCTTTTGTTGGCCTCCGTGTAGGAGTAACCTTCCGCCTGGCCTGTTTTGCGTCCGAACAGACCCCAAAGGTTGGGCCCAACCTTATGCTTTCCACCTTTCTCCACAGTATGACACTGGGCACACTTCTGGACAAATGCCTTCTTGCCTTTGTTAATGTCTCCAGGCATGGTTTCTATGAAGAGGAGATACAAGCACAGGACAATTGGACTGAATTACTTCATTAGCCTTAGATCATTCTTAATAAGTAATCACTGACTAAAGTTAAGTTACCTCAAAATTGCATTTTGTTTCGTATTTTACCTGCTTTTGTTGAATAATATAAAAATGATTCATTCAGCCACAAGAGGGAGCTCACGTACTGGTTGCGCAACCAAATGTGGGCCTGGTATTGTTACCAAACTGTCTTAGATAACTTAACTTGAATGACAGTTTCTCTTATAAAACAAAAGCATTGCCTCTATACGTTCAATATATTTGTGGTGTTAAGATTTTCGACAACATAAAGTGGTAATATACGGTCTCTCATACGGGAACAGATGTTAAATAATGATGATAATAGATAGGTAGGCTACTATTATTGGACAGAAACTTAAGTATGAGCTATAAAAAGCGTTGAATATGAGTTTAATGGAGACATTTGTTAGTATATATGTGTCTCAGATAAAAAAAATCTCGGGTTAAAAAGTCGATATGTCTCCGGAAACACCGGCATTAGACCCACGTTGCCATGAAAGGAACCGGCAAAGATTATCTAGATCACATTTAAGTCGCATAGAAACACACTGCACTAAGCACAACGATCAGAAAAGCTTTATATTCTGATGATCATCGTCTTACCTTTTCTTGATATATCTTAAAACCGACTTCTTGAGTCTTTTAACTTCCCGGGTTTTCGTCCTGCGGCCGGCTCTGTCGCTGGTGATTCACAAATGTGCGTCCTCCCGGGGGGATGTCACTCCCGTCAGACGTCATCAGTCAGCTGACCTGTTTCATCATGCAATGTACACATGGCACATGTAAGACCAGAGACAGTGTAGAGGATCTTTGGTAACACCTTCACACCTGCCTCATTAACGGCTTCTCTCTGATATCGTTACAGCCCACCACACACTGAACAACACAGAAACAATGAACAAATGCTGGAAGGTTTCCTAAACCACTTGGGAGGGGATCACTATGGCTTCAATGACGCTTAATATCATCCTATTAATTGTCACTGACTTATCCTATTTCTTCTGTTACCAGCATGGCCACGAAATTATTGTAAAGAGTGTGATTTGATTCATGTCACAGTGACAATATAAGTGTTGCAGCGTAACATACCTTGTTTTTTCTATTATCGGATATCAACATAATCATAAAAAATTATATTATAAATGGGATTTGACTGAAGTTACACTTAATCTCTCTACCAGTGTCAGGACAAGTTTTCACTCGCATTTCCACTGCAAATAACAAAGTAGGCTATGTGTCATTTCATACTGCTGGAACAAACAGCCGAAAAGGTAATGACACTAAAAGTTAACTTACTGACTTGTAATTCATAGACTGTCTTTTGCCTTCCCACACACTTTTACCGATTTCTTCCCACACAGGATTCATACAGTTCCTGTGACAGAAAGGCTTAAAATGAAAATGTTCAATCATAACAAGGGCTATTCTGGAAATGACAAGCTGTGAGAGAGGGGAAAGCTTAAATTGGAGCATGTCTGAGTTCACAGTGGGTATGCCAGCCATGAAATTTGATATTCAACCATTTCTGAGACAGGCACCGACAGATGAGAAGAGTTTTTGACTACGTCTCAAGTTACTTTTACACATAAAACCTTCCCTATAAACCTCACTGTGTGAAAAACCCCTGGCAGTGAACAGGTTTCCAAAATACCCTGCCACCGGAGTACCACATACTAATGAGCAACAAACCATCACACACTTTGGTTATTCAAGCATTCAGTGACTAGTAACTGTATCCCATATCACTGACCTGCTTGCTTTTCTTTATTCAGTATAACAGGATAAGTATGTGTATTCTGCTTTCACTGACTGTGGTATAATTTTTCTTTCACTTGCTGCTTCTGTACCTGAAAGCAACTGGACACTCAGCTAGAGGTAATCTTATTGCTACACTCAAATATTTACCTTGATGCTGCATTCGCCACCCCCCTGTTGTCAAGTCTTCACAGCCTGTTAAGTTAACTATGACTACGCAAAGCAGCTAAATTGGTAGCTGGATCGATTTTATTCCATCTTTCTGTCCATTCAAAAAGTGCCCATCTGCAGTCTTGATAATGTGATGGTTATTGACAATTAGTTAGTGTTAATATGGCAGACCTCACAGACAGAAACCAACATAGATATCCCACTCTCTTCAAGTGCACCTGTTTAATGTACACTAAGTCCAGTACATTTAGATCTGGTTTGGTCCATCAACTATACAGAAGTAGCAATGCCACAGTGTAAAAGTACTGCATTACAAGTACATTACAAACTATATTGTTATTGATGAATTATGTGCAACTAGTAATTTAATTAATAAACTAATTTTATCTGGTATATATGATGTTGGTTAGTTTAATATATGCATCATAAATTATAAACTAATCCCTTTCGAAATAAAATTTTTTGAAGAAGTCCCTTAGGAATACGTTTCAGTTGTGAAGGAGTCCTGTGGGAATTATGCAGATATTGATCAGGACAATGAATCCCCTTTAGAATACAGGGATGTAAGATGTAAAATCTTAAAATGCAAAGTAGGTAGATGTAAAATAAATGTACAGAGGTAAAAAGCAAAAATGTTTCCATCTGAACTGTAGTGGGATAGAAAGTATTAAATATCCATGCTCAAGTAAAATACCTCAAATTGCACTACATCCCCTTAATTACTTTTGAAATGTATTACTCTTTATTTGCAAAAAATAGGTACAACAATAGTCATACAAAAAACATGTGTGAACTTTGTACCAATCAGAGGAGTCCATTGAAGTCCATTCACTGACATTCACCTTAAAGTTCAAATTAAAATATTTTAATCCAAAATATTTAAAGAATTCTGAGCTTGTTAGTTCTTCACATTTATAAGTTCAACAAAAAAAAAAATGAAAGCAGGGTTTGTGGATGTGACCAAGGATGATCAGCAACTGAACTATGCAGGGAATATTCATTACCATCCCACTGAGCACAAGATACATTGCATTGCACCACTGGATCTGAGTGCTTGTTTGCTGTTCATTAACTGTTAGGATGGGTTGGTGAAAGCCGTTGCCAGGCAACCATACAGTTATACATGGCCTAAAACAAAAAGGTAAAAGCAGCAAAGAGCAGCTAAAAGCATCTGAGCCGGGAGATGATATTCTTACAGGAAACATTCACATTCACTGAATCAGTTTTCACTGTTAATAACATCAAAAATAGTGTGTCTGCAGAGGCAGCATTGGCCCATATTTCACCCCAAAGGTCCTTATGTAATCTGTGACGTATGGAGCGCTGAATTCATCATCGTCTGTGTCATAATATTTTCTGATAAGGCAACAACAAGTAAGCATAATGCCTTGATGTAAATGGAGATCTCCTGGGCTCTTCCAATGGCTATATTAACCTTCTAGTGGACTAAAGGACCAGTGCTCTTGAGCTCAAATAATTATTTGATTGATCAATTAGTCAGCTGACAGAAAATGGATTGGCAACAGTTTTGATTAATTAATTAATTAGATTAAGTAATTTATTTAAATATAGTGAATTTTCTTTGTTTTTTTTCACAATCTTTATAGTTTAGTCCTACCCATGTCTCTAAGCGGTGTGTTATGATCAACAGTATCATGGAATTATAAGGAGATTTCTATGAATTACAATACGCCAAAAAATGTTTTTTTTTAATTTATGTATGTTTATTTTATTTGTTTGTTTGTTTGTTTGTTTGAAAGTGTGTTAAAAGTTTTATTGTGAAAATTGGTAAAATGCTATACCTTTTATATATTTACAGATGTTACAATTCTTTGTTAGTATATTTGCAATGTCGGTAACTGTATAAAATGTCAATATATTTGAGATACAATAACGTATATTTTTTCCACCAGGGGAATCGTGGGGGCCACTGGGCAGTTACCCGCTTTGCCCGGTTGGTATGATCCCGTCTTTGCTGTGTGGGATGGACCTAAAGTTTGCTGCTCCGAGTCCGAGGTCTGTGTGACTCCATTACCGTGTTTTGTGATCAGCCACTGTCCGCCCGTGTTTGATCCATTCCGGTGATTTCTTCCCGCTCAAAGCCAATCTTGCTGCAGGGAGGAGCGACCGGAGTGCAGCTGAGCTGAGCCGAGCATCACAGCCCGCATTCAAGGAAACAGGCAAACACAGCACTTTTTCGACTTTCCACAATGTTCTAGCCTCCGTACAGCAAACGTCTGTGATAAGAAGAAATAGATATATTGGATGTGGACCCCTATGGAAGCCGCTTGTCTCTGAGAAGCTGGGAATCTCTGCCCAGTCAAGGGAGACCCCCTCAATTGTTTCCTGCGCCAAGAACTGTAAAGACATGGTCATCACTCCGCAGCTGTGGTAAGGCAATGAGCTCTCCTCTCTCTCTTTAAAGACAACCACAGCGCCAGTTTTGCTTATACAGAGGCAACTACTGTGTCATAACACTGCTACGTTAAACGAAGGCGCAGAGCCGCTGCTTTGGTGCTTTAATCAGCCGCTCAGACTGAGACCCCAGCATCTCATCTTTTGTATTTGCATCCTGAGTGAATCACCGAGGACCAGTCAGACATGAGCACATAGCCACCGCTGACTTAGCTAGCTGCTGCTAGGCTGACACAGGGATACATGCATCCAAACATTGCGTGTCCCAACATCACGGGGACATCATCCTGATCTAGGACCCCCTCCTAAAAAAAAACAAAACATGGATGCTGTAGTGGGGGTAATGAAACAGCCAGGCAGCCAACTCTGTACCTGACTTTGAAGATGGAGACGTAATGCGTCACTGACATTTTCACCTTTTTAACTGAGCTTCATGGCTTCTTCCACCGTCCCAATAGATAGCTGTCACCATATATTAGAGGTATATTGATTGACGTGACCTCCACTCACAATATTCTTTATATCTCACCCATTATGATGACAATGTTGACATACCAACTAATTGAAAGTTAGCCAACTTCTGTCACTTAAAAGATTGCTCCACAATATCACTCTGCCTGGTTTCCAAACTGAAGGTCAGCCAGTGACTTTGCAGTTGTTTAAAATAGCACCGATTCACATAAATTAAAGAGCAGCAGAGGGGACTGGAAAGCTGAATGCATTTGTGGTTTATCACTGGCAATGCTCTCTTGAATGGATATTGCTTTGATCAGCAGTGATGATTGATTTTCTGATATATTTCTTGGCCCGGCCTGAAGAAACCTCCTCCTGAAGGTGTCCCCGTCCCATTTAGACGAAATCTTTGCAGAGCTTCTTTCATAAAGCAGAGGCCAACCTCACTTTGATTCTCAAAATACTGGATTCAGATTGTCTTTTTTTCATCATGTCATGTCATGTCATTCATGTTACCAGTAAGGAGGAAAGCACATAATAATAATAATAATAATGATAATAATCAATAATAATAATAATAATAATAATAATAATAATAATAATTTTTAGGCATTTAATTAGCTGATAGATTCAATAACTAATATATGGTTTTAAGGTACATGACTCATCTATAGCTGTCCCCTTCATTTGCTTAAATGATTGGTTCTCTATAATCACCAGCATGTCATTTGTTCTCTCTCTGTTATAAGTATGATTAGTTTTTGGTTCCTATGTTTTCTGGTGGTAAAGTGCTTGGTGTCATTACAACATTATACACACTAATCTATAACCTGATATCTGATTTTGAGTTGCAATAGCAAAATGATACTTAATGTTATAGCCAACTTTTATGGGCTGAATATAAACAGGTTTTCTTCAAAAATGTCTTTAACCACTTAACATAGTAAGCCAAGCATCTAAAACAAAATTTTGTGTTGTCTTGACACAAAAATAAAGTACAATAAAAAGTTAAGAAATTTGGTTTTACACCAGGCAACAATTGACTGGATCTTCAGCGCCAACTTTCAGTTCCTGACAGTTTCCAATATGGGCACAGGTCAAGCAGTACTTCAAAAGTATTGCAGTGTGATACCCACCTCTACCTAGATGATGTAATGTGTGCAGCTCAGGATAAACTGGCTCTGTCCAGTTGGTGTTGTTGTTTTTTTGTTTTTTTTAAAGAAGAAAAAAAAAGGCAGGTCTATTTTAAAGATGCTCACTGCTTCAAGATGTCATCCATTTAGCCTGCTATTGTATACCCAGGTAAATGGTAAAAACACTGCTGTGCTGATCGATATGCATTATGAGCCAGTTGTAAATTCAGACAATGGCTGTCCTCAAAGACCCTGTAATATAATCTTGGGACATGAGTCTGCTTTTGTTGGCCCACTTTAATTATGCAACAGAGCGGGGAGATCACATCAGCAAACTTGGTTGGAGTGCTGGTCGATAATGCGATATTGTGGGTGGTTTGGATGTGGTGACAACACAAACGTAAATGTCTTTCCTCTCCTATTAAGAAACAGCTACCATCATTCTTCATCATATTACATGTTTTGTGAGGAGTGATGCCATTAACGTTTGTGTGGTATAATGTGCACGAGCAGCAGCAGCAAAGTGATCACTGATTCACCTTCTCTCCTTCTTATTTTTCATTGGTTTGTTTGGCTTGGGGTCCTGTGGTGCAGCTTGACATACTGGGTGTCTAAATCTTAAGTTTATTTTCCTCACCCCTCTCAGATCTCACAGAGCATGGCACACAGATCGAGGGATTACTTGGGTCCTCTATACCTCTCTCTAGACAGCTCTGCTTCGCTCTTCTTGGCTTGACCCACATCAGGAAAGATGATAGTCACTGCTTTATTTGTGATACTTTATTGATCCCTGAGGGAAAAATTTGACTTTTCACTCACCACCCCCCACCAAAGTCACAGCACATATTCAGCTACAAAAAGCCCCGGAGCCTGTGGGAATTTAGCATCTCGTTCAAAGACATTTCAGTAGAGCAGACTGTCGTTATTGCAGGTGAATGAACCTTCATAAAGGTCATCACAAAGTAGGCTAATTCACCTAAATAATTCACATGATCACAGGCACTGAAACTGTATCTGTCATCATATTTCTTGGGCCATGAAATGTACTCACCAATCCTAAATTAAAAGAACTAGATATCCCAAAAATTGACCTCAACATCCAGTGTTTTTTGTGTTCAATCAACACAAATATTATCAACTACTAAACCTCAAACACCTAACCGACTCCTTATTACAATGTATTAATATACAACCAGTGAAATTTAATCTAAAATACCAGATTACAGTATAATGCCATTAATCTTTTGATTTGCTCAGTTGATGCTGTGAAACAGAAGGAGATTTGGACACTTTATAATTATTTATTCTACTGTGGAATCAGCCAACAAAAGGAGCAAAGACTAAATAAATGGGTGTCAGTGGATCTACTCCATCAGGTCTCAATGACTACAACCACACACTTTTCAGAGCTAAGAACAAACAACAAAAAGCCTTTATTTTTCCTTTACAAGACAAGAAAAAATATCCTATGATGTAATAATAATGACCAATCTGTAAATTGGCTTTATGTCGCAAATATGCTGCTAATATAGACAATAGAATAGTCACAAATGAAGACCTCATCTCTTGTTAATGCCCAATCATTAGAGCTGTTTACTCAGCTTGTTTTAAGAGTCTCCAGAGTCTAGTTTAATGAAGTTTGTATGAATGTGTGGCCTTGAATGTTAAATTTAACATCAACAAAAAAACCCAAAAAACATTCCATGGTACATAATCAGATGATGGCACCAGTCAGAGGTCAAATAATGTTCTCTCCAAGATCTCTCTCTGACAGTTTTCATCATTACTTTTGATTCAGAAAACCCCTCTATATAAATCTGGTTGCTTTTCTGGAGCATGAAATTAGACAGACAGAACTTGTTTTATGTGTGTGGTTGAGCTGAGAGTGTGTTTTGGTTTGAAGGAAATGGATGGGAAAGGGAAGTGAAAGTCTTCTTTTGAACATCTAGACCTTTCATGGAAGTGGTGCCACACAACTGCTAACTTTAAACTGTTAGGAGGAAATTGGGCAGAGGATCAAATTTCCATAAATAATTATTTATAGTGTGTAATTCATCAGCACAAACAAAGAGGCTACATGTTGCAGAAATGCGGTTTTCTAATTAATGTACAAATGGAGTACAGAGCTTTTCTCACTTCTTCTCTTCACCTATTATATATACAGTATGTGTTAGTGTGTGTGTGTGTATATATATATATATACTGTATGTGGTGTATGTGATACATATACTGTATGTGGTAAATATAAACAAGGAGGGAAAATCAGAGGGGGATGTTTTTGAAACATATTTATTCATGAAAATAAATAAAAAAGTACAGTGGCCCTATACAAACTAGTCACTCTAGTTTTACAGTATCACACAAATGCTTTTGCAATACCACTCATTTGTACTTAAATACCATGCTTGGCCACACTTTCTTTCACGTAGCTGTTGCAACCCTAACCCAGGGTGGAACCCAAAGCTAGAGCGGTGTTGACAACAATTTCCTTTTTCGTTTCTTTTTGCTGTTTATTTCCAAATTAAGATTTAATCACATTTTTATTGTGGATCAGTTGTGTCTGATGGGTAACCTAAATTTGATAGCGATAGCATGTTAAGACAGCTCAGCCTCATTGTAGCAGTGAATGTGGTGAAGTTGCTCAAGTCTGGTGGCATTTTATTCCAACTTGAGGCATTATAAGAGTGTCGACAGAAGGCTCCTGTTCCCAGTCTGTTACATACTAGTGTCATTGTTGCTTTTCTTAACTGAAGGCTCCTCTTTGTCCTGTAGTATATGCAGCCACAGTCGATTATCTGAACCGCAGACTTTCAGAAAATGTGCACGTGCATCTCTACATAATATTGGAATATTTTGTTTGATTTATACAACTAAAATCATTTGAAAGATCATCATTGAGGGGAACCACTGTGTAATATATGTGTCATATTGGATATTGGATATCATGTTTTGAATAATCTGTTCTCTGGATTGGAGCTTGAGGGCTCACATCTCCAGTAGCAGCAGACAAATCAAATAAATAATACTACATTTGTAGAAAAAAAAAGAGTTACACATCCTATCCAGTAAGTGTTAAACATTTTTTTTTTTTTACAGTACATTTCATCTAACAAGTGTGTGATCCTGAAATTAGCCCATTGTAATAGGGTGGAATCAGACCTTGCTGGACTGACACAGTATGTTTTATTTACACCAAAACACACACATAATCATTTAAAAACCACAATTTTGTAAAGACAGCATAGTGTTTGGTTTCACATGGTCTCGTGGTCTTGGCCAGGTGTTCACAAAGTGTTGTTGTAGCTTCCACATAGCAGTGCATGCCTTGTTCTCCTGCTTAGAGGACCATAATCATGGTGACTGGATTTAGAAGATTAAGCTCATGGCTAATCAAGTCCTGGGCGGACGTTCCCCAACATGGTGACTGGCTTCATATGGAGCGGCACTGCTGTTTGTCTGAGCAGGAGTCAAACAGACAGCTCTATGTGGCTCTGTCAAATTTTAAGAAACTGGCACTTTCATCCGCTTGTCAACTGAAAGACGTTTTGAACTGTTGGTTTACACTACAAAACCTCTGTGTTGCTCACAGCAGTTACTATCTAGATGAAGACTTATAGGGTTAGAATAATTGTCCTGTTTAGTCAGATAGGGAAATTGTTTTGATTCTGTTTTAATGTGTGCACAATGAAGAGAAAAAGTAATCATTTTTAATAGTCATAGTTACAAGTTTTCACTTCACTCTTGCTTACAGGAGCTTTATATCATCTGTTTTGGTATCATTCTGTCATTTTCATGTGCTGATGTTTGGCTCTTTATGTCTTTAATGTACAGTAAACATCAACTATACCCTCTACATGCAGAGACTTACTGTGTGTTAAAATAGTCTAGTTTACGCTGAAGGTACTCCCCACTTCTGCTTCCTTATTAGGTCAAGGAGAGTGGATCTATTAAATAGGCTAAGAGGCATACACTATCTGAATGGACTTAGCACCTTGTCTTACAGTAGCTTAGATCCTAGTTGGCTTAAGACAGGGCAGGGATGATGACGTTGTCAAAGGATCTGAATTATAGATGATAGTGTGTGTGAGTATACTGCACCATTGCACATGAGAGTGCATACTGCTGAAGTGTGCAGAGCTCCCCCATGGACTCAGGGAGTTTCCCCGACACATGGGAGAGCCTAACAGACACATCCTGTAGCTAAAACCACAGGGAGCTCTGAAGTTGTAAACAATAGCCACAAACAAAAACAGTCTGAGATGTTGAAATCCTGCACCGCTTAACAGTGTTCTGTGTTTCATCTAGTTCCATATTAATAATAATAATGATAATAAGAACAAAATAATAATGACAGTAATGGTAAAATGTCAAAACAAATGTTGTTAGTGAATTTGGTTACCATAAGTAGGGTTACAACTAATGATGATATTATTTTTTCACCGATGTCTGTTTATTTCTCAGCAGGATTACTCAAAAATTACTGAACCAATTTGAACTGAACTATGCAGAGGGATGGGGCATGGGCCAAGGGAGAAACCCATTAAATTTTGGGGCACATCAAGAGCATTTACTATGAATTTGAATGTTGAAATTAGAATTTTTTTTGAGTGAAGTCTGGTGTTTGACACTGGCCTTGCACTCTGAGTGCCCTTCTAGTTTTCTTTTATTTATTTATCGGGTGATTTATCAATATAAATCCTCAGAAAATGTCAAAATGGGCATCAAAACTTCATAAAGCCCAAGGTAGTGTTATCATACTGCATTTTTTCTGACAAAGTCCAAATTTCAAAGATATTTGGTTTAGTATCCCAAGAGACAAAAAAATGAGAAGCTGTAAGGGTTTGTTTAGAATTTTGTTAAAATTTGACTTAAAACAATCAATCGTGGAGTCGATTGATTAATTTTATGTTAATCAACTAACAGATTAATCAATACATTGTTTCAGATTTAACCATATTTTTACATAGTAACCACACAAAGGCTGAAAATACTGCTTTTCCTGCCAGCACTTTCCTATTTTGTGATCAAGGTTAATAGACCACACCAGTGCAACAGTGCTTTTCCTCATACATGATTTATTGTTGATGTGCTCGATAAACCAGATATTTCACATTATGTGATACAGTTTTCTGTGTTTATCAGACTGTTCTAGCCGAGGGAAATGACCCTCGAACGTCTCTTACTATGTGTTCATTATATCCACTTCCACTTTACTAATTCCTGCCTCTCAACATGTGTTTAAATACTGCATCCTCGGAATCTTATCCCCAAAATATACGTGAGCAATATTGAGGTATTTGATCAGAAATGTTGTTATTTGTCCATGTAAAGGTGCAATAACATTCTCAGTATCTCACCAAGTGTCTCAGTTTCTAAATTGAGCAGGGTTTGTTTTCTACAATCTTGCAATCGATGTATGTTTTATCAGTGCTGAGACCTCCTGAGAGCTCAGACAATTACACAGCGCCACGGCAGGCAGTGTTATAGGTGTCGGCATGGAGCAACACAGTGCCATGACTAATGATGAAAACGAGCACTCCCCGTCGCTATGTGAACATAAGGTTAACCAGACATTTTAAATCAAGTAGTTAATCAAATCGTGGCCCTGCAAGTACAGACTGAGTTTTCACATTTAAACCAGAGGATGTTCTTCTTGGCTCATGTTTTTAAGCTGGTATAAGTTAGTTTTAACTGGTTTGTGACCCAACAAGTAGAGCTGTTGATTCTTTCTAGTATCGATTTGGTATCCTCACTAATTACCATCATTATCACAGTGGTAAGTGGATGTTTAAGGATTTATGCAGTCCTGTGGGATGATATCAATCTTCTGCAGTGCAGGCAGTGACTACAGTCATAAATTGACATTGTGATCCGCCACATTTCCTAATTGAAAACACAGTTCAATGCCTTGATGTACAAAGATGTACTGTTTTTCCGTTGAACTGCAGTAAGTGGATGGATACGGTTAGAAGCTCAAGGTTAGAGCTGATGCGATTAGTTCATTGATTTTTTGATCAACAGAAAAATAATCCACAACCGTTTTGATTATCAATTAACCATTTGAGTAATCAAGCAAAAATATTGAAAAAATGCCACAATTTCTCAGGTTTCAGCTTCTAAAACAGGAGGATTTCGTGCTTTTCTTTGATGTGGATGAGAGTAAACTGAATATCTCTGGGTTTTGAACCATTGGTCAGAAGAAAACAACATTTGACGATGTCACCTTGGGCTGTGAAAAAGTAACCAGCAGATTAATCGATAATCAAAATAATTGTTAGTTGCGGCCCTAAAATAGATTCCGTTTGGGTTGGAGATCATTTGGTGCATACCTCTGCTAAATGCAGTGTGTTGAGTAATCCTGAGTGGCACCAGTCTCATAGCAAACATAATGAAAGGTTTATCCGGTAATGCACATGTAATGAAAGAATCTTAAAGACCCCATGCTTCAAAGAACAGCTCAGGGTGTCTCTACTGAGCATCTGTGAGTTAGATGAACATACTGAAATTGATGGAGGACAGTTCTTAAAGCCTGGGAAAAGGCCCAGGCACTCATTTCTAACAGGAATAAACAGGACTAAGTGGTGTTTGATCAGTTATAGTGTGGCACAGTGTTTGGTATAAACAACAACAGTATTGCAACGATAAAATTCCTGACTTTTGTTTTTCAGATGAGCAGCAAGCAGTGAGCGTGAGGACGTGTCAGAGGATGCTCCTGAGCTGCGTGATCCAGTGCTGAGGGAGGTCCACAGAGCCGACTGGTCGGTCCCCACCATGTCTTACCACCAACATTACCAGCGAGGCCCTCACGGCCGCACCATGAGCTCTGAAGACAGGAGCGCCACGCCAATCAACAAGACCTCCACACCGGTTCACAAGAGCGCCTCCTCCTCTTCTTCTTCCCAGCGCGACAGCCGGCAGGTAATTTTCAGGCCACAGGAGGAGAAAATCCATCTCGAGATAGTTTCTAGGGATGGCAGCACTTTGAGTGAAGGTAACTTGAGCAGAGGTAATAAGAGGAGAAGTGAACATTATTTCCAGTTGCTGCAGTCCTCTGTCAGTAGGACAGTTTATACATAAAAAAAAAGGCAGATTGAAAAATAGTCAAGCTATAATTAGGATTTTTATAAAATCAGCTTCTTTGTTGACTAATGCTCTGGAGACACTTTACTTTTTTATTAATCTTGCATGTTTTGTTAACTCACAAAACACATTTTAAATTGGCGTTTCTGCATGGTCACAACCTATGACCACTGGTGAAAGTAGTACTCAAAAGCTTTTCTAAGTAAAAGTACCAATATAGCAATGTAAAAATACACCAAGTCCTGGAAGTAAAGTCCTGTAAGTACAGTAAAAGTATTATCAGCAAAATGGCGATTAAAAGCATTAAAAGTAAAAGTACTTGGCTCCTGTGACTGTTGTCATATATTACATTATTGGATTGCTAACACTGATCCATCAATTCAAGCTGCAGTTTACTGTTACGCCTGGTACAGGTGCAATTCGTTTTAACAACTTTATATACTGTTTGGTGGTTTAGTCCAGTGACTCTCAGTCAACTATTTAAATCAAACTATCTGGGAAATTTAGATGGGAAATCTTTTGTGGAACCGTTAACGACTCAGAAACATCCGAAACCTGCGGCCAGAGGCCCCAACTAAACGCTGCTTTTTTAAAAAGAGTTTCGTATTATTGTATTGTAAGGAGAAGGCAAATATTGATATTAATATTTCTAAGCCTACAGCAGCCACACCATGTAGGCAGTTAATCAGGCGTCATGAACCCCCTCAAACCGTGCGTCAAACAACGTCGACAACCACTCTGGCAGAATGCAATTCGAAAATTAGCCGGAAGCAACCAATTCATGGTTATAATTAGACTTAATCACTGAAGTGTCTTCCCATCTTTATATTCGTAGGATTATTTTGACTAAGTGGTTAGTTAAATCTGTCGAATTGTTTCTCTATTTCTGCTTTGCAGATGAATTTAGGCAGACAGAACAATCTCCACTGCTAATGACTAATGATTAATAGTTGATTCCCGGGAAAAGTCCTGGAACAAAAAAAAAACTAATTGAGTCTAAACCCTAAAAGACCTTATTGACTGATGAGCTGACTAATCAGGTAAAAGAGAGCAGCCCTAATTCCCTGGTTAGTAAATAAAAACCTTACAGAGACATGGTAAACAATGAGATATAATCTTATTTCACAGTTCACAGGACAAGTCTTTAAGTCTAACCTCTGCAGTAAGCCATCTGAAGCCCCGGCCCTCATTACCTCACTGAGCTGCTGTGTCACTGTGGCCACGCAGAAACAGGACACCGAAACTGGAATCTCTGACATCACAGCTTTTCCGTCGGCACTGGTTCATGAATGTTTCATGAGGGACAGGCGGAGGCTTGGTGCTCCACTGAACATGTGGCACGCTCTGGTATGCTGTGTCGGAGCCCAGCTTGTGTCCGCGGGAGATGGCTCTCAGAGGAGAAAGAGGGAACTGGTTTGAGACGGGGCCTGTTTGAAAAGCACAGTGGAAGGGCCACTGCTCGATGAGGCAGACAGTTAACCCCTCCAACCCTTCTGTTCATTGTTCCTTTCTTTAATGTCGCCCGCTTGCTTTTGCTAACAAAGCCTTCACGGGTGGAGGGGTTCAGCATTTCATTTCCCTGACGCTTCATAATCTTAAAGCCAAGTTCATCTCGAAGAGAGGTTATCTATGAGCACTTCTTTTCTTATTCATCTCTTTTAATGTGTTTAATGTGTTTTGCCAAAAAGGGTAACTGTAAAGATAGCAACAAATTAAGTCTTTGTCCTGTAGATCCCCTTAATTCTTTACACCTGCCTGATCAAGACCTCAAGATAGTCAGCGGTGTATAGAGGGAATCAGCAGCACGACAAGAATTTAATTGGGAATTAGCTCTTGATCGTTGCAGCTGTTTTGTTTCATGATTTAACAGTGTTCACTAAATGATGCAGTGATGTGCCCGTCCGTGGGTGATCCAGGCACTTGATGTAACGATCACAGAGGCAGGTGTATCACTCAAAACCACAGTTAGTCTTACAAATCATCTTCTATTCTCTTGAGCTGTCTCAGGGGTTTAGCTCACAAGCATGATAAAAAATGCACAAGGAAAGGGCTTATGCTACCTGCATATTTCTAAGCTCATTTGAAGAGATGCCGACTTTAAAGTCACGGTGCAACGTAAGTAAAAGTATCCTTAGCTACCATAATATGACATATTTCTGAGTGAAACTGACTGTGGCGGGGAGTAGTGGCGATTCCTCAGATTTCAGTGGATCACTCAAAAGTGGATTTTATTTTGGTTGACAAAACAATCTCACTGCAAGGTCCTTTTAGTAGCTGTTCTGGAGCTTTTGATTGCCTGACACCATCTTCCTCATCAGGTGTAGTTTCACCAGTTGTCATGAAAATTTTGCAGTTTGAATTTCCATTTTACTTTAGCACTTTAGGGACCTTTCACACATTTTGTCATAAAAGTTGATCTTTTTGACCTTGGAGACAGCAGTTGAAAAAACAGTCTTACTACAAGGTCCATTTAGTAGGTGTTCTAGAGCTTTCAGTTGTATCACAATCTTCCTGATGACTCCATCTGTTGATGAAGATCATGTGATGAGCCTTTGGCTGTTTTTTCAACTGTTGTTTCCAAGGTCAAGAATGAACTTATTAACTTAAATTATTATTATAGAGGTGACTTTATAAACATGGCTGATGAGTTGTGAGGTCTGCAGCAGAGAGCGTCTCTGGACTTTATTGACATTGTGCAAAGTTATGCATACACCTTAGTTGTGGACCTTCATGACAGCATTATGCCACATCACTATCTGCTAGGTGTATTTTGTGGAGGGAGTTTTCAGTGATACTATGTAGAGAATACAGTGTAGAGTGCATCATCTCGAGGGACTTCCTGAGGAAGCACAGCAGACACTGAGAAAAGACCTTAGCTAGCTTGGCTGGGCCTCAGTTTTTGAGGAAAAATGAGAGCGTGGCATTTTGGTTGGGGGGAAAGGCCTTAATGAGATCCAGCCCCCATTTTCAAATCAATATGTGTCACTTTCTCCTCTGCTGACAACTACTGTTCAGTCAGGAGACCCTCATGAGAGCAATTAGAGGCTTCACCTGCAGTAAGCACAGACACTCACACACTAACACACACACACACTTAAAGTTTGTGCATTAAGACGTTACACAATGAGTCAAGATGTCGCTACAAATATCCACTTTTCTGTCTTTCTGCTTGTCATTTCCTGGTTAGATAAAAGACTTTCGGCTTAGAGATAGTAGGAGGGACAGATGGAATCAGATGCTGTGTTTGTGTTAAATATTTAAGAAAGATCCCTTTGATATATGAGAGCGTGGAAGTCAATGATGTGATTATCAGTTGCTATTAGATCAGATAGTGGCTGTTCTCATGGTAATGACCAGAATATACTGATGTTACTGCAGATGAAAAAGGACTCCGTATCTTCTCTCTCCTGTATAGATGTCTTTCTAAAAAAATGTAATTAAGAAAATGTAATTTATTGATTCCGTGGCCAGGTTATCATACTGTATGTATCTAATGTGCTGGTTTGACATATCTGTTAATATAATTTTCTTCAGCACACAGCAGACCAACTCAGAAGCAGAGGAGGTGATCTTGACAGAGAACAGAGTGATTTTTATAAGCTCATAGACATGTTTGGCACAGTCTCTGCAAGTGGTGCCAACCCTGCCACGAATATTTCTGGTTTCAACTGAAGTTTTGCCATGATCTTCCCCATGACATAAACCAGCTTAACGCCTTTGAGAGAAAGCATGGACAGATCATGCTGGAGTCAGAGTGAGACCCAAGTTATTTTCTATAGGGATTTATTATTGATCCAAAATCTAGATGGGAAAAACACACCCATGAAAAAACAGGATTTGGCCGCTCTCACCACAGCATGTAAGCTGTACTTTTTTATAAAGCAATTTGAATGTGCTACTATATATAAAAACACAGATGAATCATTTGTTGTTTGTCTTTAGATGATCTTCTCCTGCTTCTCCACTTATTTTTTTTTTAAGCAATTTGAATGTGCTACTATATATAAAAACACAGATGAATCATTTGTTGTTTGTCTTTAGATGATCTTCTCCTGCTTCTCCACTTATTTTTTTTTTGTTGTTAGGTTTGAATATGATTGTTTCCTGTGCCAAACACCTGAGCCCCAACACATCCTTTTCAGTCGACAAAAAAATTTAATTCAAGGTCCAAAAGTGAGTAAGTGGACGTTGAATTAATCCTATCTCACCTACAACACAGCAGGTCACACGTGTGGACTGCACATCTCTAACTGAATGTGTGGTGTTTACACAGTGCATTAGACTGTGCTTAGACGCAGTCTCTCAGAGTGTTAGCTTCTCATCCATGTGGCAGCCCACTCTCCTACTCTAAGCTTTAGTGCTGAGCCAGCCAGACACTGCAGTGAAATCCATCCCCAACAACAGTTCCTCTGTGGTTATTAGCTTCTGAAATATCAGTGCTCACAGGTGATTGTGAAAGAGGATGTGGGAACATGTTACAGTTTTTCTGTCAGGGACTACAGTTTCATACTCGTAAACAGTATCTTCTTGCATTGTGCAACTACAGCAGGAGATACAGCAGCATACTGTGTTCTGCATTTTTAATTATTAATAGTTTAGTGGTGTTTTTGTGGGTAACACATAGTTATAGAGTTTGTAAAGTTTGTACTCCCACTATGTCACACACTGTTACTATTGTAGACAAAAAGTTTGTTAATATCTATAATGGGTGCTCTCAGATGCTCTTTATAGAACTGTTGAAAAGGCATCGTGCGCTCATAAAAGGTTGTAAGATTTATGTTTGTGTCACATGAAGTTAGGAGTTAATCACTGTTGACTGATGAGTCTCATCTATGGAAGACGAATATGGTCGTAGTAGCAATCATTTTATTTTATCCCTAATCTTGAGATCACAAGTTAATTCCTATTTTAAGATAACACAGTTTCTCAAAGCTAGCGCTGCAGCTAATGATTATTGATTATTTTCTTGATTATCCAATAAATCATTTGTTCTCAAGATAATGGAATAATTAGCTCATTATCCCAAATAGAACTTTAAAGTAAAGTGAAGATATTTATCCTGTAATCCCTGTTGTTTTTCTGGGACAAGATAATGAACTCCATGCTACAAGAAAATTAGTTTGTTTTCCCAAGATAACAAGATAGTCAAAATGCGATCTCAAAATTATGGGATAAAGTAAAATGATTGCAAATAGGGCTGTTCTTGGCGTCTGTAGTTGTCCTTTCTAAACTGTGACTGAATGTTGTTCAGTTGAACAATTCAATTTTCTAGCCATTATTTTATTTCATTTTTTTGTGTTTGGTGATCAGTGATTATGTAAGCCCTTTAAATTTTAAAACTCCCATGAAAATGTAAATGATTAAGTTGATTTCATTATTTTATCACTCTTTTTATTACATCATTATGTTTTGTAGGGGCCTGAATACACTAAGGAGGAAATAAACTGAAATAATTAAATTCGAATGTGGTTGGGTTGGGTAGCAGTGTAGACTGTCAGTGTCTATGGGGGAAGCAGGATGTGTAGGAGAAATTTGTCATCAGAAGTGGGCTGTTGTAGTGATATTTATAGTACTGATTTAGCCTAAGGTATCCCCTAGGAGTGTTTGTCCTTTATCCTGCTCAGGAAGACCTTAACTGTAATAGTTTGATTCATTGCAGCATCAAAAGGTCTGTTGTGCTACACTGCTGGGTGTCACTGCAGGTGATGGATCCCAGAAGACTTGGCCTATGAAAGTGACACGGTTAGACAGTAAGATTGATTTAGTTGATGATCAGATTATTCAAGTCCTTTCCCTGTTAATGTACTGGCATCTAACTAGACCTGGAAAAGAAAAGGTGAGAAAAAAAATGATCCAGAACAAAAACCTAAATCAAGTTAATTTTATCCATATCAAACAAACAGGCTCTTGGAACAAATCTTTTTAAATCTTGACACAGAAAAGCAGACGGCTCCACTCTGAGTCTGCCACAAGATCCTTCATTAAAGAGGTAAGCTCACCAAGAGGGAGCTTTAAATTATTCCGCAGCGAGATCAATGAATGTGGGCAGAGTGCAGGAAATCACTTTGGTTTAATTCCGCTCTATTTTCAGGGTCAAATAACAAAAGCAAACTCTTTGGCTGTAGCAGTAATTTCCATATAAACCTCCAATTCTGTGTTGTTTACTATATGTAGAGCCAGAGGTTGTGTGGACTGTTCCTCATGGGGAATTTGTTGATTTACATTGTTGATTGGTTTGGATCTTAAAAGGATACGCAGGGAAGTGCATTGAATTGCAATATTTGCAAGCCACAAGCCATTCTTTATTTAGTGTAGTATTGATCTATCAATTTAGAGTCAGTTGAAAGTCTGTTTGTAATGCTTCAGATAACACACAGGAAGTCTTTATTGAGAGTTTCTCATGTGCTGCTGGATGCCTGTTGGAGAGGATGCCCGTCATGTGTGTGTGTGTGTGTGTGTGTGTGTGTGTGTGTGTAAGGCTGCTGTGTTCTGAAAGAAGAAGCTGTTGATGTTTTGATCATTTCACAGGCAACATTACAGAGTTGAGTTTTTCAGTTGATAATGAGCTAATTGCTTTGAGTCTAACGAGAGGACCACTGCCTTTTACGTTATGATTGCTTTGAACGGTGAGGCACATTTTTGCTAATGAAGTTGATCTCCTCCACTTCCCTAGTAGCACAGGGCCACTGAAAGGAGGGGGCTGCCGTCGGTGGAGAAACATGACCTCATTACCGGACAGATCTGTTCGCCTGGCCATTAGATTAAACAAGCTGTTGTCTCCTTTTGTTAAATGTCCTGCAAACCAAGGTCGGGTGTCGTCACGCACACCCAAAGAGCTGTCTTGAAGATAGCAGCATCACACTGTGCGGTGAAGAGACACAGGCTATTACTTGGTTTTCCAGAGAAGCTTGTGCATGTTAAATTGTGGATTTTGCCTTAAAGGCTCTGCCTCTACTGATTCAAGTATGAAATTAAAAATTTGACCTACTTCAAGGATATTACATTTAAATGTGTTCCATTTTGTAAAAAGAAATGACTATGTCATGTTCAGGTCTTTCTACAGAGAGTAGACAATGTTTAAGGCTTTTACAACGACATTTTGCAGACTGTAATGCAATGCAGTGAGAAGACATGCTCTGTTGATGTCACGGTTGCTCTTTACAGCTACATGTTTAGCACACAGGACACGACTAAATACAACTGCAGCAGTTGTTGATAAAGGTTGCTGAATCCTGATTGGTGCACTAAGTACGTGACAAAACCTTTTTCCAGCTGAGTCCCGCCCACTTCACACCAATAACAACATAGAGGCAGAAATCTCTCCTGCAAAATAACTATCACCTTTCTAACTCTGGCAGAAAACATTGTTTATGTAGGAACCCGTCACTCATAGTAAGAAGCTGGTCAAGGACAATATGTTTTTATGGCTATTATAGGCATTCTGGGAAATGTAGAATTACTAACTGAGATACAGGCCTGTTCTTGATTTAAGAAATAACAGCAGTCAGAGGTTTTTTTTCAAGTAATCCATCAAAAATCTGTGGATCTCCAGTGCTGTTGTCTGTGGATAAATACAATATTCAAATGGAAATTAATTTTTCATTAAAGATCAAGTAGTATTTGTGAATATTATTATAATACCAGAGATTTGACTCTCATTCTTCATTCACGACTATTTAGTAATGGACCAGAATTCCAAATAAAAAGACCAAACAAAACAAAATACGGTTACCCACGAACACAAAAAAATCTTTTAGTTAACTAAGACTATACAAAACAAATCCTTAGTGAATGAATACCATTTGAAAGAAACTGCCATTACAACTCTTGACTTGATGTAAATAAGCAATATGCAAACATTTGATAGATGGTTTAAAACATGCTATAATGAAGTTGTATGCAGCTAAAAAAGTGTTGTGTTTATTAATGTACAATATTTGTCAGTGATTAGAACTTCTCCTATGAGGACATATTTTACATTGTTAAAACTGTGTTGTGCTATATTATCATACATTATCTGTTTATGCACCAGCCTCCACTCATGGGTGTCCGCAGGAGGAATTATAGTTGTTTACAAATATACGGCTAAATAAGGGGGCTTACGGTAAAGTGTTACCATGTTTGGTAAGCCAAGGCCATAAAAAACACATTTATGAAAATAATATCATACAAACTAATTTTTTTGTTTACCAAGACAATGAGCATGTCAGTAAAAAAAATAACAAACTTGCTCACAAAAAAGAACTTGCTGAACTGAAAGACAGTGAATGGATCATGTCAGGGCATCAGGAGGGTGATGATCCTTTGCTTGCATCAAAGCTGTGATCCCATGATTCCTGGTGTCACTCACACTCACCCATCGGGGCCGACGGTGTGATGCCTAACCTGTCCCTGCCTGACCCTGCTGTCCCTCTACTCCAGAGGCGTCACTTTGATTTACAGACCCACTAGAAGCGGGAAGAGCACAGTCAGGAGAAAGCTAATGGAGTGGAAATGCTGAGAGAGCAGGTGGAATTTGAATGGGGCCGTATTTCTTTAAATGTGTAGTACAGGGGGAAAGAATAAACAAGTATTGAGTGTACCCCTGTTGCTTTCCTCTGTTTGCAAGACAGTGGACATGACAGCAGAGTCTTTTTTTATTGCAGCAAGTGTATCTCTTGTTTTCTTATTATTAGTGAGTGAGTGGATTAGTTCTCACACAGTGCTGTATTTCTACTCCTCTCAAGGAGGCCGACAGCTGGGAAATCATTGAAGGGCTGAAAATCGGTCAGAGCAACGTCCAGAGGCCTGATAAACACGAGGGTTTTATGTTGAAGAAGCGGAAATGGCCCCTGAAAGGCTGGCACAAGGTAAGGTCCACAGGCAAAACAGAGACACAAAAAGCTTTTGGTACTGGAAAAAAAAAAACACGTTCAAACACAGCCGCTCCCCGAATGTTAAACAGTTTGCTGTGTAATAAAGTGCTTTTGCTTGAAAGAAGTTCCCCTTTTCGTGCACTTTGCCCCACCCTCTCTGGGCATCTTCCGTAAGCTTAGTGGAAATTTCATTTGAAGTCTCCACCGTCAGCATCAGCTTAACTGTTGTTTTCTCAAAACACGTGAACACCAGTGGAAAGCAGACCCTGATGTTAACATATTTGAACTCACAACACCACACAACACACGACACGAATGTCCTACAGCCGACAATATGAGGGAATAAACTGTGGACAACTTTGTATTGTACAACAGGTCCACGTTATATGAATTCAATGTCTGTTGTTCCTATCATTTAACTAACACATTATTTTTGTGCTTCTTTGCTCTGCAGCGTTTTTTTGTTCTGGACAATGGTATCCTGAAGTACTCAAAGTCCCCCATTGATGTAAGTAACCCTGACTATAACCCACAGGCACAAACAGGGCAGGCCAGCCTGACATCAGCTTGGCTTGGCAATGAGTCAGCAGAAACATCTGCAGCACGGATCATGATGTTCAGTGTGTTTCAGGAGGCCAGGCCACTTTGCAGGAAAACTAAAGCTCACTAAAATCACTTTACTAAGATTGTTTCAGTTCTTAGACTTTCAGAAACGATCATCCGTGCCAGTGCTGTTTGTGTAAAAGTACAACACTAAAAGAACCCTGACCTGGCTTCCTGAAATGCGGTTTATTGGTTTATTTTTGGTTAGGGTCAGTTTCAGTTGTAGTATTTCACTACTTGCAATCTTAATCCCAGCATTTGTTACATGACATGTCAATCACTTATTGTGACAATAAGTAATCTGAGGATCACCATCACACTAATTATTAATTTTATTTGTGTTTTTTGTGTTTCCCTCCTTGACACAAATATGTACGTATATAATTTTTTCCAAATCATATGTTTTTTCAAATTAGCTGAGCAAGCAGAAGTAGTCCGAGGGTTAGTTAGCCTTTGTTGGGAATCACTGACTTAAACAATAATTTATTATCAAAATAGATTCCAATTAATTTTGTTATTGAATAATAAACCATTTCAGTAATTGTTTAAGCGGTTGTTTTAGCACTGTTATCTGCAAAAGTAGTTTGTTGTAAATGTTACAGACAACAAAAATAATGTGTGTGCGCAAAATTTACAATGTGATTAATTGTGAATTGAAAAAAAGTGTGTCTATCACCTATTACCTCAGATCCAGAAAGGCAAACTGCATGGCAGCATCGATGTCGGCCTCTCAGTCATGTCCATCAAAAAGAGGGCCCGTCGCATCGACCTGGACACCGAGGAGCATATCTATCACCTGAAGGTAACACAAATGGGAAGAGTCAATAGTGTCATTTTAACATGGAGGTCAGTCGATGACAGTTCAAATCTCTCTGTCCTCTTCCTCTTCAGGTCAAATCTCAAGAAATCTTTGATGCCTGGGTGTCCAAGTTGCGTCATCACCGGCTTTACAGACAGAATGAGATTGTGCGATCTCCCCGGGATGCCACCATGCGGACGTTTCCTCCCCCAGCTGCCATGGACTCCCCTCAACCTGCTGCGAGTGTGGTACATGAAGCAAAGGTGAGTCCTCCCACCCACCTGATAGCACCATCTTCTAACTTCTATCTAAGTTAAGAAAAATCTTTTGCATGGAAATTGGTTTGAACTGTTAGAATGTAAATAGTAAAAAGACACTATTTGCTACAAAACACAGCAAGGCTACATCACAGATTTAATGTCGACATGGGCCTTTCTTAACAGACCAGTCTGAATATTCTTCATACTTCTGTGTTTCAGGCTTGAAGTAGTTTCTCTCTGTGTTCCGAGCAGAGTGCAATTACTTATTCAAGAAGGGTATGTCATGGGGAATGAGAGATCACCTAGTTCTGTTTTTTTTTTATTGGAAACTAGGATAGTGTACCAAAATATCATCCAGAGGAGAGGAAGTAAAATTCACTGAACATTTACAGTAATGACAGGAAGATTTTATGGTCAGACAAGATTGTGTTTGCCTCTCTGCTGTGATTAGCCTCACCTCATATTTTCTCATTTGTGACTTTGTGGTGTTTCCTTTCAATGTTCAATTTAACAGTTAAATCTCCATACAAATACTCTAGATGTTAATGTCAGTGTGATTTGAGGCCTTGTTTTGGTTTTCCATGCCCCTGGTCTCTACGCTGTATTATGAGGCTAATTGTCAGACTAATGCCTGTGAATGCTGTGAATAAAGCTGACTGGGCAGCTAATTGTATCCTGATCATTAGGATAACAGAAAGGATTGTTTGTCTAGACTGTTACCAGTTTAGTGTGAAGCCCTGGTCCTTGTCAGCTTGCCTGAGTTGTGTGTAAATGTGAGGATGCAGCAAGTGTACTGTATGTTCTCCAGGGACTGATGCTGTGTGCCTCATACAGGCCATTAGAGGTGATCAGTAGGATCTGGATTTAGAGCAGCTGGCTGCAGCCTGATGAGCTCTCCCAGAAGAAAAGCTTAAATGAAAGACTCCAGTACTAGAGTCAAAATTAACTGCTGCATCAAGGACTTAAAAGGAAGATACTCAACATCTGCAAAAACCCAGGAAAGCCCCTGCATAGCAGGATTTGAACATACTCCAAGAAGCAGATAATACTAAATGTTATTCCTGTTGTGACTTTATTCAACCATTTCTGCTCCATAAGTACATGTTTTAAAAGTTGAACACATTCATAGTTACACATCAGCTGAGAGCCGCTGAGACCTTCACTGTGTGCTGCTGGACAGATTGACTGAAGCTGTTGCAAGTGCAATGTTTAAGGCACCAAAGAACCATATGGTATAAAAGATCCATTCAATTACCAGTAATAGTTTTTTTTCTGAATAGCACTGACAATTCATCTTCAGCCTTTCTGAGTGAAGCATTTATCAAGCAAAAATGCCAAATATTTGCTTCTCGTGGATTTTGGACCGCACAGCACAAAACAAGGAATCTGAAGACGTTTGGCATCTGGGAAACTGTGAGAGGAATTTTGCACTAGGTTTTAGCATTAATCTGATATAGAATTATCTTATTTACCTTCAAATCAAAGAAAAGTAGCCAACTTGAATTTTATTCATATTATTACATGTTTTATGCTTGTCACTCACAAGTTACAATGAAACAAATGTAAAAAGGAAGTTAACCTTTACCCAGGCTGCCAGAGGTTTTATAAACAAAAGACACACAGCTCACCTGCAACACTGACAAACCCAATGGTAGTTTTGGTTTGACAGAGATTTCCTCACTGACCATCACAATTTCTAGTTTTCCCTGTCAGAAAAACTCCACCTGACCTGAATTCTGATTTTCTGGCACCAGAGCAATCTTGTTTGGTTATTGACTGATTTAGATTCATTCCACCATAAAAGTGCTCCACATTTTTCCTCTGGTGAAGTGCATTTACTCTGTGTTTACTCCTGTACCACCACAGCAGGCCAAGCCAAGCAGCCTGCCGTGGCAGCCAGTGGCTCCCAGCAACAGCACCAACAGCAGCCTGCCTGCCTCCTACAGTAACGGCCAGAGCAAGGTGGTTGCTTGGCTCCAGGAATCAGAGGAGATGGACAAGTGTGCAGAGGGTAAGTGCAATTTTCCTCCTTATGCTGGCAACAAATCTGATTTTACAACGGAGTGGATTAAATCAAGCCTCGGACCTTACGATAAGTCCTTCGAAACCCCTGAGCGGAGGATTGATGACTATTTCATGACACATAACACTGAATGTGTTTGTCCGCGCGTGGGTGTGAATTTTATTTTCAGAGCTCGCACGATGCCAGTCCAACCTGACTGAGCTGAGCCGGTTATTGCAGAGTCTGGAGATTCTACAAAGGACACAGTCAGCACCCAATTTTACAGATATGCAGGTAAAACACACACACACACACACACACACACACACACACACACACACACAGACAGACACGCACATCCAGAAACACACACATCCACGGATACAGCACAGAGCAGGAGAAGCAATTTAGTAAGTGTGTTTCATTCAGAGGTTTCTTTCCACACTACATTGTGGACTCTGTGTGTGGGTGTGTGGGTGCGTGTGTGTGTGTGTGTGTGTGTGTGTGTGTGGTCATCAGAAGCCTGTTAATGATTTAGGTGTGTCAGTCTATGAAAGGCACAGTCATTTAAAACTTCAGCCTTCATTACCTTTCTAGACTGATGGGAATCAGTCAGAGCCGCTGCACACTCCTCTAACTGATCAGAATCTAGCCAGAGCTAATTTTTTGTATCATAGTTTGAAATGCATTTTTCTAACACCACACATCCCATTTGCCCCGAAATTTTGTTTGCAACTCATTTGTGGGAATGTTGTCTCATTTTTGTCATTTTTGTGTGTTAACGTTTGCTTTGTTTTGTGATGTGTTTGTCCTATTAACCACGCTTTTCATATTTTGATCCACCTGCGCCACAAAGATCAATTGTGTAGAATTGTCAAAGAAAGAAAAGCGCTTGAACAGAAGATGGAGAACAAAAAGTGTCGGCAAAGATGCAAAATTCCAGCTTCAGGTACCAGATTCTATTTTGTTTCTATTTTATACAGGCACAAACACACACAGGCAGGATTTTGATTATGAGATGTTTGAATGGATTAGTCAGATGACAGAGATTTGATCCTTAACAATATTGACAACTGATAGATCATTTTTCAAGAAAAAAGCAGCAAAGCTTCTCAGATATGAAGATATGCAGCTTCTCTCTGCTTAGCTGTTTTAAATTAAATATCTTTGACTTTTGAAGAACCTGAACATCTGAGTGTTTAGTCAAGATAACAAAAGCACAACAGTATTAAACTGTAACCTGCTGCTCTCTGTTCCCCTTTTTAAGAGGCGAGGGTGTTACACAGTCACAGCTGAGACAAAATAGTTTTTGCTTTTTTCTGTCCCCTTTATGCTTTTGTTCTTTTTTGCTGTTAAATTAGTCTGCACTGCAGCCGGTACTTATTAGTGTGGTGTGTCATGGCCTGAGTAACGATTTCTCCATCATTGCAAATTCACCCTTATTTTGCTTAATATATTAATCTGTGCTTCCCGAAAAGACTAAATGTGCTACATTTGTCATACACTGTGTTTTTCCAACCAACCCCCACGCTAAAAGGAAGTTTTAAAACACTTTTCTTTCATGAGGATATTAGTGATAGAATAACAACTACAACAAGCAAGTCAAAGGCAACTAGACGTGTTGTTTGGGCAGTGGTTTGTCCTGGCTGTCAGACACACAACACATCAGCATTTTTGTGCCTCGCAGGTGATTGACAGTAGTTCTCTGTGCTCTTCGTCTCTCTCCAGGTCCCTCTGTCTGCCAGCATGTCCCCTGTCCGCCTACACTCATCCAATCCCAACCTGTGTGCCGAGCTGGTGGACTTTCAGCCCCCTGTCTCCCGGCTAACAGACAGCGTAGAGTGTGCCAGTGACTACATTAAACTTCAGGAGGAATTCTGCACCATCGCCCAGAAAGGTAGGCAGGTAGTATGCATGGCTGCAGCGTAACCAGTGCGTTATTAGGTGAGATACAGTATGTCCCAATGTCTCATATTATATGTAAATTTTAAGGGATTATTATGGTTTTCAACAAACTGGATTATTTTCATATAGTAGTGTAGGCGATAGTGTCTGTTGGTTACGATAATGGTTTACTCACAAAAGTAATTGTTGAGATCTCAGAACACAGTAGCGTCACTAAGAAGGAGTCCGTTGTGGGCATTAAACACAAGCAGTCAGAAGTTTAGACAGATTTTAAACAAATCCCCAGATTAGCTAAACCCACTGGGGGATCTCTGGCTGAGATCCTTTGTGGAGATGAGAGAAACTTCCAGAAGGACAAACAGTTCTAAGCGTCATGGCTGGTTTCCTCCAGACATGCCCAAACAGTGCAATATGGGCTTTGTCAGACCAGAGGATCTTGTTTCTAACAGTCTGAGAGTCCTTTAGGTGCTTTTTTAAAAAAAACTGTTACCAAGGAGAGGCTTCAGTCTGGCCACTCTGCCATAAAGCTTAGATCGGTAGAGTGCTGCAGTGATGGTTGTCCTTCTGGATGTTTCTCCTATCTCCACATAGGATCTCTGGAGCTCAGCCAGAGTGACCATTAGGTTCTTGGTCACCTTTCTTACTAAGACCCTTCTCCCTCGATTGCTCAGTTTTGCCGGGCGGCCAGTTCTAGGACGAGTCCTGGTTTTTGCAAATTTCATTTAAGAATTCTGGAGGCCACTGTGCTCTTGGGAACCTTCAGCACAGCAGAAATGATTTTGTATCCTTCCCCGGATCTCTGTCTCGACACAGTCCTATCTCTGAGACCTGCAGGCAGTTCATAGCTTGGTTTTTGCTCTAATATGCTGTCAGCTGTGAGACCTAATACGGACAGGTGTGTGTCCTTCCAAATCATGTCCAATCAATTAAATCCACCACAGCTGGACTCCAATCAAGGTGTAGAAACATCTCAAAGATGATCAAGAGAAATGGGAGGCATCTGAGCTAAACTTTAAGTGTCATAACAAAGGGTCTGAATAGGTCTATTGATGTGACATTTCAGTTTTTTCTTTTAAATAAATTTGCAAAAAATTCTAAAATTCAGTTTTCACTTTGTCATTATGGGCTATTGAGTGTAGATTAATGGGGGTTGGGTTATTTTAGCATAAGACTGCAACATAACAAACTGAAAAAGGGGTCTGGAGACTTTCTTAATGCACTGTAACTGTATTTGTGATAATCGTTATACACAGTATACTTTCCATGACAAATTAAATTAAAAAATCTGGAAAGCTAAAATGCAATACAGGTGCAAGGCATTACAGGATTTAAAATCTGACAGTAAAAGAAGTTTTTGAAGTCTATGTTAAAGCTACATGAAATTCATATCTGAGAGAAATAGATGTGAGAGTTTCACAAAGTGTTTTGAGAATAATGATTTTCATTTTAGGATTGTGACCAAGCAACTGAGGAAAACTGTTACTGTAAAAGGACAGGACAGATATGAATCTTTCTTTTTGTCCTATCCCTGTACAGTCCACTCTCTACTGAAGTCGGCCTTCAACACTGTGGCCATAGAGAAAGAAAAGATCAAACAGATTCTATCTGACCAGGAGCAGTCAGACCAGTCAGCCCAGATCAACTCCCTCAGGAAGTCTCTGTCACAGGTAATGAGCCGCCTTTAACCATTACCCATGATGCCTCTGTACTCCGACTATTAGTTAGGGTTCATTAATCTGAACCTTTTGTCAGACATACAGTATTTGGCTGCTTAATGTTCTAAATGCTAAGTGTGATGCTGTTTAATATATAATTACTGCAGTTGTACTTTGGTGTCTTTAAACTCTTACCTATTTTGTAGTTGTCATGTTTATAAGATATGCTCATTATGACGGGCTGTCAGATAAAACACACAAGCTACAGTTTATTCCAAGCAGTCATGGTAATCACAATTAAAAAAGATGATGAGTGGATATGAGAGCAGAGGCAAGTGAGTCGTGAAAGTCCAATCATCTTTTCCTATATTAATTGGTGAGAGAGAGAGACGTGCACCGTAGTTCATTAACTGTGCTCCTTAGGGCTGTCTCTCTACCCCAGTGATTTAATTGGACTGTTCCTCTGCTAACAGTTGACATCATTTCAGTGAAATGTTTCTGCTGCTTTATCTCTGCTTTGTGCTTAATTGGATGCTGGTGTGACAATGCTGTCACAGGCTTGAGGTCAGGTTTTTATCGCAAAGCTCTGTGGGAAGTTTGTGGTTCGGACTCACGGTTGTTATAGCTGCAGCTGCTGATGTCAACTATTTTAACACCTGCATGGAGGTACTGATGAATTTTGTTGTCTTAATTTTGACTTTTTAATATTTTATTTCACATATGTTTATATTTGCTAAATAATTTTTTGGTCTCTTGGGGGCAGCGAAAAACATCTCACCGTAACGTTGATGTGACTAACTTGTTATTAGACAGCGAGCAATTACAAGACAATTACAATCACATTCATTTGGAGCTGTGTTTCTGGCCACCTGAATACTGACTCTCCTTTTAGCTCTGCTTTTGATCTCTACCAACTCAAGGGAAACATCTGGCTCTTAAGCTGCTAAATGCTGTTCACCAGCTAGTCGCTAACTTTGTCTCTCTCCAGTTGCTGCTGAACAGATAGTGTTCAGTGGATTTGTCTGCTCACTGCTGAAAAAGATGCTCATTAGAGCAGCGAGAGTGAACCAAAACCGTCAAGTTGTGGGCCTTTCATCCAAAACAATGAGCTGAAAGAAGCAAAAATGCTCTGCCGAGATGGGGGGACCTGTAGAGTCAGGTCTGTGGGCTCATCACTATGAGTGACCCTCTTCACATGCATATTAGTCCATCCATTGTCAGTATTATAGCTGCCTAAATAGTAACCAACACAATACTTTTAGTAAAACTTTACTTTTTAAAAAAAAAAATTTAATTCAAGGACAAGAAAGTATCTCCAGTTCATCAAACAAACAAACAAAACATTGGTCAAATTATTAGCATCATTCACAATTAAAAAGGAAAGTTAATGTTTTTTCATTGTCCTTATTGGGGTTATTGGGAGTCCATATCTTTATTCAGACCACTTAAAGATGATCTTGTTGAACTTTTCCACACAGCCAGTTCTGCTGTAGCAAATGTTTTCCAGGTATAGTGAGGAAGTCATTTCATCCAGCCACTGATTAAAACCAGGCAGACAAACATTTCTTCAAGAGTTTCCTGTATATAGTGTAGTGCTACAGTTCACATATCAACATGTAGTTACATATAGAATTTGGAAAAGAATCCACATTTTTTGTTATCCAGGCCCTGTCCCAAAACGCAGAGCTTCGAACTCGACTCAACCGTATCCACTCTGAATCTGTCTTGAGTGAACAAGTTGTCAGTGTGAACATCATCTCCACGCCTGATGAGGTAGGTTCACTATGGTCAGTCTGTCACTGACAAAGCTCATTTCTGTCCCCTGTATTGCTAAAACACTAAGGCTTCCCAGGCTGGCCAGGTAGTCGTAGTGTTTGCTTCCTCCATTTGTCAATTGCATTATTGATTCCTGTCCTTATAGATTGATGGTCTTTCCAGTACGTCCTGGCAGGTAAGCTTAATAGATCATTATTCTATGCAGAACCTGACACAAAGGTTAATGGAAAAAATGACTAATTAGTAATGGATGGGAGGTTGCCCTCTGGCAAGGATACACATGCTGCAAGATGAACTCCATGTTGTCTTCTAATGGTGCTTGTGTTTGTTCAGGGCTGTGTTGGTTCTTAAAACTGTCACCATAGCAAGGAACAGTGAACATCTCGTGTGTTTGCATGTGTTTGCCTGCAGGCCGGGGAACAGATGGGGATCCCTCTGACTCAGCAGGCCTCTAATGAGAGCCGACTGTCCATGTCAGAGTCTGTCTCTGAGTTCTTTGATGCCCAGGAAGTGCTTCTGTCGGCCAGCTCGTCGGAGAATGAGGTAAAACGGGGGGATAGTTGAGACGGCAGTATGGACCATGAGTAGCAGAAGCTGCTCAAGAAGGGGGGCAGGGGTTAAACTAGCCCTGCTGCTGGGAAGCTAGATAAAACGTCACTGCGATGGCTGGGTGTGGAGCGGGAGTTAGTCAGCAATTAATGAGGGCAGTATGAAAAGCAGAGATAGCGTATAACAGAAACTCAAACAAACTCAGGCACACAGGACGGCTCTTTTTTTTAATCTGCCCCGAGGCTTAATCCCTCAGTTGTGTCTCAGAATAATAACACTTGTCTTCTGTCTGTTTCTCTTGATTTGCAGCCTCTAGCTTTGTTAAAAACAGCAGTTTTGTCCATCACTCGAAACAATAATTTCTGCCGTGTTCCCATTTTAACTCCCGTGAACACCCTGCTCCAAATGTATGTGGTCTCTGAAGAGCCATTGAGTATTGTAGCTCCCCAGGCATGCATTGAGCCATGTTGAGGGATTGCTCTCTGTGGAAATTCATCAATCCCCCACCCCATCCTGTAGCTCCTACAGCAGACACATTCAGACCTGTGTTACACTGTTGGCCAAACCTCCACCAGCAGCAGGCAACTGTAATAGAGGCTGTTATAGCAAGTGGCTACGATATGTTCCTCTTTGATGGCATCACTGGCCCCATTGTGTTTGCTATATATAAAGTATGAAAATGCTGCAGTGTCTCATCTCATGATTGCTGCAGTGGGACAGATAGCCGGTGACTGCTGCAGTTTGTTAGCCACTGGCAAACTGCAGAGACTGTGTATGTGTGCGTGTGAAGCTAAGGCTGTGCGCTGTTCTGATCAGAGTTTGTGTTGTACTCGATTGTACTGACTCACTCCGCTCTCTACCTGTTCCACTCACAGGGCTCAGACGATGAGTCATATGTCAGCGATGTGAGCGATAACATTTCCGAGGACAACGCCAGTGTGACTGATAACGTCTCCAGACAAAGTAGGTCCAATTCAGCACCATTACGAGCCTACACCAAGCATCTGTAGTTCTCTGTTAGAAATGGGGGAAAATTAATAAAGGAGAGGATCACGCTCAGTGGATCAACTGTGCTTCTCACACAGAGACACACACTCTGGCAATGGGAAGCTCATTTATCTGTGTGGCTGAGGCAGTTGACTTTGCAGTGTTGCTCTGTGCCAAAGGCTTCTCTGAGGCTTTATGAAAGCTCTCTGTGTGAGGAGGGATGGGATCTCCCTCCTCCATCTTTGTCACATACCACACAGAGAAAGATAAGATCTCATGAAGATTAAAACACTCTGGGTTCCTGTACAAGTCTGCAATAGTCTGGAAAAGTACAGGGATTCGTCATATTTCAAGGAGACTGAAATAAATAGGAATGGCATAAAAAGGAAATAACAAAGTATTAAAAATTTTATTACACATTTTCATGCAGAGCCACTGTCACTTCAGTGTATTTGATATTATGAACTGTAACCCTACAGCACCAGGCCACATTACACCTGTTTGCCTCCTTACACTGGCTTTCAGTTAGTGATATAGGTCCAATTTTAAAATCTCATTGATTACTTTTAGTGGCCTGGTCCCTTGCTCTATTTAGGAGTTTTTGGTCGAATTCGAGCCTGCATGAAGCTTCTTGAGATCCCCAGCAGATATATTTTATCTATTCCAGTCTGCGTTGTACCAGGTTAATAACCAGAGGAGACAGAGCCTTTTTATCTTTTAAGAGGAATTTCATCCTGATTTTACTTGAATTTTCTCTGTTATCTGATATTATCAGAATTGGCTTATTTTATTCTGGTCCAGTTAATGTGTGTTGTTTGACTGCAACAGAGCAGATCAGATTATTTTCTCAATTAACTGATTAGTTGTTTGTCTACAAAATGTCAGAAAACTGTAATAAATGAATAAATAAATAATAATCAGATGTCTGCCTTTATCCAATCAAATCAACTGTTGGATAAATTCAGTTTACTGTGACATAAGATGATTAAAAACCAAGACTTTATTACCAAGAGATCTGCTAGAAATCAAGATCTAGTTTTAAGACCTGAATTGTTTTGGTTCATTTTGAGCTCAATTGTTTTAAAGTTGTGTTTTATCAAATTGCTTTCATTTGTTTGTGTGTGTCAAGTGATTAAAACACAGAAAACCGTAGGAGGTTAATGCAGCCATGAATAAAAGCCTCTAAATTTAGACATTGGAATTTACATTTTTGATTGAAAAGTGACAATGAATAGATTATTAGAATAGATGCTGATGAATTTTCTGTCAGTCAACTAAACAATTAACCAACTTATTGTTGCAGCTTCCCTATTGTTCCCTAAAAATTTCCCATTTGATTATTTTTCATAGAGGATTTAATTTTATTTATTGACCTGTAACCTGGATTTTTGGAAAGTTCCCTATGAATAAAAAATCTTCTTATATTATTAAGAGCAAGCTTCCAAGAGGGACGGTGGCTGTCACAGACAATGTTGTAACATGTCGATCGTTAATGAGGTGGTATTGTTTTCCCAGTGGCCAATGGAGACTTTGCTGGCAGTGCCTTCCGTAACGGGCGACGCACCTGCCTGCCGGCGCCGTGTCCTGACACCAGCAACATCAACCTCTGGAACATCTTGAGGAACAACATCGGCAAGGACCTGTCCAAAGTGTCCATGCCTGTGGAGCTCAACGAGCCCCTCAACACCCTGCAGCGCATGTGTGAAGAGATGGAGTACAGTGAGCTGCTGGACAAGGCTGCTGAGACAGAGGATCCCTTCGAACGCATGGTAATGAAGCCGTCAGATACCAGCACTGTGTCAGATCAAATGATAATCAGGTTTGGTGTCATGTCTGAAGAAGGTTGACCCTTCACCGCTGTTCAAAAAGCTATTAGATGCTTTCTTTTGCTCAGTGGTGTTTCTAAAGCAGACTCCGAAAATGAGGATTTTCAAGTTGACTTTCAGACACATCTTTAAATTGCTGCTGTATTTTAGTGTTTATCATTCCTCTATTTGTTTATATGAGGTGACATTGCCAGACATAAGCCAGGATAAATAGTCCCCCACTCAGAGGCGTGTCTGCGAGGCGGCAGTACGCTCCAATGCAGCTGTTGACCTTGGATCCTCCTGCTTTTTTCTGTCTTCATCTTTTTAATAGTGTCCAGTGCATACTAACGTTTATCTTACTCCTCACAGAGACTGTTGATATGAGCTGGTTAATCCTGTCTTATTTACAATTGGTTGTCTTGTTTTGACTCTCTGACAGGTTCTCGTCGCTGCTTTTGCCGTCTCAGGCTACTCATCCACTTACTATAGAGCAGGAAGTAAGCCATTCAACCCGCTACTCGGAGAGACTTATGAATGTATTCGAGAAGACAAGGGCTTCTGTTTTTTCTCGGAACAGGTACGTTTGTCCACTGATGGTTTTGTTCTGTGAAACAAATTTTTATGCCATGAAGTGCATTTTAAGGGAAGTATTATCTTGGATATATGGCCTGAACAATGGTTTCCAACCTTCTTGGCTTGTGACCACTTAGAACAAACCAATCTTTGTATTTAACTCCTTGTAATCTCTTGCATACGTCAACCTGTTGCGATCAGATCAATCAGACACTTTAATTTGCATTGCATGTGTACACTCTTCACATTTAAAGGTTGCACTCTTGATAACTTAGGTATACAGTAAATTAGAGCTACATTTAACAATTATGGTAATTACTGATTAGTCTGCTGGTTGTTGTCTAGATTAATCAAGTAATTATTTGGTCTTTGAATTATCAGAAAATAGTGAAAATGCCCTTGATATATGACCTGCAAATCTTCAGCATGCAGATGCTAGAAAAATTACTAACAATTATCAAAATTAGATGGTGTATATAATGTGCACTCTGAACAACAACAACAGCTGTCACACTGTTTTTATTTGATCTTGTCTCAAAGGTGAGCCACCACCCTCCCATCTCCGCCTGCCACTGTGAATCTAAGAACTTCACCTTCTGGCAAGGTAGGTTACCTGTCTAATTAGTGAGGGATTTCCCTCAAGGGAACTGTGGCTTATCACAAGAGCCAACGTGACTTAGCCTCTTTAATATCCAGCTGAATATTTACAGAGAAACAATTTTTTTTTTTCCTCATAATTTGCCAAGATATACAAAAAATGCCAGTGCATTGTTTTATTTCTGATGTTTTTGCTCTTTTACTTTTCAGATGTGAGATGGAAAAACAAATTCTGGGGGAAATCTATGGAGATTTTACCAGTAGGGACTGTGAATCTCATGATTCCCAGGTAACTTTGATCCAGATGGCTTGTGTCATGGTTAAATCTAACACACTTTCATCCCAGCAGTGGTTCTGATGCTGCTTTCATGCCATCAGTGTTATTTTAATTACCAGTTTGTGACTTTTAATTGTGTTAACATGAACATTCAAATTATAATTATGACAGAGGAACTGATTTTTCTGATATATCTGAGTTGGCGCTACACCAGCTGTTTGTTGTTGATACAGCCACAAGGCTCAGTGGTGATTAAATCCCCTAAACCTGACAACAAATTATTTTACCAGTGCTACCTGTGCTGTGACAGCTCTTAATAATACAAATGCCTAATCCATCCATGAGCTCCTGTGGTGCAGAGGAATCCACAGGGAGATGCAGCCCATGAATAATGTCTTTCAATGGGAGGTTTGAGGAGGCGTGCAATGCTATTTATATCGCACAAAATCATTTAGACATGAATGCTGAAAATGTGGGACCACTGAATAAGATACCAGATCAAACTAGATCAGATTTTTTTCCTGCTGATCAATGTTCAAAAAAAAAAAAAGCTAAATAAACTGAAATTAAACCAAACAGAATAAAGTCTATATATCGAGTAAGAGATTATGTTGTTCAGCAGCACCTCAGGTCGATCAACTGTTATTTTGTCTTTTCTAGGTTTGGAGATAACTACGAATGGAACAAAGTCACCACCTGTGTACACAACATCCTCAGTGGTCGACGGTGGATCGAACACTATGGGGAGATCACCATCAGAAACACAAAGAGCAGCGCCTGCCTCTGCAAACTTACCTTCGTCAAGGTAAAGGAAAACCCCTGTCAGTTATCACAGGGTTCCTGCAGTGTTCACCAAATTAACTTTTTTATGACCTTTTTATTACCACATATAGCTTAATACCCTTTTCACAGTTACACTAGCCAAAGAATTATGGAAAACCAGTAGGGACTACAATGCAGATAACTATTTATGAAGGACATGTATTTTTATGAATTTATACCACATTTTTTGTCTACTCAGCTATACATAATAATAATTAACAGTAGTACGGAATAATTAATCAGTTAACGTGACCTGGACCCAGGTGAGGGGTATATAATTGCTGCATGGATAAACCAATTACAAATGAATTAATCAATTTGAGTGAATTATTTTAGCTGAAATTGATACTTTCTGATAATTTAAGGACAAACTTTCCAGCTACTGTGGCTACAGCAGTAGTGACAGGTGTGATGGTGCCGACTGAAACTCCACAAAAGATTCAGTCCACTGTTGAATTGAACTGAACTGTTGAATTGAATTGTTCAACTGTTGAATTCAATATTCTTTTTTTTTATACCCTCTTAACCCTTTTTTTGCTTTGTTTAAGGGAACTAAACTTCAGTGCTTTTTAATATTTTTGAAGCCCTGTATATACCCTGTATCAAAAATAGCTGTTTACTATAATTTACTGTGTATTTTAATATATATTTGGGAAGTCACATACAGTTTACCTGAGCTAAAAGGGCAGTCTTTGTCTTTCAGGGAAACTACTGGAGTTCTAATGTGAATGAGGTTCAAGGATTCGTAATGGATCAGGAAGGGAAAGTGATCCACAGGCTTTTTGGAAAATGGCACGAGGGCCTTTACTGTGGTGTCCCACCTTCTGCTAAATGCATCTGGAGGCCAGGTAGGCATCATTTGCTCACACACACTCACAGCTGGTTTTCACCTAAGATGTGTTACTGGTCACTTGAGGTCCACTGGAAGTTTTTAAGGGAGAGAGATAGACTTTTTCACAATAGATTTGGCTCCCTTCCAGTGGATGTGGTAGAGATCAATTTAAAAAAGATGTTTATACACTGATTTTAAGATGTTAAAATTGATTGTCCATGTCGTTCTGTCCTTGCCAGGCTCCATGCCCACAGACTATGAGCTGTACTATGGCTTCACCAGGTTCGCCATTGAATTGAATGAGCTTTGCCCTGAGCTGAAAGATGTCTTGCCGCGTACCGATGCCAGATTCAGGCCTGATCAAAGGTACAGCATCATATTCTCAGCTGCTTTGAAAAGCCCAGATAACAGTGTGATGCCGCCTCTGACTGAGAAAGAAGTGGAGGAGATTTAGACTACAACATCAGTGGAGTTAATCTGCTCAGTATTATTTTTGTCTAATGAAGTCCTGCTAAAGAAGCTGAATATCAAGTTTTGCTATTCCCTTTTTGTGTATGTTATCTGTGTAGCTGTCTGATTTACTGGATATGTATATTTACTGAGAGGCGTTGTTTGGGTCACGCAGGCATCTTGAAGAAGGGAACTTGGAGATGGCATCCACAGAGAAGCAGCGAATTGAGGACATGCAGAGAGCCAGGAGGAAGTGGAACGAGGAGAACAACATCAAACAGGAGCCACGCTTCTTCAAGTAAGCCCAGAGACCAGCGAGCAGATGCGTAAAGCTGTGTGTTCATGACTGAAACTGTGTATACGCACAAAGACAAAGACATCGCATTTATAAAACTGTGCTTGCATCATTCAGTTTATAAATCTCAGTAGTTGTGATACTGTTAACTGTAGATGGGTGCAAACATGAAAATAAATATGCTGCAAAATGCGAGAGCTTGTAGAACAAAAATCTGAACTCGTTTAAATTCTCACTTTCACAAACATGTCAACTGAATTCACAGAAAGAAACAAAAAAGGTGAGTTTGTAGAAACGATGAGAAACTATTCACAAATGTGTAGATTGATATTTACACTAACACGATAGCTGCAAACTTGTAATCCTACATTTACTCTTATTTACTTCATTCTTTTACTCGAGTTTTTCTAGTACAACTCTCATTACAACCTTTGGAATCAGTCACTGCAAATTCACAAATGCATTCTGTCGAATCACATCGTGACAAATCGGCGCACCTCAATTTTTGCATCACTTCTTGTCTTGCAAAAGCTCTTCTGTCTCATTTCCACAGCTACAAGTTTTACAACAAATTTAATGCAAAAGTCAAGGTAAACAGATCCGTCATGTTGGGATGTGAGGGGGCACATTTGTGAACTTGCAGTGACCACTTGACCTGGTATTCATCTTATGTGTGTGAATATTTAATACAAGGGAAATTTAAGTTCAGAATTTTGTTCTTCAACTTCTCAGATTGTATACTACAAGCTCTGGCATTTTACAACATATTTACCTTCATATAGACACGCCTTTATTCATTCTGCCTGTGAAAGAACAGCAGCACAGTAGCAATGCAATTTCACTGATTGTGCCACATCTGCAACACCACAGCACCACCATTAGCGCCTGTTTTATCATTAATTTACCACGTGTCTGTAAACCTCATTAGCATTTACTGTATATCTCATTTTTCATCAGTACACTCAAGAAAAGTAATTAATGAATTGTAGCGTAAACAGACTTTACAAAGTGTATCATTATTAGGGATAAAATTACAAAGAAATAAAATTATGCCTACCATGTTAATAAAAATAAATTGAAAAAAGATTCAAATTCATCACAATAATTAATCCAAATGAAGTTTATAAATGTACCTTTGATCCGCATTTTGCATATCACTGTATATATTGAAACTGGCAAATAACTCTGCCTAGTTCTAATTATTACTAGACTATTACTCTCGCCTTATTTTCCCACCTGCACTTTATCATACCATCCTGATTGCTCTAGAAAACCATGTGTATACATCGTCTGCAGCCTGTGTGTGTGTGTGGTGTGCAAACTCTCACCACATATTGTTTTTATAAATACAAGGTCAAGGTCGAATTTACTGTCATTCTCTCCATGCATAATACTTAATATACAGGGGAACGTAATTGTGTTCCTTCAGTGCTACAGTGTACACAATAAGAACGGATACAATAAAAAACTGCTACAAAGACAGGAAAGTATAAGTAGTACTGTTGTAAGTTGACTCAAGTGCAATGACTGGATGGATGTGGCTCTTTTCATTAAAAACACTAAAATTTTCTGAGGGATTATAATGTACATGAAAAATAACGCCTGCAACAATAAAAAAAAGCAGACATGACGGTGGCAACAGGAAAAGTATAAAGAGTACGTTCACACTATGCCTCCATTTGTTTGTGAATTACTTCTTTCTTTTTTCTCCTCGCTTTCAGATTTATCACTTACAACTGTCACTCGTGTCTTTTCTTTCAGGAAAGTGGTTGATGCCAATCACAGGGAGAGGTGGGTCTCCAATAACATGTACTGGGAGCTCCGCAAAAACCCCGGCTTCATCAATATGGAATCTACAGCGAACCTGTGGTAGCAAATGGATTGTTCTGTCCATCATATCGTCATCGCAGACAAAAAGGCTGTTACCTATGCACAATAAGGTGTTGCGAGAAACATGTTAATGATAAAAAACATCCGTGTGCATGGATAGGAGCGGCTGCAGAGCTGAGGGATGGCCTGATGCCCAGCGACCCTGTCGAGGGTCTGTGGCACTGCCACACGGTCACCCATCCATGGAAACATCCTGTAGGATCACCTTCATAGTGCTTGTCCAAGCTGGGTTGTCAGGGCAACAGTCGAACCACTCCTATGTAGATCTATCCTCAGCTCCTTTGACTTCTGAGTATGTCCTTGCCTTAAAACGACATGTCACACGATTTAGCGCTTTTTAGTCAAAGCCATTTGATTTCTGACAGCCGTTTGGGTTAGACTAGTCTATGAAGTAGACATTTTGATTACCTATGATACCGTGCATGTTTAGAGAGCAGCTTTCACTGGCATAAAGCCGTATTTACTATGTCATCAATTATTGTAGAAAAAAAGAGGTATTTTTATAAAATATCTTGGACTCACAATTTAGTGAAAAAGTACTATGTGAATTGGCAGATTTTATTTATTCTTGCCTTTTAATACTGTTGAATCTGTGTGATAGCAGTACTCTCTCTCGGGAAACAACTCATTTACTTCAAACCCCCTCCTCCCCCAACTGAGCCTAGCCTCCCTTCAAACACCAGTCCTTGCACTCCCCCTGCATGGTTACATGAAACCAACTCCTCTGAGTCACATGGTTACATAAACACATATGTAACTCCCTCCATGTATAGTGGGCACACATTCAGTTTGTCCGGTCTCAGTGTGGTACAGGTAAATGTCTTGTTTCAGTGAAATAACAGACACTCAAACATTAGATGTTTGGTCATCTTAGTGTCAAGAGTCTAAGAAAACACGGTGTAGTAGGTTGTGGAGGTCGTGAAGCCCTCTGAGACACTTTTGTGCTTTATAAATAGAGCTGACAGTGAAGCATGAGTAATACAGTCATATTTCAAGGCCAAACATTCATTTACTATACATCCATCCACACAGCTATAGATCTTATTTTAAACCATTTAATCAATCAGTCAATTATTTTCTGTCAAAAATGACAACTTCTCATCACAGTTTGCCAAAGCAATGTCTCAAATGCAGAATCCTAATTCTGACAAACAACCAAAAATGTTCATTTAAAATTAAACAAAGAAAATTGATAACTCTTGGCATTTTTTTTAAACTATTACCAGCAAACATTTCGTTTTTCAGGATAAATTACCTACATTATTAATTATTACCAGAACCGGTATACATCTTCTGATTATTTAATTAATCAGTTAATTATGTCTGCAAACCATGAGTCATCCAGCCACCTGTGTACAGTTATGAAACACCAGAGACACCTACAGGTCGTCCCATGAAAATGCAGTTTCAGGATAAATGATCATTTTAGATGTGAGAGCCCAACACGTTTGTACAGTAACAATTGCACTGTACAAACATTAAAATTTATGTTTTAATGTGTCTGATTCCCCAGAGACTTTACTGCTATGATGTGGTGTGGGCTTCTGCAAAGCACCAGTTACTTATTTGAAGTTTCTATATTTATTGCAAAGCAGATTAGCTTTAATGTTTTAACTAGTGGACCCCCCCCCCCTTTTGTGTTACAGAGTAAGAAAATAAAACAGGGGGCCTTTGATTGAAATCAACCCCAACACACCCGAGCAGTCACACATTGTGTATGAGAGCACATTTTTAAGTTGATTCCCCTTGTTCAGGACTGCAGGGTGAGGACCCTGAAGGAGAGAGTATAAATATGTAGAGTGAAAAACTATGTGAAGCAAATCCATCTTGTGTGCACTGTTCACATGGTACTGTAGATTCAAACCAAAAAAGGTAGTACTGCTTTGCATCCATACTTTTTTTTTTTTTAATGTACGTTTTGTGCTTTTAATTTTATCCCCAATCACAAACTCAATGCTACATCTTGTCAGCGTCAGTTTCACTTGCTGTGCCTTAATGCATTTATTAATGCCTCACAAACACACCACTAATGAGAATCCCCATGCCAAGAAGGTAGGCCATTAACAAGTCAAACTCCACACATTCTCCGGTCTCCACCTGCCTACAGACAAAAAACTATATTGAGGAGTTAGCTGTGGACAAAATGATTTTGAGGGAAATGTCTTTGATGTTATACGTGAAAAAAAAAAAGGTTTACCTGACTGTAAAATGCTTGCAGTGTTCAAAGATGTTCTGCACTGCTCTGCTACTCCAATATGTAACCAGTACATTTTTGGTGATCACTGTAAATACAGCACATTTTAGAAGATGGGTCACTACTGCAAAAGCGGATTCCTTTTTCCTCCTACATCAGTGATTTTGTTTCACAAGACTGAATCCCAGCAGCAGTTTTGAGTGGAGGTCGGGGCAAAGCTTTGCGTAGTGTTTGGTATCATAGAGTCAGACTGTAGTGAAGAAAAAAAAACAAAAAAAAAAATCATGAAACCTTCTCATGCTTTCTTCGTCCATTGTTCTACCTGCATGTCTAGACAACTTAGCCTGCCAATGAATGTTGCAGATGCCTTATTAAAAAAAAAGTTTTTGTTTTCTCAATTGGGCTCTCATGTTTTGTTTTTGTTTTGGACTGACATGCATCACAAAGTGTCAGCTCAGTTTTCTTTCCAATCTGTTTCCTAATGGGTACCTTCTAAAGTGCAATTTTAACAAAGTACATATCTTTCCATGAACACTGTACAATGCTGCTACATAGTGCTTGTTCTAATAAAACTGTAAAACTCAGCTGATGAGGAGTGAGTGGTTTATATGTAAAAGACATGGGTTTAAGATCGAAATAATCTTTCCACATGAAAATTTCATTGTGAATGGAGCTGTGTCAAATAATCTTTCTGTCTTTAATGACAGGAAATAGTGAAATATGTCCGGTCCAGTTTCTAATATGATGTCTTAAAATGTCTAGTTGTGTGTTGGTATTTCTGCTTGAAAAATTACTTAAACCATTAATCACTTATCAAAATAGTTACTGTTCATTTTTCTGTTCATCAACTTACCAATTAATCAACTTATTTATTCAGCTCTAATTGTAAAAAAAAAATTCACAAATCACAAGATAAACCACTCTTATCTAATATGTATTATATGTGTTGTTCTCTTCATGTGGATGTTTGAGTTCCACTGTGCAGAGAGATATTCAGTGCACAGTTTGACACTAGGAATGGGGAGGGTTTGTCTGTGCTCCCTTTAAATCTGAGCTTAAGACATGAACGTATGGGCATGATTTTGTGACGTGATCACACATTGAAACCTCCAGTGCACATTCACTGATAATGGATTTTCCAGCGAAGTGCAAGACATCTTTTGTGCAGCAGTTAAACTTTTGAAATTAATTAATTCACACCTAGACCAGACACAAAAAGTCCTACAATTTTACACCAGAAAAATCAATAATAAACATAAAAACTCCAATTATGTAATGTGCGCGAAATTAGTCAAATTTTAAAACTAGGCAAGGTTACATATTAGTTGACTTATTTTCTTTTTAAAAAGGAGAGAAAAAAAAAAGAACTTCAGCAACAATAATCTGCAAGATTTTATCCAATTCTATTCATGTAGAAACAAGAAAAATGTGTGGTCAGAGAAATCCTAATTAGGCTTTCCCCTTAAATTGTTCAAGCAGGAAATCTGAGAATTCACTGTAAAAACTTCAGATCAAGCCACTAAACCAACTATTTTTTAAATATATTTTTACCATTCTTTTGTGTGATCGGCTTGAGCTTTTTCTTGTGTCTTACTTATCAAACCGCACAGATCAAGAGTGAATGAACCAGTGCACAGGCCCTGATCTAATTGCCTTTGTACTAATACAGCAGAACGTGCTGCCTCATGAATTGATGGCTGTCAAGTGGTCGGCTCCCACGAGAGACATTTCATTCAATAACATTGCAACAGCTCCTGAAGGCATCACAACAATCTGCTCTCTCAATACTGTCTATTGACCATTCACAGAAACCAACACTTGTTAACATTAAGTGTTTTGGGTTTATTTTCTGAATTTTTACACATATTGTTCCTGCTATTATTCTCCACCAGGGTTCAGTTCATACAGCAGAGGACACCAGTCAGTAAATTTATTAAATATATCATAGGTTTTACTATTATGTACTATGAGGCACACTGCAAAAAAAAAACAAACAAAAAAAAACAGACCAGTGGAAAGGGCATAAAAAGTCACACGTCATCTATTTTGAGAGTTGACCAGATAACAGCGGGGGTTGTATTGTAGACTGCATACTGACAGATGGAAAAGTGGAAAATACAAAAAATAAATAAATTCAATTTTGTTGTGATCAAAGTGCAGATCATTCTTTTAAATTTAAAAGCTAAAATAATCTCTCCTCTTCTATTCACTTCCATTTTCAGGCGACTATTGTATTGAAGTTTAACAGAAAGGCAGGAATCTCTGGAGAAAATTAAAGCTCAACGCATCGCTGCAGAGGAAAACTATGTGGAATAAAAAATTTAATTAAGTCAACTGAAACCTAAGAACATCTGCATACTGACTGAAAAAAGGCAAAGAATTTTCAACACTGAAAAAAATAAATAAAGCGAAACAGTTCAAACTATTAATATAAAAAAATTCATGAGGAAGTGCTTCATAATATTCACTGTTGTGTTCCTACTTCATTTACACATGAAGTTCCTTAAATATATTTGTCATCTTATCTAACACATAATGACATCCTAACAGCCTGATGGCAAAATTTTTGATTTGACTATTTCCTCACTGATATTGTTCTACAGTTGTATGATTCATGTTGATGTACCTTTAAATACTGTGGAGCATGATCTGCTTTTGTTATACGTTTACATAATTAAAAAAATATACCTTGACCTCATATCATCCGTGGGCAGGAAGACTAAGAGGGAAGAACAATCTACAGCCTCATCATGACTAGACATCAGCTGATATATGTGGCAATGTGGGTGAAGCGACTGTTGACTGTTGTAGTGTTTACTTGATGGAGGCCATGATCTTGATGTACTGGAGAGCGCTGTGTGCTGCGTCGTTGTGCGCGTTGCTACAGGAAATGCCTGTGCCGTGACACACGGTGACCGGGGAGGTGGACAGCTCTGCCAAACACTGGTACTGGCCGTTCACCGTCAGTTCATCTGCCAAAAAACAAAACAAATATTAATATCAATTAATTAAGCAATATCACACGAGAGGTTGTGATGTTGCACTCAATATCAGCACGGCTCTGATTTGATCATATGTACGAGGCTGCAGGCCGTGTACGTACTCAACAGCCGAAGACAATGACAGCCGTATACAACAGTTCTACGAGCGCCATCTTAGTTAAATAAGCAACAGATTATGATTTGTTTGTTTCTTTCATCATTTCTTTGGCTACGTCAACACAAATAGTTCTGCACCTGGTCCTGGACTGTTGCAAAGCAACACATTAACATGTCCCTGACCTGCACAGTGCACGCTAGCTTGTTACTTAGTCTACGTTACCTCAGGTGTGCGCTGAAGTATCCAGGCTTCTTCTCTTTATCCTCCTCTGTCAACCATCCACCATTTAATTCAAATGTTATTTCTGAAAATATTTTTCATCTTTGTTTGTTACAGTCTAAGAAACTAAACGACCGTTAATGTGACGCTGATTAACGGTTAATAGAACACCTGTAAAGCGGAGTGATACATGTGGTTAAAAGTCCCAGTGCTGTTGTACTCTATATCAGCGCTCATAGGATGCCTCTCGTCCAATCAGATTACTTGGTCGGAACTAACTGTTGTATAATAAAATCAACATATTTAATAAAATATAAATTATAGCTTATTTAAAGTTACAATCCTTTACATTTTCATGAAATCACATCCTGTTTTTGATTTTTGCTCTGCATTTTTTTCTGCAATACACATTCAATGTATTTAAATTTTATAATCTTTATTAGTTGTTATCATTATCACTATCATCTACTGCTGCTGCTTCACATTAAAAGCATTAAAGTCGCGAATCAAAGGGTGGCTTTTACTGTGAAGCAGCCACAGGAAATTGATCATCAGCACTTAAAAAAATAAAAATGCACCTGTCAGATTGACCTGTTAGATGAAGAGCTGCAGGTGACAGACTACACCTCCAGTTCTTTAGCAAAGTAACTTAGCAGCGTGAAATCAGACTGTGGTTGCAATGAGTAAACAGATACATCAGTTGCTCTTCTGTTCCTTCTCAGAGAGTTTTTGTTGTAATATTAAACTATACTGGCTGTTTCCATGGCAACCACAAGTGTCAGCAAATCAACCAGAACTAAACTCCTAAGGATTACAACTTCAGTATATCATTACATTATTGCTATGTTGCTTCTAGGTTAGGCAAACCGTAACTATGGAAACATGAACAACAGCACCAACAGAGACATTGACGTTAATCCTGTTTACTGATAAAATATCAGCTATCACATGTTTGTATAAGCTCCAGCATGAATTAAGAAATCAAAAAGAAATTATATATTATTTAGAGATTCCATTATCTCTTTGTTCTCTCACTAAAAAAAATTTAATTCTGTACTGAAACTGCACTCATGAGGCGTCAGGCTTTTTTTTTTTTTTTTTTTTTTTTTCAAACTTCCTAATTTTTATTTCTACACTTTACAGGACAGTTGAGATGCTGTGTCCGGCATCTCTCTAGCGTTTGCATTGGGAAGAGCTGAGACGGGAGTGAATGAAGTAAGGAGCTGCGTTAGCTGAACAGAAAGCACTCTGGATCTTTGACAGAGAAACACAGATGCAGTGTGGGCTGTCTCACCAATATCGAAGTATGTGACCTCAAAGCCTTGCTCCTTGGACAATTCCAACATCATCTGAATGTAATCTGTGTTGGGAATGCTCAGGGGATTTCTTCTTAGTAAAGACATCTTCTCTGCTGATGAGTTCCTTAAGTTCTCAAATCGGACACTTGGTTTAGGCGTCTGAAAATGAGACGTGAAATGTAACACAAAAAATTTGAGACATTTTAAAAACTTTTGACTCTGAAATGGTGCTAATGCCTTCAGAGGTCACAAAAAAAATGCTAGAAATATTTGACATACCCATGTGATTTCAGAACAGCCTGACAGACTTTGAAGTTTTGCCACCATTTTCTCTGCAGCTGCCTTTTTTGCTGCCTTTTTTGAGTTTCCTATAGCTGTCAAACACAAGACAGAGAGTGAGAACAGGATGAACGAAGAAAAATTACAGCCACTTTAAAAGATTTTACATGAATCTCTCAAAAAGACCCATACCCTTCTCTGACAGGGACTCCATTCGACAAGTAACTGTGAATTCTCTCTTGTGTGGCGGACCAGCCTCCGTTACAACTGTGTATTCAGGAAGACGCCATCCTCTCTGCAATGCTAGCTCCTACAATGAAATGCCATAGAGGAAAATAATGAAGACAAGAAAAAATCGAGTTAATATTTTCTTTATTTGATACTGATAATGCATATTAGACAGGAAATAACCTGTTGCTGCATGCCGCTTTCAAGTACAGCTTAGTAAACGGACACAATTTTTTATTTCTGAAAGTAATTACATTTGTCAAGCTTTCCTTTTTTATTTAATTTTGGGGCATTCAAAACATATACAGACAGACGGACACACACACATGCGGACACACACACATACACATACAACAAAGTGCATAAATCACACATTTACAGACCTGCAGTATCCCCACTGAGTTGGGATGGTTGTTTGTTTCTGCTGCAACACCATTACTCTCAGACTTCACAGGAACATTCCTGTTGGAAATCACATCAAAGCATAGCTGCAATAGATTAGCATACACTACAACCTATCAGCTTGGCAGTGTAGGGCTTCAACTAACCATTATTTTCATTATGGATTCATCTGCCAGTTATTTTCTCGATTAATGAGTAACTCTTTTTGTCTGCCTGTTAATTTCCGACAGCTCAGGGTAAATTGCTTGTTTTATTCAACCAACAGTCCAAAACCCAAAGATATTCAGTACTATCATATATGATGACAAAAAGCATCAAATTCTCCCCCTTTAAAAAGTAAATATTTGGGGTTTTTTATTCAAAAAATGAGTAAAACATTCGACCACTGCAGCTGTGCAGCAACGCACTGCTAAAAAAGCTAACATCAAACTCACCTTAGGGCCACAGCTGGGTTAATCTGAACAATATCATTTGCCAGAACCCAAATTGACACACTACAAAACCATTGCAGATTGAGTTTTGCCAAATTAAAAGTCTAAAAGGCAAAATATTCACATTTAATGAACCTGGGACCAGTGAATTTCTGGTACTTTTGCTTTGACAAATAATTAGCTAAATGATTAATTCATTATCAAAATTGTTGCCAATTAATTTTATGTCCATCAACTAATCGTTTGATCTCTACTCACACTGTTCCAGCATCTATTTGCAGCATATTCAGGGCAGCCTCTGCAGCAAGGTGTTTAGCAGCCTTTTTACTGGGACCTTGACCTGACACAAAATACAACCAGACACAGATTATGAAATACATTATAGAAATTATTCTTTAAAAAGCACCATAGCCTCAAACCACTCATCCACCCACAATGGCAAAAAAACAAATATGCCTGTAAAGACAAGATTTGAATTCCTGTTTTAAACCCTGGAAGCCCACAAGACGCCTTCAATCAATTGTGTCTCATTGTACTATCCCAGAAAGTAAGATGAACCCTAAAGGCTACTGGAAAGGACACGATGAAATAAAGAGGAAAAGAATTGTACTCTAGAGTAGTTGTTTGAAGATGTCAAATAAGAAGACTGGATTATTTCTCATCACCTCAACACTGAGAGCTTTGAAAATGCTTGACATCCTCTTCTCTGGACCTGCACTGTTCTATGCCTGAGGCGAGATACCTTTGTTAAAAAAAAAACAAGGCATATAGAGGATATATTTAAGAGTATGCTGCAGCAACAGACACAACTGTCAACAAAGAAGAAGTGACAAATAATACACTACAGACAGGAATGAGCAATGTATGACTTTCAGTTCAAATAAAAGACTTCATTCAGTGACAGACAGCTGTCAACACAGCAGGGGTGGGACCGTTCACGTACCTGTGCAGCCCACGTCTCCGATTTTGACACTGAAGACGAAGCTGGGCTGGTGAGCTTCTCCTTCAGCCTTCTCCATCACATACACGGGAAGGTTCCCAGTTTTGGTGCCATATTCATGCAAGATTTGTATAGGTGTTTTCCCAGGATTGCTCCTCTGTGTTTCAAGTGTGTTCAAGCTGCGTGTATTAAACAAGTATACACAAAGACCAGAAGCATAATAAGTGCGCTGTCGCTGTATATCTGAGCCAAAAATCAGGGCAGTTAATAGACCGAAAATAATGAATGCAAATGATAGGATGTGTTTGTTTGTATGGCAATACTTGTGTCTTATTTTTTCATTTTGATTTTCCAACAGATATTGGCAGTTTATTCATATATACATATGAACCACCAAAAAAAGTCTTACTGCTTCTTATGGAAGTATTTTTACTTTTTTTTAATTTTTATTATTCTATTAGGATATTTATTTTATTCAGATGGTTTGAAGCCTTACTGTTTACTTATCCAAAACTACTGATAGCTTTAACTGACCATTATTTTCATTCTTCCATTGGTGCAGTCCCAGTTTCAGCTTTTTAGGACTCAAAGATATGATGCAAGTTCCTGATAAGATGACAAGGGCTCAAGGCTGGCCCACTGTGAAACTGACAAACACTCCCTCCAACCTTTTTGAGCCCTTTGTGCACACTTGTCATACATCTGTATGCAACACTAGAGATTTCGATTCTGAGAATGTTTCACAATTTATAATCTTCTAATGTTAAAAACTGGAATGATGTGGGATGTCTCATATGATGGACATTTAAGGAACTGGCGAGAACAAGTTTACATGCATGTGCTGAAGCAAGCAATGTGTCGGCTTCTTTGATCTGTGAGGTCCTTCTGAATTAACTGTCATCTGATTTTATCAGCACTTCCACTCACCACAGAAATGACTCTGCCCAAGATAAATGATTTTATTAAGTGGCTTTTAGCCTATAAACCTTCCTGCACTCACACACTAAAGCTGATGCTTGCTGAGGTAAAGGATGCTGTACAGTGAACAATGAGACTTACATTTGTTTATACTTTCTCCATCCAGGGAAGAATAATGAGGGATCTCCCCATAATACTGATTTGTACATCCAGTCCAGCAATTGATCTGACAGGCTTCTGGTGACAACCTGCCTCTCCAACACTCAAACCACCACAACTGCATGACTGCATCAGCCTCCTTTATATGACTATGAAATCAGTGCCAAGTGGTGAATTGACATATTGTAACACATGATGTCAACTATATTTATCATATTTTATTTATGTCTTCTTGGTGTTCTGTTTGTCTGCCTGTGTCAAAACATTATTATAATCAGTATTGCTTAGCTGTGTTTCGCTGTGCCCTGTAGCACTGTCTTGAGGATGCATATTTTGTTGTTATTACTGTCTTTATGGAGTCTTTTTATCCATGTTGATAAATGTACATTGTCTTTAGAAATAAAACGATGAAGTGACATTTCTCATCTCTCATTTTAAATCAGCATCCCAACACATTTTGTAGAATAAGTCACTGCAGGTACAGTCGCTCTGTGCCACGTTTATAACTGTAGTTTTATCTTTCACAGCATAAAAGCTAACGCTGTTGAATCTTTATTTAACATAAACTAAACACATGGGAGAGGGTTGGATGATGTGCAGATTTTATTATTACTTTTAACATTGTGGCAGAGTTTTATCCGTCAAAACCTAATATACTGTACGTTAGCCAGCTAAGCTAACCCCGGTAACTCCAGCTCACCGACATTAATGCCGTTAGCTCATTTGATGAGTATATTATATGTAAGTATATTCATATGTTTGTTTATTCTGACGCTACCAGGAGTTAAATATAAAAGGTATAGAAGGTTCAATATCAGTGATATAACTTCATAACGCTTCTTTTTGGGCATTAACAGCATTAAGATCCAGCTATTGCTCAAGCAATAGAAAATTAATTTTAGCATTCATTTTATTTGTCACATTTTCACTTCTGTGAAATCCACGTCCAGCTTCACTGGTGATATTTAGCTGTTTTTGGATTTGTTTCTTTATGCCTTGATATTTTAACACTTCATAAATGCTGCCATTGTGTCATTGTTAAAGGTTAGCCATCGTTAAACACATTTTAATACATTTAAACGATTAAAAACAACTAACCTGACGTCGGCGGTGGTTTTCACTGCTGGTGACTGGTATCCCTCCTGAGACATATTTACAAGTTTCTGTGGTCAGCGGGCTGAGCAAAGACTTCGGTCAAGGTAAAATCTCACACACACACCACTGTGAGAGATTTTTCTGAGCATCTAGTTAAGTTACTGTGAAGAAAATTAAGTGGCCTAAAAAACGCTATCAACTCCTCATTGCAGCCTAGCCGGGGGAATTACCGAATTCAACATCAACATCAACATCCAGGTCAGCGGCAGGTCAACTGATGGCACTGCGCGGAGCTAAGTTGTTTACCGCCACCTGCTGGTAGGTGATGGTAGTTCACGCAGGGCTTAACCGCATTCAGATTTCAAGTGCTTTTCTGTGTATAATTTAATGCAAGAAGGAAATCTGGGATTAGCCAAAGATGAGGAAATGTATTTAAATTAAAGATAAACCTCGAAATAAACACAGGAAAAACCAAAGAGCTGGCAATAGATTTCTGCAGGACCAAACCCCCCCCACCCACACCACTGAACATTCAGGGTATGGACACTGAGATTGTAAAATCATACAAATACTTGGCTGTGCATTTAAACAATAAACCGGACTGGATTGACAATATTCATACATTATAGAAGAGAGGCCAGAGCAGACTTAATCTGCTGAGGAGACTCAGATGAACTATTGTCTAATATTAAATTGTATTGTCAATGACCTGTGCGCAGACATTTCCTGAATAAGAGAATACAGACTAAATAAAGACTTTGTCACCAAAGACACATTTTCATTCCAATTGTGATTAATTTAAGATGTTCAATGAACAGCTGCACTGAAGACTCAGCAGGTTATGAATGTAACAGACTGTAACAAAATACATATAAAGAGTGCATTTTTATATATATATATATATATGCATATAAACAAACAGAATGAATAGGTTTTCAAATTGCTAAATACTTTCATAGTGGCAGTATATAGAAATTTATTGCTTGACTGATGGGAAATTGTTGTGTTTGAACTGCCGCAAAGATTACGTGGATTTCTAATGTGTAACAACCATATGCTCCTAGTCATATTAAATGACAATGGTAACAATAATACACTCAAGTACATGTATGAAAAGAATAAAAGCCAGGATGTTGCATTTACTTCTGAATTGATGTGCATGATTCGATTGCACAGTTCATTTAATATCATGTACAAATATTTAATTTCGACAATTACACTGTAGATATCATACCAGAATGACTGTCTCATATAAACCTTTAAAAAATTGTGTGACAAAATCATCTCCAATAAAGCTTCACCTCAAAGTTTTCAGTCACGCCATTGTCTTTATCAGCAAATGCAGGCTTGCTCAGGGGTCGTCATAAAAATATAAAACACATTTGGATAAGGCTTTGCAACAGTTTACCCAACAGATTCAAAACTTTAAACAGTTTTTGTAAGATAAAAACCCCTTTCAGGGAACATCGGATGTGTGAGACAGCAGGCTGGGAGGACGGGCTTCAGGGACAGGAAAGACCACTCTCTTCCTGAGTGAGAAGGCTGGTTGAGGCATTTGCTTTTTTTTACCGGCAAAATCGGACCTCTCGCTAACATCAGCATTCACTTTTGTCAGGATAGACACGAGGTCAATCTCCCTGGAAAAGACAAGAGATACAATTAGATGGTGGCCTAAAAAACTACCAACGTAGAATAAATGATTCTCTAATTTTAACTATCATATATATGAGAAGTGACTAAAATAGAGGTGAAGAAAGTACTAAAATAATTGACTTAAGCATAAGAAACAATAGCACACTATAAAAATACAGTTCAGGCATCAAAATTAAAAGTACTCTCTATGCAGAATGAAATCTGTCTGTGTCATATTATCATATTATTGAAATACTAATATTGATGGAACAATAGTAGTTTAAGATACAATAATGCATCATTTATGTATCATAAACTCATTATATGTTTAGTTTTCTGAAATGTAATTGTAACTGTGTAAATGTAGTAAAAAGTAAAAACATTTCCCACTGAAATAAGTAAAAATATTAAGTATAAAGAAGCATATAATGGAAATATAAATGGAAATGAATTTACTTTCCACAACTATAAAAATTCATATCATCCAAAAACATCTGATATGCTGTGTCACTAACCTGGGCACCATCTGGACCAGGTTTTGGCACAATGACTGAATAAACCAGGTGCCATTCTTCCTCTCTCTGAAGGAGGCGAAAAAAGGAACGGTGGCCATTGCCTGCAGGAAATCAGCATCACATGGGATAGAGTTGTTCGCTACAACAGCATCACTACTAACAGGACTACGTGCAATGCCATCCGCCTCGACGTAGACGGCCCTTTGCTCGCTGGTGCCCTGGCAAGCCTGGATGAAAAACAGCTTGGGTTTTGCTGCCAAAGAGGGGCACATTACTCCGTTCAAAGGCTCCATCAGTTCCATGAGCTTAACGGTGTTGCCGTCCACACCACACACCCCTCCCTGCTGACCATGGCTAAGAACACAGCATACCACACAGTCCATCTGACCGTGGTCTCTTCTGCCGAGCTCCTGCAACACAGACAGCATCTCCCTGCTCGTACAGTCGCGCCGTGTCTCGATCTCAAAGCCCAGCCACTTAAACACATCATGTAGACACTCTGGAAGATATATACGTAGAAATTTAAATACACACAGCAACATGCCCACATACAGACAGAGCAGGGCTGGAATACATGCACCTGTTTTCATCTGAGATTTCCAACATTACATAAACATAAGCTTACTTTCATCAATCATGGTCCCCTCCCGATTCTTGAGATTGGATCCAGAGAAGTTGTTGTTGTTTACTATCAAGCAGATACCTCTCTTTGCTGCAGTCATGGGATATATTCCCAAATCCTACAGAGATAAAGAGAAAAGTTACATGTTCATGCAATAAGAAGCAAAGCAGGGTCCTGGGCGGCCATGAGCACATACACTTGTATAAATAGGACGATATAAATCACACACCTCACTGTTTGTATTGGTAGTCTGAAAAATCAGCTCTTCAGGGGAGGTCTCGTGTTCTTGAGACAGCAACAATCCCACGGCATCTCTTCTCACTATGAGACGATGTGATGATCACAGATTTGAAGAGCAACAATTTTCAGCAAAGTCACAGTGGCAAAAATTATATAGATTATTATCTGTGTGAATATATGTACAATAAACTTCCAAGGACGTACAGCTGCTTGTTTCAGTGTGTAAACCACTCAGTCCATGTGACAGGGCTCCATATTCATCTTCACCCAACACATCTGGAAGATCTAGGAAAGTAATAAAAGAGGATTCAGAATAAACCAGTCCACTGAACTACACTTGAAAACAATTTTTGTTGTAAAACAAAAAAACCCAAACCTCAAAACTCACCCATCGAGGTGTTGGAAGAATTCAAGGAACTCTATGTTGGACACAAGAGAAATTAAAAATGATTATTAAAGACAAACAAATGTCATGCGTCATTTAAGTGTGTGAATTCTATCAGTTTCTCACCTGGGCCGATAACTGGAATTCTTCAAAGGAGGAAAAAAAAAAAAAAAACATGATTAGAATTATAATGCTTGACAAAATGGTTAAAAAATACAACATATGTTGACTGTGAGGGCAGTGGCACATTAACTTATACATCAGACTTACAGCTACAATTAGACATGTTTGAGAGTAGGAAAAAAATCAAGTTTGTTTGACTTTTACTCTTTACTTCGCTTTTTACGCTTTTACTTCTCTACATGTAAATATACTTAAGAGAAGAGACGTGTTATTATATATCAGTTTACCTGATCTTATACTCGAGACGGACCTTTCAGAATTTAAAGATTGAGGGTCCTGATAAAGAACACAGAAAAAATAAGACATTGCAACAAATGGCTATCGCAGAGAGAACAGCATGTAACACTGCATTGATGTGAGGATAATATCATGGTAGAAATCTTTCAGTGCAACTTGGACGGATTCAAAGCAGAATCAAAGACTGTACCTGGTTTAGTTCAAAAGGGCAAGTTATAGACCTCGATCTGCTGAACTGTTGAGCCATAGGCCTGGTTGGATGTACTGTGATGAAAAAAAAAAGAAGAGAAAAGTAAATAAACAGTAACATGATTTACATACAGATTAAACAGCACATATTAAAAACAAGACAAAAAAATACAAGTCCCCTCACTGTAAATGATCAAATATGGGGGTTTAAGGTTAAGGTTAGGGTAAGGGCTCCGGTTGGTCAATGCAATGTCCCTTAAGTGACTTCATGGAGGCCCTGCTGTTTCCAGTGCTGCCGTCTTCACCACGCGGTGTCTTCACATTTTTCCATTCCTGTTCTTGATTTAATCTGCCTGCCTCCTGTACCTGTCCTATTGAAGTCTGAGGTAAGGTCTTTTTGCTGACTCTAACATCTGCTGTTGCATCCTCATTCTTACATTTGTTGTTGGCAGTAACATTTGCAATGAGAATTTTCTTTAGCTTACCTGGCAGTGCTTTGAACTGGTTGATCTTTTCTTTCAACATGGGACAGATTGACTGAATCATTTTCTCCAGTTCGTTTAAATTAGTGTCACTGAGGAGGTCCATGTGCTCCATCTCCAGGAAGACCTCCAGTGTAGTCTGAAAATCACATTTAGTTACATTTCATTTTATCATAAGGTAAAATGATGCATACTTCACAGCGGAAACTTCATTAATGTTTTTCAAATGTCTTTTTAGATCAATTAAACATGTATGAAGTTGAAGCGCTATTTATAAAATATAGTTTGTATGTTTATGACTATGACTGATTGCCTAAACACCTCTGCATCTAACTTGTCTCTTCTCTTCAAACATGGGTTTCAAACATTGACAGTCTGAAGAGGCACTCACAACATTGTCCTCCAGTTTTCTACGTGGCAGCGTTTTGTTCAACAAGAACTTCACATGATTCAAGTCATCATCAGTAATCTCCTCAGACAGGCTGTAGAGTAGCTTCCTGGAATAACAGAAAATAAACTGTTGAGTGTTGTCAGAGTAGGCCTGGTGCTTGACTGGACAGCCACACTTTTTCTTCTCCTGATACAATCTCCGATGCCTACATTGGTCAGTACCAAGCCCCGATTCCATTACCAGTAATCTTTATTTTTAATAAATAAAAATGTGTATCTGAATCAGACTGAATATGCAACTATTTTGATTATTGTTGAATCTTTTAGGTTATATTTTAACCAAAAGCGCCAGAACAATTCAGTGGTTCCAGCTTCTAAAATGTGAATATGTGCAGGTTTTATAGTAGTAGTCTTCTACAACAGAGAATTTAATATATTTGAGTTTTGGACTGTTGTTCAGACAAAAAAAAGAGGAGGTCATGTTAGACTGTGAGAAACTGTGATGAGCATTTTTTTTTACTCTTTTCCAGACGATTAACTAATTAACTAATGATTTGCACACTTATCAGTCATGACAATAAACCTACTTCTATGTAACATGAAGCTGTAACTATATATACAAATTTTTATACTTTTTTTTTTGCTTTGACTGCAAAAACAGGGCCGGTATTTGTACTTGTAACTTTGTAGTTTCCTGCTTTGAACATGTTCACAAAAGCAGTTGATATAATGTTTGCACAAGTCTTATTTAAACATTCCTCACATAATGTACTCCACAAACTTCAAGCAAAATGAAGTTGACTTTCACACATCATTTCACAAATTCTTTATTGGCTCTGATACAAATCCCATGCTGTATATGTATGTAGATTGGTGCATTCCTATTTAGCAAAGTGTTTACGAAGATTTTTCTGTAAGGTAAATCATACTTGATTTACTTTAAAAAAAAAAAAAGAAAAGTTAAATACATTCAGCCCACCTGTAAGGAGAGATGAGGCTACTGGTTGCAGAATCTCGATCAGTGAGAGCGAGGTCACGGACCAGACGGGTGCGTTTAATAGTGGTGAGAAGCTCAGTCAACAGGTGTGGTTGCTCAGGTGAGAGATGGTCTTGATCGGCCAGACGAGAGAAGAGGTCATTGGCTGAATCCACAGAGGTCGGGTTTTGGCCCAGGAGGTCAGTGCAAAGAAATGCTAAATCTTTTACCTCGTCCTTTCGCAGGGCCTTCCCTACCTCCAACAGCAGCCTCTGAAAATCCATTTCCTGTACTAAAAACAAGATAACCTCACTCAGATGTTTTTCTCTTTCTCTAACATTGTGTAGTACATCGTACCAGTCATTACTTCCTCATTTAGTTACTTTATAACCACAATTTGATTTAGTGAAATTGATCACAGGTAATGTTAATAACATCTGATGGCGTTCGGGAGGAGTTTGTGTGCATTCTTTTTAGCTTTTAGTCAATGTCTACATTTTTACACATCATGGGACTGATACTTTTCACCCTATATATCTATATAGAGCACATACCATTCAGGTTTAGACCTAACTACAGTGGCTTGGGTTCAAGTCCAGCCCGAAGCCCTTTGCTGTATGCATCCCCTCTCTCTCCCTGACTTTCCTGTCTCTCTCTCACGGCAGCTATCGCAAAAAAAGCAGAAACTGCCCCCAAAAAAGACTAAACTGAACTCATTGTGCTTGGCCCTAAACACCTCAGAAAAAAATATATCATATAGTTACACTGGATGGCATTACCTTGGCCTCGAGTTCTACTGTAAGGAACCATGCGGTTGTTTTTGACGAAACATTAGTCTTAGAAACATCCTGTCTTAAAAGGATGCTGAAAAACGAGTCGTTCCAAAGTGCAGCAACCTGTGTACTGACAGGAACTAGAAAAAAATATCAGATTTCTCTCGTGTTAGATTCACTGCATTGGCTCCCTGTAAATAATAACCAAGCTCCATCACATCTTAAAAACCTTGTAGTACTCTCTTATTCCAAAAGAACTCATCACTCTCAATGTGCAGGCTTACTTGTTGCGCCTAAAGTCTCCAAGAATAGAATGTGAGGCAGAGCCTTCAGCTATCAGGCTCTTCTCCTGTGCAACCAGCTCCTACTTTTTTGGGTTTAGGGAGGCAGACACCCTCTCCACATTAAAGATTGGAACTAAAATTTTTGTCTTTGATCGTTAGAGCTGGCTAAGATGAGCCCTGAACCCTGAATCATCCCTTAGTTATGTCTGCCATAGGCAGACGCTGCTGGAGGAACTCCCATGATGCAGCGCTTCTTCTTTTAAATGTCGTATCTAACTATAATAATTACATACCATCACGTAATCACTTCTTCACACTTGCAGCTGCCTCACTGTCACTATCTATGTAGTCAAAAGGTTTGATTAGATTTTCTGCATGATTTAACCACAGGACAGATTTTCTACTCAATCCAAACATGTCGCGCAGTGTTACCTGTTTGGAGACGAGTTTTCAGCAGGTCAGACTGAGGAGGATATTTGTCGTCTACTTCAACATACCCTAAGTACTGTAGGCAATAGTAGACTACTGAAATATATTGTCTGAAATCGCACACATGAACACAGTTCAGGGCGCAGCTCACGTCGACCGAGCAGGAAGTGGGCTACAAATCGAAAGTATAAGAGTTGAAGGCTGTACCACACGTGCTTACATCACTCCAGAGAGAGAGGGATGGATCCTGGTCGGCTTTAACCCCAGAAACAGGGTAGTTTGTCAAACCTGAATACACAGCCTGTAACCTGGTGACATAAAGTCAAGTAACATGTCATAAAAGTATGTTAATAATTAATTTAGGTTCAACTAGACTAATCTTAATTTGAATCTAGATGTTAAATGTAGCCAGAGGAAACAGCATAAACTTTCTAAACTTACATCCACGTCTATATTTGCTTGATTTGTCACAATTACCCAGTGGGTAGACTATCAGTGTTGTTCTTTGGGTTCAGGATGTATGCACAAAAATGGAAATTAACATTTGACAATATTTGATAATGGAGTCAGTGCAGAAACGTTAGGTAAAATTACCAGGAAATCATAAGAAAATAATTATTTGGAAATGACTAAAAAAAAAAAAAGTCTTACAGAAACCTAGGTTGAATAAATGTCTGACTACATTTTTTACAACAGCATCCGGTCTGTTGGCCATGTCAGGTCACGCATGCCCTACAAATATTCAACAACAACTTATAGCCAAGATACATGAATTTATTGTACTTAAAATAAACATACACATAAACATAACAAACAAACAGGTAATTTTATAATCATTTTGACAAGAATCGACTGTTGTCCATATATTGTCATATAAAATATTAGTTTTGATATAGGGACATATGCTGTCACAGGAACATATGATAACAAAAATTAGGGCATATCAGTTTTGAATCAGTGCAAGAAGTATCAAACTGCAGGTGACCATAGCAGCAATACTGCATTTATGCAGTGTTACCAGTTAACACAGAGAGGTAAGAAACTGTGAAAACTTTGACAATTATTTCGAGTCAGTTTAGCCTATTTTGGTATTTGAAAAGTCTTCATAAAATTATGTGATAATACACTTTAAGGCATGCTATCTAATGGTGTCAAGTGAACTCTGTCCAGTATTTTCATTTATTAAGACACTTTATTGTCCATTAACATTGAGAAAATATGTCTATGGTAAGTCAACAAAACTCAGTATTGAGAACCACACTGCCCTACAAAGGCAGAGAGCTGTTAAGCACTACAGAAAAGCTGAAGTTGAAAAAAAGAAGTTTTAAACATTGATGTATTAAGAACTTTTTAATCATATTTATATGTAATTTAAAAGTAGCTTAACCACACCAAACTGTAAGTTCCACTAGAGTCAAAATTCACTAGGTACTGCTACTCTGCTAAGCTAGGCAAGTTACCTTTTTAGCAGGGTTACTTTAGCTATTTTTTTCTCTATGACTAGATTTAGCTGCTGCTTTAATTATACAGTACAAACTAAACAAACTTAATTATCAAGATGTTACTTCATCAAAAATGATATATTTCAATTGCAGGAAACAGATGAAGGCAAAGTAAGTAAATTAAGCTTTAGTCAGGTCAAGCTAGCTGTGTTATCTCCAGCTAGCTTGACCTAAATTTGACACTCTTTAGTTAGCTTGACTGTTTCATTTGGTTTTTAGCAGGATTTTGTTGTATATAACATCCCCATTTCTTTGCAATTAATTTCTATTGCATGAAAAAAGCTAATTTCACATCCCATTCTGATCTCAACTGAATTTTGACTGTAAATATGTAGTTACAGCATTTTAGCTTTGTAGGGCAGCATACAGCTCCACAAATTCCCCTTAAGGTTGCATTATGTTTTTGAAATTATATATAAATTATATTTTTTTCAGAAGAAAAGAAAATATTGATTAATACTATAAACTAAAATCTCATTAATTATGTGTGCGTATTTGTTTGTTTGATTTGGGTTTGATCTTCAAGGTCTTGATGTGTCCTCTGCGTCTCACTCTGACACTGAGCCATGCCCGGGAGTTCACACCTGAGCTGTTGAACCTGAAGGTCTCTATGAAGGAGACACACACACACACACACACACACACACACACACACACACACACACACACACACACAGAAAAAGGTAGAACATTGTACAACATTAATGGTAAAACAACCTTTCTTGATTCAGCCACATCATCCATAAAAATTAAACCTTTGGACATAGGTGTTACATTGAATACAAGCCAGTTAACTTTTAATGCACCAAACAGTTAAGTGAACTCTGTCACCATTCATATCCAACAGTGCTGCAGAACCACAAGACACAATCATGTCCCCAGTTCTGATTTAAAGTTGAAACTTTGAAACTCATACACCCATATTCATGAATGTCTGCAAAGACTGGGGACAAGGGAGGTCTCAGTCTTGCTGTAGGTTCGTGAAGTACATAGTATGCTGCATGAGTGTGGTGATACTTCAGAGATGCGAAGTAGGCACTCTCATTCCTCAACTGATGAGGTCCACTGTGTCACCAGAGGGCTCATCAATGCAACGTGGTGTCCCATATTATTCCCCTCTTGATTTAGATAACTTAAGGTGCCCTGCTGACTGGATCGTTTCTGCAACATTTGCAGCACAAGTAAAAGCAGAATTTTACATTTAGCAGCATTAAAAACATAATTTACAAGGTTTTCATTGGTGGCACTTTGTGCTCAAAGTATAGCATGGTATAGCATGCATTCACATAATAATTTTTACATGTGGAAATCTGGAGTACATTTCTTGATATAGCCTACAGAATGTGCATTTTGCCCCAAATTCACAGTAGCTGGTGCAATATGCATATATATATATATATATATATATATAGAAAGAGAAAGTAGCTATAGGATTTGAGAGGTATGTTATTCAGGCTGTAGTATATAGAAGCTAAAGACTTACTGTCTTCAAAAATGAAACAGAAAATCCAGTTACTTTTCATTTCTGGATATTGAGAAAGTATAATTATTGTCTTCTACGTACTCATAAGTCTTTTGGACCAACTAATCTCACTAGTGTTCTCTCCACTACCAGTGATGGAAAAAGTACCCAGATCCGTCTGTTAAGTTAAAATGCAGTAATATTATCAGAAATTATCAGAAAAATGCCTACTGGTGTATTAATGAGTAAACAGCATTTTTATCTTGTGCCTGGTCATGCATTAATTCATTTTACCTATTTCATATCCTAATGGGCGGTTTAATTTACAGCAATGCACCATATTTTATTGGTTCACAACAGGTTTTAAATGTAAAATCTATAACTTGTAACAAGCAGTAAAATAAACATATAGTCTAAAAGTAAAAAGTATCATAGAAAGGAAATATTCAATAATAAACCTAGACTAGCACTGGTTATGAATACTCATTTATGAGCTATAACACTGAGATGAATATGTTTGTGTGTGTGTGTGTGTGTGTGTGTGTGTGTGTGTGTGTGTGTGTGTGTGTGTGTGTGTGTGTGTTTGTGTGTGTGGTTGAACACTTACTGTCAGTAATGAGGGAATGTACAGCGGTGATGTGTCTCCGTCCGAGGCCGTGACTCCTGGACAGCACGCAGTCGACATAGATGTCCCAGAAAACCCGGGCCAGGTCCCAGTACAGCGCCGTGTGTTTGCTGTTGTCTGACGACCTGAGGAACACCATCAGGTCCCAGAAGGCGGGCACCGTGTCAGCGATCCTCGGGGAGCGCATCTCCAGCAGCAGCGCCGAGGAGGAGTCCCAGCACTGCGGGTTTGCCCGGTGGGCCGTCAGGGGGTCCACTTGACCCGGCTTCTGGCCCTGCAACGGCACGGCACACATGCAGCTTAGCACAAACACCGTGGCCAAAGGTATGTTCACGAGCACTGGGACCATCTGCAGAGGACACAAAACAGGTCAGCTTTTTCTATTGATTTATCGGTAAAGTTTAGTAACAATATTGATCAAGTTTAATAGCTTTTAGAGTGATACAACTTTTGACGTTATGTAAATACTGAAGAAAAATAAGGCCGGTACAAATACTTAAAATGTCACATTCATGTTGCATATGCTAAAAGTACTGCATAATAATTCGCCTCACACTCAAGAGTTAACAGTGATAATCTGTTCTGCAAATTCAAACATGCAAATTAGGCCTAAACGTTGTCTAAATAGAGAGCAGTCAGATTATTTTCTAGTAGAATAGTGTACTTACCACTAAAGCTGGGTGGACTAACAAGACTATAATGTTGATTGGAGTTTGGTAAATATCTGTTGGGGCTTAATTGACGTCAGTGCCAACCTCCTCTGCACGCACGAGTTAGCGTAGTGCTTGCTTTTAGTCATTGGTACCTTAGTTGTTTGTATTTGTTGCATTACTTTCCAGGTAAAATACGCATGTTCAGTTTTTTTTAAGATTAATTCATGTGCATGCTTGTACATTGTGCAAAAAATATCAACATCTTCTGTGCAAAACTGTTGAGTTACCCCCTTGAAAGAGTACAAATTATTATTAAATGATAAAATATTCTTAAGTGAGCATGCGTTGTAAAAGAAAGCACATTTCTTAGGGTTGTTCTGCACACACTGATCACCCTTGTCATCAGGAGAAAAAATAGCCACTGTCTGTTTCCACTCATAGCTGAGCTGCTATCATACAATCCAAAAATAAGATCATTTCATTAAATGATTTCTCAGCTCTGCTTTGCACAGATTAAAATCCTGCTCAACAAGAAAAAATGTGTTTTAGTTTTATGTGCTTTATGAGCTTTTGATGTTACAGTACAGAGACAGACTCTGACCATATGACTGGTCCACTTGATTAAAGGACAGGCTGATTATTTTCACTATTAAGCTATTAATTCTTCTATTCAATGTCAGAAAATGACTATTCCCTAGATATTCTATATGAAGATGCCCCTGTAGCCCAAGTGGACATCTTCAGATTTCTTTTTTTCCTTTTTTTTTCTTGAGATGGTGAATGATAAGGCTTCTACAGTTTGTAGATGACACATTTGAGTTATGAGTCCCTTAAGAAAACCAAATTGTTTGGGGTCAAGTAAAGAACAAATGTCATTTATGTTACCACGTCTTCCAAATTTTTAAATTAAGTATTACAGTATTACAGAATCTTCATTCAGGGTATGAAGGCAATATGGCATATTGTGCTCAATGTATACATAGGACACAAGTTTTCAGTTCAAGATAAAGAGCCAGCAGAAAAAACATAAGCAATCTGACCTCAGACAGTTGGGTGGTTCTGCTTTCTGTAAAAACAAGTTCAATGATGAATGGTGTTCCAGAGAGTGGTGCACAAGTTACATTTCTAGGCTTTTACTGAAATGTCACATGCATACTTGATCTCAAATGTAATTACTTTCTCAGTGAGAGGCCAACACTAAATGTACGGGGTGGGTTTCTTACTCAGTCATTCATTCTTCTGATGATGCAAAAAAGCAGACTTTACCACGTTTTCCGCTGCAAAGCCTAAATTATAACTTTTAAATGAATACCATTTTCTTATGCATATTGAAACACAAAGTGTAATGTTAGGATGCCTCTAGACAGGAAGTGAAGCAGTAAGGCACAAATTATTATTATTAAATGAAAATCTTTTATTGCTCTGCGTGCTATGAGGAAAAAAACATTTCTAAGACAGTCCACAGTGATCTTTTCTCCACACACTAATCAACCTGTCATATCAGTAATTTCCCAACCAGGGGTATTTGTAACCCTGGGGGTACTATTGCGGTTGCTAGAGGGTACATAAATTGTGTTGTAGCACAATTAATCTGAAAAAACAGAAAGTACAGTTTGATTTAAAAAATATATATTCATTCTTATATACTGAGTCAGTTGTAACACCTTGTGTTGCAGTTGAATGTGTGAGAAAACTATTAGCATGCGAGTAGAGAAGTTAAGCAATTTGCTAAAAATGATAAGGTAAACAGTGTCATTAACAAAAAATAATGGATAAGCAATTCAAAGTTATCAAAAGGTAATGGCTAAACGGTTGAAATAGTTAGCTAAACGCAGTTAGCACACATGGTTCAACATTATTATTAATAGTGTTTTAGGCAGCCTGATGAATTTAAGTGCAATATTCATTTTCCTTTTATCACTGACTTGGTCTCTACTGACATCTTAAGCCCCTAAAATTTTGTTCTCAACCAGCTTCTTTCTAAAAATGATGTGGCCCTACAGGAACACACAGTTGTCCTCCAAAGAGCAGTTTGGGTTATTTGACATATTTCTGTGTTATTCTCATGAACCAACATGTATTTAGCAAAATTTGATTCAAAATGTGATAGCAATTGTGAGGTTGTTTGCCTATTCCAAGCAACTGTTGATCAAATGTGATGAAACCACAGCTGCACAGTCCTGATGGAGTGGATTTGACTTTTTGACCGTAAAGTCTAAAATAATATCTCAGGGTGTTTTTTCTAATATTTCATCATATGGAGAAATATCTGAGATTTGAAACCAAGTTTTCAGGGGTTTTATAGTCACCAGAATGCAGACATGTTTAGTACCTCAAGGTTTCCTTTAATGATGAGATAGAGAAGTTTTGGTCCTCTGTATGAAGCCCGCAATAGCTCGCTCTGCTGCTGTTTGTTTTCATCAGCAGCATTCATGCGGAGGAACCTGTCACCATTCTGGAAGAAACTGCTCTTACACCATCAAGCTTCCCGCTTCTGCCAGATGTCCAGATTTGTTTGGTCAGCAGAAGCTTGTTTCGTGGAACACCTCTGACCTCGATTGTTTTTCGACAGGGTGAATATTTCTGATTACACGATCCACAGCCTGACTCATTCAGACTCTGGTTTGTACCAGGTGGAGTGTGGGACCAAGGAGGCCATGACACACATGGAAAACATCAGTGTTACTGTTTGCACTAGGAAGCATAAGATGATTTAAATATTTTATTATTTAAATCTAATAAATTAATTTAAAATTAAATGAAATGGTTGTATAATGGTGACCATAATTCTTTTTAAATAATTTTGTACAAAAACTCTATGTATAAGACATTTCGTTGCTATTATTCATGTTGTGCAAATAAAAATTTGCTATAATCAAAGATACATGTTGCAGGCATTTCCTTCATTTTTATGGAGTATATATAAAGGCAAAAACAAGCTTAAATCCCTGATCTCTTATGTGATCCTTATTAACATATTTAAATTAAATTTTATGTTTAGAAAGATAAGTGGTAAACTCACAAATTAGCATTATATGATTACCAAAAACTTTCCACTGAGTACCACAAACACACTGTGAATCTCTGTAGAAAATGATACTATGTGTGATCAATAGCACTTCTGTAAGAATATTATAGGATATTATAGTGACTTTTTTTATGAGGAAATGGATGACAACAATTGCAGAAAAAGTGCATCAATGTGTGTAGCATCTGATATGGCTAATAATTTAACTTTTCCACTAGCCATCCCTTCCCTTAGCTTTAGTCTTGGTAAAACAGGCATCCTATTAAAATTCTCTCTGTTAAAAAGGAAGAGTTTAACATTACAGTAAATTGCCCATTACCAAGAGACACATGAGAAGATCATTACTACTCTCACGTGTTCATTCAAGCTACGGCAGCTTAGATAACTTTTAACTTATCATAAAGACTGGGAACAGGGGAAACAACTAGCCTAGCTCTGTCCAAACACAACAAAGTCCAAATACCAACACACCAAAAGCTAAATAGGTTACATGATATATGTTGTTTAAATTGTACAAAAACCTAAGTTTTACGAGGCGAGGGTTATGTGTCAGACTATTTCTTGGCCTCATGCAGGGACTTTCTGGAATTGAGCTAAACTAAGCAAAGCTAGCCATCTTCTGGCTGGAGCTTAGAGTTACTGTCCTGTCTTGCAAGTGGCCTCAATCTTCACATCTGTCTCTGCAGGAACCATCTCATATTTAAAATAATATTTTTTAATAAAAATACAAAAGGATAAAAGGCTTAGAGTAATGACAGACTAAGATTATTAACAGTGCAGTAACATATGTCGTGGCCAAATATATATTTAAGTGTGGTCTACAGTAATTCATAAGTTGAAAATGTAATTTAGGCTTGCATATCTTAGCAAAAAAAACATTAATCCCACAAACTCAGCTGCACTAAGTTACTGTCTTAATATTTGGGGCACATTTGTCATAGCAGTGAAAAGACAGCAAAGCATGGATAAAATTTGTCAGTTTATTCATCGGTCCAACTGTACATGATGCAGTGAGAGAGGGACACCAGACGATGAGTAACATGGAGGATTACAACAATGCCAGTGCTATGGCAGCACCTGGAACACACCAACTATCAGCTGGACTGGAAATAATAGCCCTGCACAAGGAAACTGTTCAGGCCTCAATATGTACAGGCACCATACAGTGTGTTTGTGTGCGTGTGTGTGATTAAAAATATCAGACTGAATGAAAAACACACAAAAATGATTTTCAGTTCCACAAATGTAAAAGGGTGCTCTCTCATATTCATCGGAAATATTCAGTTTTTTAAAATTATTTTATTTGTCCATTCATAGTTTGAGTACGTTGAAGCGAGATGAAACGAGACGTGGGAGTGGCCAGATACAAAAGATTAGTTGATTAGCAGAGGTTTTTGTAATTCCATGTCTACATTGATATCATTATTACCCATACTTTTGTGCAATATCTCTCTTTGCATAGTAAATAAAAGTTAAATGTTTTTGTTGTTGACATGCACCTACCTTTTGTAGCATATTTTTCTTGCTGATTTTGGGGACTTCCATATAGAATCATAAGCCCACTATAGTGATTGCATGCAGCGTTACCTGTAGAGCTGAACTTGATTTCTACCAAGAGTTTATGAGAGCAAAAGGCTAAGCCAGTATAGTGGGTGTTGATGAGGACTGTTAAATGAGACCTGGCTGGACAGGTGAGCGCCTGCATGGACAGACTTCATGCCCTCAGCAGTAGGAGAGGCACCACTGGCTGCAGACAGAGGGGAAAGTGCTCTGTGTGCAACAACATCCATATGTTCAGGTGATCGGTTCTTTGGCTTTTGAGTCACTGTTGAAGATACTTCAGGGGGAAATCTTATGATGTTAATCTGACGTGATCGCAGTCTGAATCCCTCTAGAACTGACATGCTTCTCCTCGACCCTGCAGCTGCTCTGTCTGCTGAAGTGAATGTAACCTTTGATCTCTGCCCGCACAGTCGCAGCAGGCTGTGCAGCGTACGACTACAATTTAGGCTCAAATCATAATTGCAGTTTTTTTTTTCAATAACATTGCCAAAAACACCCGCTATACAACATGCTAAGATAAAAAACAAAAGCAATTGATGTTCTTGTAAAATATGCTGATAATTCCAAACCTGAACTCCTTATTTATGTACAGTTTTGTGTGTGTGCATTCATTATGTGGTCTGCATTGCCCTAATGGGTCGTGACATGCAGCCTCCTGATTCATCTACAGCACCTAAACATGAACTATAGGTGCTTCAATCGGCTTTCCACTGGGTTTGGTTTTTAACAAGGTTATCTCCTCCGTTGGATAGTTCCTTTTTTTTTCTCTGTATGTTTTTTTTGCGGTATATTTATAGCTTTCGTAGCCATGCAGAGCCCTGTAAAGTGGGCTCTTCATGCCGGGGGTGGGGCGGAGGGGGGTGGGGGTGGGGGCCAGCAAGCAGCACGCTTTGTGCGGATAATCATGCCAGGTGAGAGAGTGGTGTGGATTCCGCCTAAACGCCTGTGCACTGGCACTAAAGGATGGAAGAGGAGCTCTGTCACTCTAGAGACCAGGGTGGGCAGGGGAGGGTGGGGGTTTGGGGTTGTTACATGAGTGAGGTGAAGTTGAAGAGGCTGCATTTCTTATGTCACTACGATGGAATTTGTTAAAATGTCCACTATGTCTTTTTCAAGTAAATCTAATGCCAAAGATCAGCAGCAATAAGTGCAGTCCAGCTGTCAGGTAGCCAACTAAGGAAGTCTTTGAGGAGTCCATCAGTGATTGCCATCTCTCCGTGGGTTAAATGGCTGTGGCGTTGGGGTCGTACCGCCGTTTCTTCACATTTCTTATGAGGAGACAAGAAACAGGAGTAAGTGTCTGCGATAATCACATCTGTTAACACAGCTAGTGCAACCTGGACAAGCAACCACACTCATCTCTTCAGATCACACTTGTACTCACAAGCAAATGCTGTAAAGATCCTTTAACTTACTGTTTTATTCAATGAAATGAAATGAAAACAGTCAGTATTGTTATCTGTGCAATTATTTGAGGACTTCCAAGATCAAAATGCTGAAGACATTGAAGTGAGGAAAGGCTGGTCCATGTTGGCCAGTTCGACCTTGACTGCAGAGACAGTCAAAGGTATTGATATTCACAAACTTTTATGTCTCAGTTCATGATCATGTTCAGTATGATAAATTATTTTTATCTTTTTATTTCAAGACCATGCTGAAGACCAATGCCAAGAGATTATTTTTATTCAGAATCCAATTTACCTTGTTTATTATATTTTCTTTTGCGTTCCAGTTTGTGACACTGAGCAGTTTACTAGAAGTCACCTACATGGACACGGTATTTTGAGCAAAAGGACAAGAAAGTCTACCTACTCAAATAAGCTAATAACTGAATAAATGTGAATATTGACGGTCTGTGAATATAAATATCCTCTGTTGCCTTCTTGCAGACAAGTGCTGACCGGCTTGTGCGTGCAACATCAGTTTACAAGGTGAAGAAGTGTAGGAGAAATGTCTCATTACCAGTTTTCATGGGAAAGACATTAGTTCCACTCAAAACATAACCATCTGGGAGGAAAGAGCTAACATAAAATATACTCTATAAAGGAGGGAAAGAGGAGACAACCACATAAAGAACAACCACAGCAGCAGCAGCAGCAGCAACAATAACTACTACCACAACAGTGGGACAACAACAAATACAACAACAGGAGTGATGCATAACCTCCCCGTACTGTGGCTTGTTGTGGGGCTTCTATCACTCTGTCATGCACCTGTTCCAATAGTAGGCCAGTTGAAGGTGGCACTATTGCTGTGCGTGGTTCATGCAGTGCGATGCGCTGTGTCTGTACCAGGTCTGTGAAGCAGGCAGCAATGGCAGCTGGTGTGGGCGGGTCCGAGAGTCCTGCTCTGCTCTAGGGTGGAGCCTGGCCATCCAGGTGGGTGTGGCCAGCCATGGCACAAAGGCTGCGACCAACAAAAAGGTCCTGGCTTCTCTCAGTCTCTCTCTCTCTCTCTCTCTCTCTCTTTCTCTGTCGCTCTCACCACTCCATTTAAAGTCTCACCCTCAAACAGTAATGGACTGAGAAAAAGATCATGGAAGTGATGAGAGCACGACAACCCTGGACCAAATCACTCTGGGTTTGGCTCAGCCTTTGTGCAATGAACTGACCTCCTCCAAATCAACAAGTCAACATGCAGAAATGTTTCGTTTCTTATTCTTTCTTTATTTGCTTTTTTTTTTTATTTTGGTGACAACCATGATGCTTCGCTACCTGGCATGCTTTGGTGGCTGCAGGATTGTATTTCTCGTTTACTCCTTAGGCCTATTTAGATTAAAATGTGTAACACCCCTGTTGCTCAAGACATCAGGCTAAGCGGTAGATTGGATCTTATCAAACATAATCTATTGTACAATAGAGTACATTTCCTAACTACACAGAGACATGTTAGAGGCCTATCGTAGCACTTCAGAGGGGAAGATTTGAACTTATTAACACAGGTGTACACAAGTTTTTTCTTTTTCTTTCAAAACATTTAGCTGTTTAAAATATTCATTCCCCTCTGTTTTGTCAGAATCTCTGTTATTAGGTCCGTCACTGAACATGCATGTTAAAGCATTGAGCTCTGCCCGTCCAATCAGTTTGAGGTTCTGCTACAGATGCATAGACGACCCCCAGTGTCTCTCCAAATCACCCTTTGCACATCTACACCCTGAACATCATCCACATCCTCTTTGGGAAAACAACTTGCACGCTGGATTAAGCTGAGCATCTCAGGTATACGTGTTAAGCATGTCCGTCTCAGTGTTGCCACACTTTTAATAAAGGTTATTCAATATAAAATGCTTTATGTTTGTCTGTTTTCCACTTTGGTGTCCATATTCTGTAGCAGGAACTCAAACCCTGGTGTCTAGAAGCAGCAGGGATGCTAGAGTTACAACAGGAGAGGCATGCGGCGTGTTGCTTACTTAAAGCCCCATCCAGTCCCCCCCAGCACTATGGCAGCCACAAGGATGGCTCCGGCGATGGAGCCTATTATTAGATTGGTGGCACTAGGACCTGTAAAGGGTTATGGGGAAAAAGACATGAGTTTCTGGACTCACTTACTGTATCAATAACATGTAACTATACAATGACGACTTCACATGGAACAGAAAACATAACCATAAGTATACTATTACAGTAAAATGACTGAATCTGAAAATGTATTTTGCATGCTTTTCAGCCCCCTTCAGTGTGTAACGTGAAGATAAAGAAGGAGAGGCCCTGAAAATATTTACATTTATCTGGTGTCAGTTGGTGTATTGATTATCAGTGGTCTGTTTGTTAAGGTTGTGCAGAAGACTAGACCCTGGGTATCCATCACTGTAAAGGTTTAATCAAACAGAGATTGACAGGTGATGTGTATATGTGGCCTGCAGTATGAGCAGTAGAGAAGAGGTTTTAGGGGTCCCAGTCACCACACAGCCTACCACTGACTGACAAGCCAGGTCACTAACAGGACACTTCTCAGGACTGTTTTCCATCTAAATGCCCCACATGCCCCAGAAAGGAGAGGATCACAGGAGCAACCACATAACGACTAAGAATAAGAGAAAGAAAAGGGATAAGAAGAGGAAGAGGGAGGATGGAGAAAGAGGCTTGTAGTAATGGGGAACAACAGGAAGTGGCAGGAGAGGAGGAGGAGGCAGGGGGGAATCCATCAATCAATCACACAACACTGAAAACATCCAATCACATGACAATTATATGGTCATCACCAACACACAAGAAAACACAAAGCCACCGGGACGCACACACGGGCTCAGGCCGGCTCACGAGACCGCCCGCACACTGAGGCACCACTATGAGAAGAAGAGCTGTGAAAGGGTTAAAGATGCTTACTCTATTCCCCACCCTGTGCCTCCAAAAATCACCCCCAGGGCCAGAATGGTCCCTGCTACTGCCCCTATCAGCCTGTTAGTGGCCACGCTCACTGTGCAGAGGGAAAAGGAGCATTATTACCACCCTGTCAAAAACAAACAGCAGGCTTCTGCTTCAGAGTCATGGATGAAGTGACACGGTTCCCTCTGTGACGCTTTCCACCCCCTTAACCACCTCCCCGTCTCATCTGTAGGCAAACCATCAGGTGTACAGCTGAATTGTGAGTTCATTTCATCATCTCTATCAAACTAAACACATGTAACACTGCTTTTATATTCACCTTCGGCTGCCATTTTAAAAAGTAAAGTCTTCATGGCACGAGTACACCTGTGAAACTCAGGTCTAGGAATCTGTGCTGACTCAGCTCTAGCAGTGAGACTGAGGATGACAAAATATACAGTATATACTCATGTGTCAGTGTGAATCTTGGCTAAAATAAATGAGTGCATATAAACGTGTTCATTCTATCTATGTCAGAGGTTGAAAGAGGTGGAAACCGACCCTTGGGTCCTTCGTCCGGAGTGGCCTCAGGCTCTTTAGGCGGGTCAGGCATGCTACAGTCTGTCCCTGCCCAGGTGGTGTCACAGGTGCATGTGGCTTCATTGTTGCACACCTGTACAGATGCAATAGAAATAGATGAGGCAATGACAGGAACATAAGAGCTTTAAATAAAGGTGCTGACGCACATTCCATGGAGCTAACTTTGCATTGGAGATTAATTGGTTTTTGTTTACCCAGTTAACAGAGGCCTCCATATAAACATTTATAACAGATCATATAGTAAATATGATGATATAACATGATGGGTTCACAAAGATAAAACATACTTGTGGAAACGGATCTATATTTATTTGATCACAGCCCTACTATCAGATTTTTAGCCAGGTGAGCTTTGTAAAGCAATTTAATTATGCAAACATTTCTAACAGCAGGCAGAACTCAATACAAACTGGTTGAATTACACAACATGGACTAAAGCCACCGTCCCAGGAAATCATGACATTGTCACAGTGAGGAGCAAGCACAACACCAGGACCCTGAAAGTGAAGCAGCTAATTAATTTCATAATTTACACCTGTGCTTTTCTTTTGTGACTTCTCAAAGTCTTTCATAAGACAGGCTATGGGAAAAGTAAGAAGTAAGTTATGAAAGCTACAATATCATTACCTCCAATAACAAAAAAGGGGAAAATATCACATTTTGACTTGTCAAAAACAGCTGAAACTACAACTACTAACAGCTCTACAGCATTAAATGTACCGACAGTTAAGAACAATCCTATGGACCAAAACTGTGGAGTAACCTGCTCATACATGAAATGCAGCTTCTTGTGTTTTCACTCAAGCTGCTTGATTAGACCTTCCTGTTTTCTAATTAGACCAAGTGAGAACACCTGTGTGAGTGAGTAGGACCTGAATAGAAGGAGAAATATCTCAAGATGTACGCTACCATTCGAATCTTGTTTTCAAGCAGTCTGTAATATATTATTGAATTGCAGTGAAAGATTATTTCTTTTCATTTTGTTTTTGTGCTTCTAATCTACAGTTTTCATTGCACTTACATTTTTGTGTTTATTGTTTGTCAATACTAATACATTTTATTACTACATATGCAATAGCAACCAGCTTTTTTTGCCTCTAATTTATTTTGAAGATGACTTTTGTGGATTGCTGTGGCGAAATTTGACACTTACAGAACAGTTGCCATGTTTCTTTTTTTTCAATTTTAAAATCAGAGGCAACCACTCCAGGGTGTGAGGTACATTTGTTGAATCAATTACAGGAAAGGTTTATATTTTAGGTTTATATATAGGAGACCTGCTAATCATCCTTTGTGCAGATGATACAACAGGTGTATGAAGCGTAAATTGTGGGTCAGTGTACACCAGGACTCACCCCATGGGCAGAGCACACCTGTCCATTAGGTCCAGTGGGGCAGGTGCTCATGTTGAGTGACTGGATGGGCAGACACTTGCGGTCAAGGCACATCATTGACGGCCCACAGGGAGTCCCATCCTCCACGTAGCCTAAATCGGTGTCATCATCCAAAAGAACGTGGCCACCACTGTGAGGAGAGGAAGGAGGGAAGGAAAGGGGGAGAAAGCACGGGTGAAAGGTGAAGAGAGAAGGAGAGAATAAAAAAAATCACACAAAGAAGATTGAAACAAAAGTGACGGGAGCACAGACTCTAATTCTCGAGGTTTCTAGGACATGCGCAGTTGTAGTAATATAATAAGCATGATTTACCTGCAATCTATCTTCCCGTTTTTGTAGTTGAAGTATGTGGTAGTAGACTCTCCTTTCATTATTCCAATGCGGGGGCTGGAGCCAATGTTGGTACACAAAAGGTAACCACAGAACACATCACTGTAAAAGATAAGCAAAAAGATAACTGTACACACAACAGTTTTCCACTTAATACAAACAATCACCAATCACCTCCCAGCTCTTCCCCATCCATCACCACTTAAACCCATCCTCCCATGAGTCCTTAATTATCAAAATCCATAGATTTCATTTAAATCTATGGAATCTCTTAAATGTACTTGCCTATTTATTATAATTATTTTATCTAATTTTGAATTTCTCTGTATGACCTTGCTTTACTGACAGTCCCTTCACAGTAAACCATTACACTTCCAAATGTTCGAAGATGGCCCTGATATTTAACATGGATGTAGTGAGCGACATAATATTGCAACAAAAAAAACTGTGGTAAAACCATCTGAAAACAAAGTCCATTATTGTTCTCAAACTTTTCCAAAACCTAGAGCAGCTATTTTATGTGTGATGCCATCATAGTGTAAAGTCTATGGACCAGGCCTGCAGGAAAAGAAGCATTAATGCACATTTGGAGTTGGCTTCATAACATTAAGGCAAACCTGGAGCAAGAGAAACTTCTTTCCATATGAGCTAGGTGAACAACTTTCATAAATGGAGAAAATAAATGATGAGCCTGCAGCCCTCTATTGGTTGACTTCAAAAGAACTCAAATCTCTTCACTTGTCAGTAATGAATGATCAGAAGGAAGAACCAAAGCACAGGCTCTATGGAGAAACAGAAAGTACTGCCAAGCTGCATAGGGGAAATACCATTTACTGTCTTTCTTTGAAACTCACTGTTTGCTACACTGGATCCATTTCTCTCCATCTTTTCCACAGTTGCCCTTCTCTGTGCCCTCCGTGTTCAGCTTCTCATAGCAGAACTTCTCCGAGCCTCCAGCCTCTGCAAAAAAGAGATGAGGGGTGAACTGCTCAGCTCCTGACTACAAAAGTCTCTTGTATGGTGATACTCTAAAACTTACACTAATAAGAACTAATGTGAAGCAGTATTTATCTTACTTGACCCCCAGATGTATTTACACTGGTTCTCTCTGGTCTTGCACTCTCCACTGTAGCAGCGACCCTTTACATGGTTTGAGAAAGAGAAAAAAAACAGAATAAACATATTTTATTCTAAATGCTATTCTGGTGCATGATTGCTCTTGTTTGGAGAATGAAAAAGCTTTCCCATGTCATCAGTCTGCGTACCTGGTTAACCTGGCAGAGGTAACCATCTTGTTTATGAAGGTTGGGAGGGCACTGCAAAAAGTGACAAACGTATGACTTTTTAACCATGTACATTATCTAAAATTGAAAAGAATGACAGAGATCAACTGCTTGAAACCAAAAAAAAATGACAGTTCTACATAAGAACACCTGTCCAGAGTCCCCAGAGCACGTTTCTGAGATATCACAGTCGTTCACAGCGAAGCGGCAAGTGCAACCTCGTGGAAGGAACTGGCAAGAAAAGAAGACAAGGGAAAAGTCTAAATGTAGGAGTCAGAAATTAATATTTTGTGGTCTAGAACTTTGAGAAAAGACCAAGCTCATACCAGACATGTGTTATTGCAGCATGGGCCGTCGCTGCAGTGTGCCCCATTGGCGAGGGAACACTTCTTGCAGCATTCCTTGTAGCACTCCTGAAAACACACAGGGAGCGAGCTTCACCCGTCTGAACAAACTAGACAACGACAAACAGACGTGACCCACTGAGGTAAAAAGAAACTCACTGATCTCCCTCCGCAGTCACACTCTTCTCCCACTTCCACAAATCCATTCCCACATTCTGTTGTCTCGAACAGCTGCCAAAAGAAGACAGGACAGTTTGAAGGTTACAGAGGGGGGGGGGGGGGGGGGGGGGGGGGGGGGGGGGGGGGGGGGGGGGGGGGGGGGGGGGGGGGGGGGGGGGGGGGGAGTGTGATTCATGGCAGTTGTGACAGGTGAAGAAAGGGTGGTGGGTGGTGAGATACTGACCTTGGTTGGCCTGTTGAACAGACAAGAGCCTCCACCTTTCAAGAGGAACTCCTTATAATCTGAGATGCTGCATTTGGAGAATCTCCGTGGGTGTTGGACACTGAAGAGAGACAGAATGCCAAGTGATAATTAATTTGGTTTTCACCTCTGTAGTTTGTTATTACACTTTGGGCATTTTTGATGGTATTACTGCCATCTATCAGTGTTTATTATACAAATGTTCCTGTCTGATGAGAATACAGTGAGAACACTGTTAAAATAGTATGAGAACGTGGGCAAAGCAAAAAGCTGTCCTATAAAAGTCATTTTTTTCATCTATTTCATATTTTTTTTTCATATTAGAAGCCAACCAATAAGGGCAAGGCTGCAGGAGCTTTAGTGTGAAAAATCTGCAGGAAGTGTTGAGTTTCATCCATGATAGCTGACGATCGTGACTCTTGCTGTATTGATGGTAAACTGAATTCAATGACAGATAAACGGGGGGAGAAGATCTGAATTTGCATTAACTGGGGCAGAGGCGAAGTTTGAAATAATGGCCTGTCTCTCTCTAAGACACTGAGCTAAATAAAGGCTACTGTGGGAAAATTTATAGTAGTTTATATCCTGCATCTGCAATCTGTGATGCACCCTGTCTATATATCTCATTATTATTATATTATCATATTTACTTTCAGTAGAGCAAAATAAATAATAATAATTTTTTATTTCTTTATTTCTCAGTTTTTATTATTAAGTACACATAAACAAGCATCTTTAATTGTTACTCTGTCCCTCTCTTACGTATGTGTGTGTGTGTGTGTGTGTGTCTCTAAGGCATATATTGGACATTACCCAGTATCCTCCATTATGCAACCAGTCCACGAGTCAGCACAACCACATTCTTCTGCAAATAGGAATGAGAGAAAAGAAAAAGCACAGAGACAAGAGGACAGAGAGAGAGAGATTACATAGTGCAGAAAAAAAAGACATACTGACCACTTGAATGGGAAAGTGGTCACAGACATCTGGACCCCACTGTACAAGTTCAAGATAAAGTATTGAAATAAAATGTTATTCCGACTGTATTTCCATTTTATCATCTCATACTCACACTCTCCTATCAAGTTTGACCAGTTTTGGGACCATGAGAAGAATTTCTTTGATGTATACCATTTTTTTTTTGAGCTTGCAATTTCTAACATGACAGCTGTTTGATGACTATGCGTCATTAAGCACTGTGATTTTCAAAACTGATGGCATAATTCCTTATTCGACTTCTATCTTTGGCCAACTTTTTCAAGGACAATCAGTGCATCTCTCCGTCTGTCATTCCTGGCACTGGAATTGTGATGAGACAGTTAAGTCCTATTAAAATGCACCTTTTTGTTTTTAAAGGCGCCATCTGCTGTTGTTATTGACATATGACGTTTAAATGTCTGGATCTCAAATATATAACTTTTACATAACTTTTTCAAATGTAGTTTACAGAAAAATGTAATGTCCTATATTCAGGGCATTAAAGTATTTCAAGTAGGTTGCTTTTATTTAGATGAGATGTTCAGCAATGACAAATTTAAAGGGTCAGTAAACACAGAACAACACATTATCCTACTTATGCCTGGAGGTATCTAATGCCAACAATTTTGGTTTATTTGTTGAAGTTTTAGGACATCTGCTGCCACACCAGTACAATGGAGGGTGATCAGAACTCTGGAGCTCATAGGTCTAAAAAAAAAAAAAAAGAAAAAAAAAAAAAGACACTTGAGAAATTGAAACGAAGCATGGCTTTTAAACAACCATGTCCCAGATTGATCAGGTCACACCACAGATCTCTCTGAGGACAGTTGTAGTCCATTTTCTACTTAACATTAGCGTATCTCAAAACCTCAGCAAATTATATTACAGTCACTTGTCCAAAGCAACTTAAATTAAGTGTATTCAATCTCCATAAGAACGAGAACGAGATGTTGTGAAGAATTGGATATTCTAGTAGAATCTGACTCTAGTAGTCACAGTGTGTGTGTGTGTTTTTTTGCTTGTTTAGAAATGTGATGGCCTTGGTTGTCGAGGTGGGTTTTCAGCCTGGGCGGTGACTCTGCTGTTCTGACCTCAGAGTTCATTCCACCACAGTGAGTCGAGGAGAAAGAGGAGCCCTGCCTTAGATGAGCAAACACAGGGACCTGTCTTAATACCACAATGTATTTTGTAATTTGAGTGACCTGAACCTTGTGATTTTGGCTCCCAGTGGCTCTCTCTAGCTCACTTATACTAGATGTGAGAAAACAATGTGTGTTTCATTTATACTTCTCCTGGATGCTGGGTCCCACTGGATGCCCAGATTCTGTGCCAGGCTCTGGGATAGAGACACTGCCATGGACCCGGTGGTGCCGTACTGTGGACACAACAAAGAGCACAGATTATTCACCTGCAGTCACACTCTGTGATCCGTGTACAGAGCGATACCAGATGTTAAGACAGCAAATCAGACCTCATTGACCCCTACACCGCGGCTCAAAGAACATGCGCCCCCGAAGTACGCTGCATTGCTTCTGCGGTAGTGGAAGGTCACATTTCTACAAGAATAATGGAAGACAAAAGAGGTACACGTGAACACCAAATGAAAGATAGAAACATCACAGAGGATCAGATAAGTCGAAAAGTCAGCCTAATATCTAATTTAATGTTAACTCCTGCAGAGACATGACTGTTTCTCATACAGCTTTATGCAGCTGCACTGCATCCAGCCACTGGTTTTCAGAAATGGCTGTAGACAACAATACAATTGTGCCAAAGCAATGGTACCTGGCAGGAATAAAGAAAACATTCACCTATTTATGCACATATAACAAAAGTTAGCTTAAACATAGATGGATGCATTTTTATATTTAAACAAAATACATGTCCACCAGAGAAATAAATCAACAGTGGAAACCATCCCAAAGTCTGTTAACATCAACTTATTTTATTTCAAATTGTCACATAAAAAGAAAATGAAATGAAACACTGGAAATCTTAAATGTAAAGGTACACTAAAGAGCGATGGGGACAGATTTTTTTTAAAATAAAGAGCTTACGAGAAGAGGTGCACAGCATCGGCATGGTGCTTGATGCTCTGCTGCCGGTACTTGGAGAAATCGCGCAGAATTTCCAGCGGCCTCACACTGATGGGGATCTGATCCTTGTCTGTCCAGACCTCCACGGCAACGAGCACCACGCGCGTGTGTAGCTGCTCTTTGAAGATCTGCCATTGAAGCGCACAGTGAATGGGAAGAATAAAGAAAGACAGAGAGAGAGAGAGAGATAGAGAGAGAGAGAGAGAGAGAGAGGGAGGGGCAGAGAGAGACAGAAGCAACAGCACAGGGAGAGGAGAACAACACTGGGTGTGAATTTGAATCTGAACTCTCTGAGGGGGACAGACGAGGGGGTGCAGCACACTGGGAGCAGGGAGGAACAAGGGGAGTGTTAATGCACGTGACGAGAACACAGAGCGAACACCAGCACAATAAGGACTAACGATAAGACAAGTGTGGGTCCAACTCAGGGTTTCAGAGATTTGCTCCATTACACGTGACTGATGGAAAGGTTACTTTGGCAACTGGACAAAGTCAAATGTTGACCTGCTTGTGGCGCTGGAAGTAAAGTCAGTCATTAGGATTAATGCTTTGGGGAAGATGAATTTGAGATATTTCACACTGGACCAAAGAGGTGAGTGACCAGTCGACTGACATTGCCATTCCTAGAGCCACGCAGTTAGTGTGGCTAACACAAAAACAAAAAAAAACAAACACTTTTAATCGTTTACATTCTGAAGTGGATCTGTATTAAGGATAAACAACATGTCTCAAAGGGTAACCAAATTGTTTACTCACAGCATCCACAAGATTCACCACTGACTTGGCAAAGTTCCTCGTGTGCTGCTTGGTCTTATGTCGTTTATACTGCAGCCACAAATAACAAGAACAAAAGAGAAGATGGATAAGCGACAAATACGTGATTTACTGGTGCAAACGCAATACAGCACGGCACATTCAGTGACACACTAAATTACCAGCTATACAGTAAAAAAGATAAAAGAACGTCAAAACAGGCATTTCATATTGTTGTTGTTGCTTTCGGTGAGAACACATACCATATTGTGGTCACTGACAATCATGATCTCTAAATATTTCATCTCCTCAAATACACTGCGAGGAATCTGCAAATCAAAATCAGATACAATCAGGGCGGGAGATCTAAAGTTTGTTGCATTACTTCAGACAAAGGTGAGATCAGAGACTTACAGCTCGCTTTTTCCTGCGCTTCAGCCAGGACAAGTCATCCAGCTCTGAGAAGAGCTGCTCTTCCTCCACTGCGAACACACGCAAGGAAACAGTGAGACTCAAACACACATTTTTAAACACATATTTACAACTGTGTACGCTTGTTAGAAGAGTTCAAGCCCACAGTGACGTGTTTTTTAAATAATTTTTTTCCCCCCACAAATTCAAAAACTTGTTGCAATGAATTTCCCATGGAGCACTGAGTAAAATCATGTCTGCTGGATGAGAGTAGGGATATAAAACTTGGCAAAATGGTAGAAATGGGAGCAACACAACATTTAAAAATAAATTGGTCTGTTTGACAACATCGATTTTTAACACTGTTGAATTCATTCCAGCTAATTCCTCAGGTGTTTTCACTTAAAAGAACAATACATATAATAAAATGTTTAGTTGTAACAGCCATTAAAATTGTTTTCTTGACCAACCCGATGAATCCCTGCGTATTTGCATGTTGTGGGTTGAACATATTGTATCTAAGAGGATGGTAATGATAGGATAAAGGGGAGGTGTGGCAACGGTCAGAGGTGAAGGACCAATGGGGGATGTTATGCAAGAAGACAGACAACAATGATGAGAACCCCTTACCCTGTTCCTCTGAATCATTGTTCCAGTGAAGGGAGGCTGCTCGTCTTAGTTTATGAGGCCTTGCAGCTGTATCCTGCAGGGGTGAGGCATGAGAAGTGTTAAAAGACTATAGAGAAACTGGGACAAGCAGGAACTGGTGCTGGGGAGGGAAAGTGTTCACTATGGGAATTGTTAAGTAAAATTAAACTTTCATATAAATGAAGAATTTGAAACTTAGCGTGGGGAATGAATGTAATGAATGTAAAAAAAAAAACCCCAAATATGTACAAATAGCTCTGAGCTGTGTGTCATATACGATGAGCTAGATTTTAAGTAACAATAGTGATGACAGTAACACCATTAAGGGCTGTAATTAAAGGAGCCATATTCACAATGGACAATGGAAGGTATCATGTTTACCATGTTCGCCTACTTAGTTTAGCACGTCAGCATGATAACATTTGCTAATTAGCACTAAACACAATGCACAGCTGAGGCTGATGGGAATGTCATCAGTTTATTTCAGGTATTTGTTCATCATTCATTTGCTTGAGTCTTTGAGAAATGAAAATTTTGACCAGTTTGTGGTGCTGGATGAAAAGAGAAAGGATCACCAAAGTTATTACGATCCCAGCTCTGTGGATCATCAATGAAAATTTTGTGTGGACCAACAGACTGACATTGCCATCCCTAGAGCCACACTGCTAGCATGGCTAAAAGTGAAGCTTTTGTGTAATGCATAACCATTGCTTTGAACATTCGTTTGAGTATTTGAATTATTATAGATTTTGCATATAGTATATGCTATATCACGATGCATACTGACACGGAACATATCCTGATATTGATTCAAAGCATGTTGCCCAGCCCTACTATTCATTCTATTAACAAATAACAATCAACAATACAGAAAAATGAAAAACAAAAAAATGTACATAACCACTTGCCCAATATAGTTCAACAAACTGGAATTAACATGATTAATATACAGAGATGTTAACACTGCTTTAATATACAGAATATTTGTTTTGCTATAGGAACATATTAAATAAATATTATATCATAAAATCAAATAATTCAAACAAAATCCAAACAGACTATACAAGAACAAAAGCTTTTTAACTACATGTTGGCCGGACATGCTCCTTCCTTTAAAAACAGGAATGTCTTTGGAGTGATTAGGATATCCTCAGCTAAGAATGTGAAAAGCAGAGACAGCAGAGCGTGTTGTGCATGCGTGGTGGAGGTTGACGCTACATGAGCAGCAGGGGAAAAACATTTGTGTGATACACATTTTGGTTCTAGGCGAAGGGAATAACTTACGATTGAATGAGTCTGTTCTAAGGGCTCAATTAGATACACATAGACTCCATCGTCAAACATCCCGCTGCCGGGCAGAGAGAGAAGAAAAGGGAGAGAAGTCATTCGATACTGAGTCAATAGGAGCTGAGGAACAGAGATGAGTGTATCCAGAGATATTCTGAACACGGCAAGGATTACACAAAACTCTGCTGTTCACTTACTGCAGCCCGTTGCAGGTAGATAAGGCCACGTGGGAGTTATCATTCCCTCTCACCTGGCCGTGGTAGTAACAGTGCTCACCGCCCTGAGGGAAGAAGACACGGTGCTAATGAAGCATCACAGAAAACCACGGCCATAAACACAGCAGCATTACTGGCAACACAACACACAAAACTGCGTATACCATTCATTATATGGTGAATGTGTCACTTTATGCTTAATTATCTTGTGCTTGGATTTTTCTAGCATTTCTGAGGATGTAACAGCTTGCCTCGCAGATGTCGCTTTGGCATATATGCAGTTCATCTCTGCAGGGGGCTCGGTCTATGCTTGTTAAGATGTGTGTGCGTTAAGAAGTTAATGCATTGCAAGGTGGGTCCTAGCACTATCTGTGACTCAGCTGTCAGACCCAGGGTGAGCAGAGGACATCCTCCCCCTCTCTCTTTCCCTGTCTCTCCCTCACTCTCTCTCTCTCTCTCTCTCTCTCTCTCTCTCTCTCACTTCACCCATCCCACGCTGCACTGTTACTGCAGAGTGCTTTCGCTCCCTCATCACGTGACCAGAGCTCCAGCAGGAGGCTGCAGGGGAGCAAAACCCTGCTGATTCAGCTACAGTATGCCCAGCCCAGCCCAGCCCTCTGCCTGAATCAGCAGCAGCAGCAGCAGCAGCAGGAGAAGCCAGCTCTCATTCCCAACCTGTTTTCTGTTCTCCCTCTATGTCCTCATCTGTTCTACAGAAATCATGTACTTCCATGTTTCAGTCTCCCTATGCAAGTCTATCTATCTATCCCTCTATTTATCTATCCATCCATGTATGTCACTCTTCCTCCTTGTACATTTTGTTCTTTCTTTCTTATCTGCGAAGATCTCCTAAATGTACCTGCAGCTTTTTGGAAGACACGTGAGAGTTGCAGTGTTTATTTGATAACCAATTTGCAGTTGGGCTAACAGCAAAAGATAAGACACAAAGGAATTTACAGGAAATCAACAATCACATCTGTTCCCGTCTTTAGTTCCAAAACATATTTGCTAAAGTTGTACCTTTAGCTTTACCAGCAATGTGCATGACTGTACAACAACAAAAACAGCAGGCACACAGCGTTCCAGCTAAAGGAAACAAAGAACCTCTGACTCATACATAAGAGAGAAGATGTGTATTTTAACATTCTGGTCAAAACCACAGAAGACATTACCTTAGATAGAACAGGCTTGCCCCCTTCATAATGGATCTCAACATAATCTGAAGACAGCAAGTCACTGAAAAAACAGGAATTGCAGTTGGTTAGGGTGGGAGGATATGATGCAGTGACAATACGTCTGCCTTTGCTTTCTCTGACTCACATAATGTGGTTTTAAACCAGCGGCGAACGCTGCTTGGGTTGGCGTTTAAACAAGAACAGTCATCACCACAGTTCCTGGATTAGTCTGTACAAACACGGCACGGCCCATGGCACCTCAAAAGTGCCCAACAGATGTTAAATGTCGCCTGCCCTCAGGAAAAAATATGATGCACTCACTTCTGAGGGATAACAAGCAAAACTGTATTTTGTGAAATGACATGTAAATAAATTCTCTCATAATAAGATGCAAAACAGAGACAGTTACTCATTAATTTTGCAAAGTAGCCTTAAAGTTATCGAAGCGAAAGAGAATGTAAATTCATCCGAGAACTACATTTCACACGACTGGTTCTTCCTCAAATTTACCAAAATTACATGACTGCTTAAAAAAACAGGAACAGAAGCAAGCAACTGCATCTGAGAGCTGCCTAATGTGATAAATGACTGTGAGGCTGCAGCTTCACCTTGAACACAACAGTCCTCCCGGCAGTTCCCGCTGTCTGAGTCAGCGTCCCACACCATTACGCGCACACATGCAGTCTCTTAGCTGACAGCTGATTTCAAGAGGCTGCAATTTCTGCCACAATGGCGCTTTTTCCTGAATAACCTTGCAAATCAAAAACATCTTCTTCTCCGTGGACATGTAGTGGTGTCGCAGCAGAAAAAAGAAAAAAAAAAAAGAAAAAGATGGGAAGTGATGAATCTGTCTTGTGACACCAGCAGTGTGACATTTTTTGAGTAAGAAGTGCACCATTATGAGAGGAGAGTCGACACATGAGCAGCATGTGAGAGAGGTTCCTGAGTGAGGAGCCTATTTTTAGCTTGACAGATGAGGCAGGGAGAGCAGAGTGGGCCACGCCAGAGTGTACTGGTGTGTTAGTGGGTGTGTCGGTGATGGGCAGCATTGGAAACCATTGGAATTTGAGTGTCTTTCAGGTGTGTGTGTGTGTGTGTGTGTGTGTGTGTGCGCGCGTGTGGATAAATGTCTGCATGAGATCTGTGAAACTGTGTCTGAAGACCATAAGAAGGGAGTCCTGCCCCGAGGTCTTTCAGTCAACAGGAGACTGAGTGCCACAATGCAGCAGCAGCAGCAGCAGCAGCAGCAGAGGAAAGTGAGACAGAGGCGAGGCAGAGAGGGAGGACCAAAAAACTGCAGGGGGATTCTTACGCCTGGCGCCATATCAAATGCAGCTCTGAATCCTGTAGCGACGCACGACGCTGTCATGTCGGGCTGTTTAAACCTCTAACACATAGAAATAATCTGATCTCAGTCTGAATAAATGAAGATACTTCATGGAAGGGTCATCAGCACCAAAGACATTCATGGCAAGAGAGCTGTGAAAGAAGTGAGGTCCACTACAAGGAAGTTACTGGTCCCACTGATGGCAAACTACATAAAAAAGGTTTCAATCAATATAATATTTATGTTAACTGTAAACACCTTTCAGTGGGAAAACCTACTTCCCTGGTTTGCAATCCCAGGTACAGTAAGAGGTGAGGAGATAAAGTAGCACCCATTGGCAGGTTGCAGACCTATCTATATTTAGATCAGTACTGTCGCAGCTACACCACCAAGCAGAATTCAAACCCCTGTTCTCACACAAAAAAAGGCACACACTGAAGTTAGCTCATGTATCTCACAGATAACCTACACTGCAAGCAAACAGTTGGGAATCAAGGTCACACTTGTCTCCCACTGGCCTTCCTGATACATGAGCAACAACCCCTCACTTTAGGTTCGTGGTTTCCAAACACCACAGAGCTCATTAGCTTATTTAACATTTCTGGAGTCTCTCTCCTACATCATCTGACCCAATACCTTTGCACAATAGGACAAATACTATTTGCTGCAGATAACTGCTGAAATCTGCACTTTGGCTGCCTCTATGTTGGCACTGAAATGAAGCTCAAAATACTACAATGATGGCAGAGCACCCAGAGTTGCATTTGCAACATCATTTCACTTAATTACTGCGTGTCAGCAACTATCGAACTAGATAAAATGCCTGACCTGCAAAAGCTTTCCACAATTTGACTTTTTTGACTTTTATTTTGCTAAAGTAATAAATGTATGCTTTAAAGAAGTCTTTGTAATACATACATATATATATTTATATACGTTCACAGTAACCTATATTCATGACGCTTCCTCTGTGATGGTTCTGGTCTGAAAAGACTTCATTGGCAGGCTGCTAACCAACCCCGCATACCAGCACACAGACTGAATATCCAACCATGCAAATTAGCCTGTCTTCACATCTAACAGCACTCAGACATGCACAATATAAAATTACAATATTTTACTTCAGAATCCAGGTTTAAATCCCATTAAAGAGCCTGAAATTCAATCAGCATTGCTTAGTCCTAGTACACATGCACAGTAAGCCTTCACGTATGTGGACCAGCTACTTTGTGAGGGGAGTAAATCAATATCATTGAGTGTCCGGAGCCTCATGTCTCTAAATGGGACAGTGATCACAGTCCACAGAATGAGTGCCTCTCTACCCATTTTGATGGAAGCCAATTAAGCCTAAATAAAGATACTCTGCTTTTCCAAAAATCATTTAGTAAAGACAGTTTGTCTTTGTCTGTAATCTGGCAGCTGGACTAAGATTTCTTTTAGCATTTTCCAGGATTCTGGCAACCAGCATGCTGACCTATTCAATTACAGCTTCCCTGAAGACATTTTCTCGACTGACACTGCATTAATGGCTAATCTGACATACAATAGTCCATATCATTTACAAACAATAGTCGGCTGCAACAGAGACCACAAGTGTTCATTCCTGTTTCAGCTATGACACATACTACTTCCTCATTGAGTCTGTATCTTGCACAGATACATCCAAGGACGATTCTGGTAATTTTGGTGTCTGAGTACATTTGTCCACTGTCGCCTCTACAGGATTTGATCTTTTCATAGGCAAACAATTTAAGGATGTTTTGTTGCTGTTTAATTAAACTTTATTAAGTTCCACTGTACTTCTGCTTCATGTCATGTCATCAGCAACATGTATTGGTTTTGATCAGATTTTTCATGATTATAACATTATCCAGGTTTCTGTCACTTCTCCATATAGCAGGAAGTCTATGATTACTGGACCCATGAAGTGCAAGTATTACTAACATCAGACTTTCAGTTTGAAACCATGACCAAAGTTGTTTTCCCTCAATCCAACATCTATTTTTATTTTATTGTAGTTTCCTATTAAAATTAAATGGCTCTGCATTAAAAAAAGCTTTCCTTTGATGGTTTCCTGTAATTTTCTTGTTGAGCATTTTCTACAATATCTGTAGAGACAGTGTCAGCGGTCAGTGTGGATCTGTTGTGGCAGGGATGTTTGGACAGAGTTTACCCAGCCTCTCTAAACCCCAGGATGAATAAATATTCCACCATCCACACATTACAAGATTACAAAATGACCTTGAGTGAAGATACTGTTGAGTGAGACGCACAAATCACTCTCACTGGAAGTTTAAACCACTGTCTAACATTTTGTTACAATTCATGACCACAATGGCTGAGCTTTTAGCTATAAAGTCGTTTTAGCTGCAATAAATTAAGTAAGGAGGACCTACTTGTTCAACATTAGATCCAGGACAAATCTGGAGCCAAATGCCTCCAACTGGAAACTGGCCTGGGCGAGGTGGATTGCCTGTTAAGGGAGAAAAGAGTGGTCACTGCCAATGATGGCAGCTTGCAAAGTATATGAACGATTCTATCTGTCTACAAAGCCAGAATCCTCCAGAGTCCACAAACTACATCGTCTACAGCACAGCGAACAAATAGCAGATGTGGTGGCTAAATGACAGATGGTAATGTACAGTGGGTACACTGGGAGAAAGGCTTCCTTCAGCATGGGCGCTCTGGCATAATTCCAGTTCTTGAAGTGTCCTGTGTGGTGTCTGGATATGTGCATATTTTTGCCTTATCTGACGCTGTCTAGCAAAATGACATTAAAGACAGGATTAAGGTTTAACAGAGCTATAATATGGATTTATAACTTCAAAGCCTTTTCCGCAAAGTGTGCTATTAAGTGACCGGACACTCTTTCCTATTGATCACAACAGTGATTCTAAATAACTTATGACCACATTCCAGAATCATCTATTCTGGCTTACCTGGCCCTCTGTGGCTTGGTTCTTGGCCCGGGTGTCCAGGTCATGGTAGGTACTCTCTGAGTCCTCGTTTAGGTAGTAGATCAACCGCGAGGGGTAGGTGATCTCATGCTCTACTGCATGGTGTGTTGTGTTGTCTGTAGCAGGTGCTGCAGTTGCCTGTTGCTTCAGCAGTGCTGCCACTGCATCCCTCTCAACCTTGTCCTCTACTCCTGGAGAAACTGCAAGAAAATTCCCACCGCACAGACATGAAAAACCTGACTGGCCCCCTCTCTCACAACCTCACACTCACTCTCTCTCTCACACACACACACACACACACACACACACACACACACACACACACACACACACACACACACACACACACATGTTCAAAGAGCCAGCTGTCATCCTTTATTCATGAAACACATTGATAATACTGAGGCAAGTGGCCACGGCTTCATTGCAATTCTTCAGGACACAGTTCATTAAGACTGGTTTCACGGCATAGTGTACTGACAACCACATCTGGCAACAAAGCTGACTGAGAATACAGGATATGATTCACTTCACTGCATTGAAATATACTTTTCATATGCTTATAACCGAAGTGGAAAAACTCTGCACCAGACAGAATAAATGCAGTGCCCATTATGCAATAGGAATCCAAACAGCCTCAGACAACAACAGCAGATAATATCATGCACTTGAGCAAAAAGAGTCCCAGTGACTGTTAATTCAAATGTGGTCATCATACATAATAAAGAGCGCTATTTTTATTTTTTTATTTTTTATAAGATGAACAAAAGATGCTGAGATGCAGTAGTCTGCCCTCATGCACCATCATGTTGAAGGCGCCGCATATTCAATATAATAATTATCCATCCAAAAATTGCGATATCCTGCACCTGCAGTAAATCGTCAGATATCATTTTAGCCAGATACAGAAAGTGACAGGCGTATTTCATGCGATGAAAGTGACAAACAGCCAGCAGGCTATTTCCTATACGTACCGAATGACGCTAGTGATGGATGAAGCCAGGGCGAAAGGGTGCTGACGAGCAAAGTGGCCAGAAATATCAAATGCATGATTCATATTTGATAACTGAAATATCTCAATATCAACACGTCAACGCAGTGAAAGGCTTGCGGCCCATCGTGGCGGGGAAGGTGCCGTGCAGGAGGAATTTCTTCATGGATCCAGGAGGCACCGGGCTGCTGCTGCTGCAGTAGCGGCTGAGGAGGAGGAGGAGAGGAAGAAGGAGGAGGAGGAGGACGAGGAGGGTGGGGTGGGGTGGAGTGGGGGGAGCAGCAGAAAGAAGGCGGTGGCCAGGCAGCTACTGGAAGTCAACCAGCAGACTCCTCCTCGATGAGCACAAAGATGTCCTCCCTCCCCTCTAGGACCACAGGAAGCCCGTGCAGGTGACTTCAAAGGTATGGCTGAAAGATCACAACAACCTGAAACAGACGGAAGAATATGAGACTCACAGGGATTTATGTTTTTTTTCCCACGTTTTAGGCGTTGCAGTAATATTTATATGTATGTTTAATCACTGTTATAAACAATAATAGGATATGTGGATTTATAGCTACTAGTTTTAAAATCATGGTTTTCACTAACTGCAGACATTGTGACATTGTATGCCTTCTCTTATGTGTTAGAACTACTTTTAGCAATACCACATTTTAAAAATACTCTAAGAGTACCGTATTCCTAATCAGATATTAGCAGTAAAATGTAATGTAGAAAAATTAAGTAAAACAGGTAAAGGTGGTCATTAGCCATTAGTAGACAAATAAATGAGCAGCAATTTCATGTTTTAGCCAGTTAAAGCAAAGTTAACTACTTGTTGGGTAATTTAACCTATAACATGATATCAAAGAAATGTAGCGGAGTGAAATGCACGTTATTTCCCTCTAAAATGTAGTGACGTAGAGGTAAAAAAGTGCAGACAATAGCAAGATACAGGTGTTGTACTTAATTAAAGGGCTAAAGTAAATGTACTTGCATTTCATTGCTGTAGCCCTTGGTACAAGATTTCATAGTATATGTTATGATGAAAGAACATACCACAATGTAAGCAAGTATTTAAAAAAAATGAAGTGAGGGATTCATGGATCTAAAATTAGTTTGTTGAGACAGTACGTGAGGAAAAGCATGATTGCTGGTTGTTTAAGTGATGATGATTGCTCCATTAAATTTCCCTGACATCTCCTAGTGGGGACACTTCCTCTGCAGTTAGTCTCTTCCTGAGACAGCAGCATATCTATAAGGAAGACCGTGTCACAGGGGGCATGGACTATAATCAGTGCATGGCATGACTTCCAGGTCTGATTATAAGACTGTGCAGGACACAGACACACACACAAAACAGAGCTACTGGAGGATGTGACAGCTCCCCCCTCAGGGCTGAATGATCCACCAAGGGATGAGTTGGTCATTTTGGGTTGCTGGAGATCGAGGCAACTGACACAAGGCTGTCGGACTATCTGATGAAACAAAAAGGGATGAGTAAGCAGCAGTATCCATGTGAACAGTCTAAGTCAGTTCAACCTGCATCATTTAAGAAAAAAATAATAATTTGATTAATCTAATATGATTTAATCTACAAAGGCAAGATGATTAAAATTGAGAGAGTCATCAACATCAGCATATTACTGTGATCAGTAGTAATTTACTGCTACACAACCTGTATGCCTGTGCCAAGTAATTTCACTGATTTTCAGTGTAATTCACTTCTAAAGGGGGAATTCCAATATGATTTGCGAGCCAGAAAGTTTAAATGTTCAACCCATAAGGAAGGTCAGGCTATGCCTCCATCAGTGATGTGACAGCAGGTGTTTTGTTTTAGACAGGTGTTGCGTAGGGTGTGGCCAGAACCCACAGTGAGCAGTGTGGCAGCACTGATGATAGACTGTGGTGCAGACATTTGTCTCTATTTTTCTCTATAATTTGTGATTGAAGCAGAAAAGACAGCTGTACTTTTTGCATGAACAGTTGCAGAACACACTAACAAACCATCCTAGTGTGCCCAGTAATTAAATTCATATTGGATACTTTTGTAACACATGCTTTATTTCTAATGCCCAAGTTCAGCACCAGTGTATTTTTATGTACACTGACTTCTGTGGCTTCAGTGAAGCTTTGCTAAGTCAGAGTTTGGGCTTGAGACTTCTTGAGACAGCCATTGTTGTGTTTATAATACAAGAAGGTGACAGAACAGTCTGGCCGGGCCAGAGCTAGCTGGTTAGCATGCTACCTTCTGCAGAAGAAAAGAAATGATAGAATTAGATGCAAAACAAAGTTAACATTGCCGTTGCTTTCCACCTCTGGAGACAGCTCTTGGTGAATAAAGGAATGGAGTTTGATGCCGAAATGCAATATTTCTTCTAAACTGGTAAGTAAACAGCTATTCATGCTAATGTTGGCTATGTAACAATAGCAAAACTTACAAATAGCTCCTTTAACCATATGCAAACAGAAAACAATTGTTTATTTTCCCTACATAAAGCATATTCTTTCAACTTGACCCCTGGTCATCCACACCTCTCCCTGTAGTGGCTGCCCTCAGCCGTCCAGTGTGAGAGCCACTGCATTATGGGAAGTGTAGGATCAAACATTTTTGGAGCTAGACTAATTCAAGGAACTACATTTCCAGATACATTCAATGCTGAATCAATTCGGACCATTTTTTTTAAAAAACTGAAAGTCCCACAACTTTATTGAAATGCACTATTAAATCACAGTAGTACCCTTTTAATCCTTTCTTAACCATGCTGTGGCTACTGAATGTTTCAAATAGTTACCAGTGAACGCCACCCAGCTTTTGCAAAATGGTTCAATATCGGTGCTGTCTAAGTTGTTTCAACAAACATTTTACAGTGCAATCAAGCTTGTCTGCAGGCCTACCACAAGTTTATTGTGTTTTAATGAGCATCAAGCAGCAAGGTGCTACATCAACGAGTTAAATGCTATAAAAGAAGAGAACAAATGCAGATGCAGCTGGCAGCGCACAAACTCTCTATGCAGGCCCTACCCACCGATGCAGCTAGTACTTTTTAGAGGGAAAAAAAATCACTACATGTCAACAAAAAAAAATCTGCAACATTCAAAACTTTTCCGTTTACTAACTGAGCGGAAAAGCGTGCGTTGAGGGTTTACCCTGCTGTTATGAAAAGCAGCCGCAGCTGCTCTGAATGAAAGCATTCTTCATTCCGTGTGGGTAACCAATAACTTTTCTTCATTCTGTGGTCCGTGTTTGACGCGTCAGCCAGGCGCGCCCACTGCACATCTCGACCCTGTGTGCACCAAATTACGGAGTTTAGTTTGGATGGACGCACGGAAAGACTACACATGCTACAGAAAGAATTTTCGCAGCCGAATGGGAAGTCACAGTCAAGGCCCAGAAAAACGGAGCTAAAAGGCTAAGTTAGCGGTGTTTTGACCCAAATGCTGATAAAAGGGGAGCGCTCCGCTTTGGTAAGCGATGCACTCTCTCTTCTTCAAACTGAAAGGAAGAAAATCACTTCATGTTTATCCAGTTAGTATGCCTGCAGTGTGTATGTGGCACTGATTGTACTATGAAATATGAATTCCCATTCGTCAGGCTAAATATATGCAGTCAACGAAAAGTTGACTGCATATATTCTGCATTCAGCATTTGTCCAGTTAGTTTCTAGTCTTGTTTTAGTCTTTCTTTTACTGTCGAGTCTAATGGTAGTTATTCTAGTAATTTTACCATGTTTACCTTTTTGTCTTTAAGATTGAAATTCTGTACTTATTGTTGTACTATTGGTTAGTAAAATATTTATTTATAACAAGCTTCTCTATTGTTCAATGAGATATTCATGTCTGCAGGGGCTTTCTTGTTTTAAAGGACATGCTCTACCTCATATTTATTTGTTGATTGCACTGATTTTTTCCATATAGTCTTAAACAGTTACTGTCTGGTCTGATGGGACACTTTTCAACATTTTATTTCAGGGCAAAGTTACAGATCTGTCCAATTATTAAACTTTTTTTTCTCTTTGAGATTGAGGTTTAATTCATATTCTCAATGTTCTTCTGGTAATTGAAAGTTTTTTGTTCATAGTATTTTTTACTTTTTTACTAAAAGTTCATTTATCAGGAATAATTGGATACATATGTATTGAAGACTAGAGATAGGTAAAAAAAACAAAACAAACAAAAAAAAAACCTGAATGTGAATTTAACAACTTTCATCTCAGACCAGAAATTCAAGACTTGAGTAAAGACTGTAGTAGTCATGGGCACCATTTTGGCCTTGAAGATAATACTATATTGTAGATATGTGCAAAAAATATAACCTTTCACTCACAGATGTTTTGCTTAGTATGGCTTTGTTGATGGATGGCCTTGTTTTTAATCATCAAAACACTGACGCATGTTAAATTATGTAACAACACATTCTTCCATGTTTACTTACAGAACAAACAATATGAATCATACTATGAGGTCTCTTTCTGCCTCATTTGTAGGGAATCTCACTATTTTCATTTGTTGATCCACATGGATGTCGACACTATGTTCCAGGGTTTCTCAGGACACACCCAGTCCTGGCCTCAACACAGGAGCTGAATGATTGGAGAGAGGGGCAGGACAGACTGGATCCTTTTGGAGAATAGCTGAGCGTAATCATAAAGAGTGTCAGGTAAGAACTTGTGTTATAGGTTGATTATAATACTGTGTTTATTGAAACCCCTTGGGATACATATATATATATATATATATATATATATATATATATATATATACATATCTGATCATGAGATTTTGCTTTTCACAGATAACAGAGTTCACATCTTTGCAACAATGGGTGACTTCGGCGATGACTACGGGAACTACACATATGATTATTACCTGGAGTATGGCGACTTGGAAGACCTTAAAGTAGACCACAGGCAAGGGGAAACCATGCACATTACCTCTGTGGTTATTTACAGTATTTCCTTTGTGCTTGGTTTGATTGGAAATGGAACCGTTATCTGGGTGACAGCATTTAAAAGCAAAAAGACTGTCAACAGTGTGTGGTTGCTGAATCTAGCCATGGCAGACTTTGTGTTTGTGCTTTTTCTCCCCTTCTACATTGATTACATACTGCGGGACTTCCACTGGGACTTTGGCTTAGTCATGTGTAAGCTTAACTCATTTGTGTCCATGATGAACATGTACGCCAGTGTGCTCTTTCTCACAGTGCTCAGCAT